TACGATTTTTGAACTGCCTAAGGTCAGTAGAACTCTTGTAGATTGTTCCACAATCTAGACACCCGCGGGACAAAGGACCGGTCGTATCGGCCAGTTCTGGATGTACGAAGTTTGACACGGTTAGGATGGGACGCCGAAGTCAGGCGGGTCTGTCTGGCAGGCACATCGCGCGGCGGCATCATGGAAGAGAGCTCTGAGGAGCAAAGCCCGTTGGTGTAGCGATAGAAAAGAGCTAGATCGCCGACGGCCCGCCGGTGCGAAAGAGTCCCGAGACTGTCTGTTAGAGAAGAGTCATCGATCAGTCGGACCGCCCTCTTCTGGACAGCATCGAGCATGGACAATGTAGTCGGGGCGGCAGCACCCCAAATGTGTGAGCAATACTCGAGGCTAGGCCTTATCTGGGCCTTGTATAGAGTGAGAAGGTCATGCGGAGAAAAGTACTTCTTAGCCCTAAACAAATAGCCTAGCTTTTTCCCAGCAGCTGCAGCTATTGACGAGATGTGTTCGTGCCAGATCAGGTCCTCGGTGATCTGGACTCCGACCAGCCGAAATGAATGGCTCTTTGGTAGAACTCGGCCGTCCATCGAAACTGTATGAGCGCCAGGACGCTTTTTGTTCGTCAAAGTACAGTACTGTGTTTTGGGAGCATTGAATTGTACAAGATTGTTGCGTCCCCAAGCAGTGATAGCCTCCAGGTCTCTTGTCAGAGAAGAAGTCGTCGCTAGTCTTCTTTTTTCCAGCTCAGCGGCAGAGATCGGCTTGTCACTCTGAATTCCTGCATGTAGAGTGCTGTCATCAGCGAAGCTGTGGATTGGGTTGATCGTGCGGGAAAGTAGGTCGTTGATATGTAAGAGAAACAGTGTTGGAGCCAAGACCTATCCCTGGGGAACACCCGCGTTGACGTTGCGGAATGAAGAGGAGAATCCGTCAATTACGACGGATATCTTGCGGCCAGAGATAAAGTCAGCCACCCATCTGCAAAGCTTTTCTGGGAGGCCATAGGATGGAAGTTTGCTTAAGAGGGCAGCGTGCCACAGCTGATCGAACGCTTTCGTGATGTCAAGAGCAACGACATGTGCCTCACCATGAGACTGGATGAGTTTACTCCACAATTGCGTGACGTAAGCTAGGAGGTCCCCTGTGGATCGTTGGTGCCGGAAACCGTACTGCCTGTCGCTAATCAAGCTGTGACGTTCGAGGTAGTCCAGAAGCTCGCGATTTATGCACCTCTCCACCACTTTACTTATAACAGAAAGCAGAGCTATAGGTCTGTAGCTGTAAGGGTCGTGGGTCGGTCTTAAACCCTTTTTTGGGATGGGCTGGACATGAGAAAATTTCCAGTTTTCTGGGAAGGTGCCGGATTCATAAGATATCTGGAAGAGACGCGAAAGAAGTGGAGCAAGCTCCGCTGCACATCTCTTCAGTACGATGGCAGCAATCAAGTCCGGACCAGAAGCTTTGTTGATGTCGAGCGACAAGAGCACTCGTCTTACTGTCTTATGCCTGAATGTTACCTCCTGCATAGTGTGGGGAACCCTTTTAATTGACGGCACTTGGGCGTTGGTGGGGACGTCCATGGTGGAGTTGGCAGCAAAGATCTTGGCTAGCACTTCCGCCTTGGCCTTTGAGTCGAATACAATAGTTCCATCCTGGCACGTAAGTGGTGGAAGGCTACTGTGTGAGAAGTTCTTTTCAATCTGCTTGGCCAGCGTCCAGAAAGACCGACTGCCATCGCACTGCGTCATTACCCCGTGCCTAACTTTTATATCATGCTGGTTTTTGGCATTGCGAACCGCTTCGCTATATTTGTTTCTGGACTCGACGTCGGCTTGTCTGTTCTCTACAGTGGGGTTTTGTAAGTAGGTTCTGTGTGCCTTGATCTTCTGCTGGCGAGCAGTGTCACACGATTTGTTAAACCAGCCGTTGGACCCTGGTTTAGGAGCTTTCACTGTGTGAGGGATGTATTCCTCCATTCCGACGTGGATAATTTCGGTTATCGAAGAACAGACAGTCGACGCATCCGCGTCAGTGAAACAGACATCTCTTCAAGGAAAGCTAGAGAAGAAGTCTCTGAGCCCCTCCCAGTCGACATCTCCGTAATGCCAAGTTTTGCGGCCTGAACGAGTTTCTGCTGCCACAGCGGGTTCTGACCGAAACCTAACCTCCCCAACACCATGGTCTGAGTTACCCAGGGGGGACAGGACAGCAGTGCTGTAAGGGCATGATGCGTGGTCAGAAAGAGATCCAGCAGGCTACTGGCGTGTGACGAGACGCGGGGGAAAAAAGTAGGGCTTGTCACCAGCTAGGTCAGCCCTTGAGTAAGAGCGAACGCTTCGACTGCACGACCTGCTGCATCGGTCTTATTTGAGCCCAACCAAAGCTCATTATGGGCATTGAAATCACCGAGAAGAACTATCTCTGAAGCGGGGTGATTGATGTTCAGGAAATAGATCTGGACGGCGAGGTGTTCCAGTAGGTCATCCCAGTTATGGTTCGAGGGAGAGCGATAAAGGCAGCAAATAAATTTGGATGATGTTTTGGGGTTGAGGCGAAGCCACAGAATGTCCTTCCGGTCTGATTCCAAAGAAAGATCCCTGGAGCAGGAAAGACTGCTGCGGACAAAAGCCACAACTCCCCCGTTCTTTCTCAGATTGGAGTGCACCTCGTAGTTTGGGAAGTTGAGATAGTTAATCGGTGCAGTCTCTGAGATTTTTGTCTCCGCCAAGAAAAGCACGGCGGGACGATTGGATTGCAGGTAGTGATGAACAGCATCAATGTTGCAGTTAATCCCGCAGATGTTCGAAAAACAAATTTTATCTTCGATGTTGTTCCCTCGAGCCCATCCTCCACCCGGACATTCCGAGAGTGGAGTGAGTTTACGTCCGGAGCTTGATTGATATTGCACCATACCATTTTTATGCATCTCATCAACAGAAAAACAAAACCAAATGTGGACTTACCGACTGGCGCCATTTTACACCATCCATAGGTAGCTATGCAGTATCAGCCGTATCAATAATACGGAACCCCCAGCTTAAAGGGGCCCCCGACGTACGGAAAAGGTTCACAATCTCACGTGAGTTTTTAGGGCGCCCATGGTCAATTCATATTATTCAATGCAAGCGTTCATGTTTCTTTTGCAAAAATATATACCTCAAAATTTTCCCATTTGGGTTTCGCCACAATTGGGTGCGAATTATGAGGCACCTGAGGAGCAAGCTGCGCCACTGTGTACCGAAAAGTTTTTCAGATCTATCACCACGGTATACGATTTTTCGGATGAGCTGATGGAAACAGCAAGTACCTATGTTTAGTAAACAACAATTTCACCACCGATTTAGTTCGATCAGTCGTCCCGAACGCGAAAAACACTCCCGGGGTTTAATAATGTCAATAACCATTTATTTTTATTTTTCCCTATAAAATTTAGAGAAACCATCCTTTATTTGGACAAAACCGTACATCAAAAAACGCGGAGTAAACATAACCGTTAAAACAATTCGAATAGAAATGATCTCGGCCAATAGAAAGCCTCGTTTTTCCAGGATTTCATGTTGGACCGTCTTGCCGCATTTGACAGAGGATTTTCACAGAAAAACTATAGACTAGTCAACTAGTGGACCGGAGGACAGAAAACATTTTCATTTGGAGTTCAGGAGTAGATTATTAGATGGGAATGCCTTGGTGTTAAGCTCATGAGCTTATAATTGATGTTCAAAAGTATGCTCGCAAGAGTAAAGATATAGGTATCAGTCGGGATATTCAAAAATTTCGAAAAAATAAATGGCTATGTCGTAAAAACTCCTAGTTTCCCAATGGCAAGTGAGCTCCAGCCAGGATTCTTTTATTCGATTCATAAAGGAGGTAACGACATACTACTAAAAAAACAGCCAAATAAACTGACTACTAGACCTTCTATTCAGTGCTGTTATGTTGAATCGAAAATACAAATGTTGATAGAATTTGAACCTAATGATATTTTACGTAACTTTTCTTTCATATATCGTTCTATCCGTCACAGGTCTATGGGATAGGGATTCATAAGGTAGGTACTTGAACATTCAACACCAGAAATATAATAGGATTGTTTCAGTAGATATTTATCTAAAATTTTAGGTACCTACCAACACGAAAATTCAAGGACCGACTTTGGAGATAGGTGAAACGTGAAAATTGTATGAATTCAAAATTTTAACTTAAAATACGTCAAAATGAAGCTAGTCAGATGATTATCTGGTAATATCTCAAAATTCCCCATATCGGCACAGGACGAATAATTCTGACGGATCCGTCTACGACAGGTAGACAGAGACGAATTTTGTTTTGGTTTTTTGTACGCTACAGATTCATTTTGTATTTGCTATCAGCTCTTTTATTTAGAAAAGTTCATTTGCATACAAAAAACAAAACGCCACAAACAAGTTTTACTACATCTATACCCGATCCATTATTGCCAACGTTGCAGACTAACACTAAAATGTCACTTGCTGATCAGCTGTTCAGCTCAGTAGACGTCAAAGCGTGATGGATACTCGTAAAATAGGTTACATACCCTATTTCACGAGTATGCATCACATTTTGACGTCTACTGAGATGAACATCTGATCAACATGTGACCTATCATTGTATTTGTAACTGTTGGTAATAATGAGTCGGGTGCGAAACTAGTAAAACTTGCTTGTAACGCCTTTTTTTGTATGCAAATGAAATTCGCTAAATAAAAGAGTGTTTCCTATAAAATGAATATGTACCAAACAAAAAACAAAAACAATGGGTCTTGGGCCTTGATGGATCCGTCAGAATTATGTGTTATTTGGGGATATGGGGAATTTTGAAATAACACTAAATAATCAGCTCTCATTCTACCCTAATGGATCTCGTGGATCGTGGGAAAATACAATATACACTTCTCAATCCTTCAGAATATTCGCAGCTTGCGCCATCTATGGATAGATACTTCAAGTGTTTTCGCCTGCATTGATCACTTAAAAGATAATACGAGCGACTAATTTATAGAGGTCCTCAGTGAATTGACACATGACACCTGTAATTACCTAACCTAACTTTTTTTATTTTGATTTTTAGTTAGTATATATTGGTATATATTATATATTTGTGTTTGAAAGTTTATGGTGGTTTACCTTCGCTGTTCTTTTTGCTTTTACTCGCCTATTTGTTTGAGGGCAAAAAGATCTTTTAATTAAGTAACTTTTATGTTCTTTATCATATGACGACACTTAGCGAAATTACGTTTCTCGTAACTCTGTGCTGTACATTGTTCGCGGTACTGATATTCTATATTTTTATAATTCTGGTAGAAGATAACATATCATAATTAAAGGTGATGATCAAGGACGAGTACGTACTGCAACTATATAATTTATGATACGAATTTTCAGGTTATACGGTATTAACAAGCTGCAAAACCTGCTAAATCATTCCATAATTTCCATATTAAGGTTCCCACAATCCAGCATGTCCAGCACAAAAATAGAGTTTGCCGTTCAAATGACGTGCGACTCCTGTGTAAACTCTGTCAGAAAAACACTAGAGAATGTGGAAGGCATAAAGAATGTTGATATCAATCTTGAAAAACAGTCTGTGGTAGTCGATAGCAACTTACCAACTCTCAAGTTACAGAAATTGTTAGAGTCTAGTGGCAAAAAAGTAGCTGTCAAAGGATTTGCAGGTAGCACTGCCGCTGTATCTATACTTGAGGCTGGGGACAAGTCAGTACAAGGTGTTGTTAGATTTGTGCAAGTCAGCCCAAAAAGTTGTCTTATTGATGGTACACTTGATGGGTTAAAGCCAGGTCCTCATCATGTATATGTGCATGAGTGTGGTGACATATCTCAAGGTAAAGTATTATTATAACATTATACTCCTTATTCAAAATAAACAGTGAGCTTTTTAAAAGTATTTTGGTTTTAATTACAATTAGATTCTACAAATATACTCATTACAAATGTCAGATAATTGGTATTTACTGCTGTCTGTCAGTATTTATCATGGAATGTGCTATTTATTGACTCTGTTACCAGGACAACATGCATTCACTAGGGGATTGTCACAATCAATATTTACTGTCGTCTATAATATTATTATACTATTACTGATTATTCCATTAGTGTAAGCAGATTTTCATGTAACATTATACATCAGTAATAACTGCACATTCTGGTTGCATGGTCAATAAATATTGAACTCCATGATAAATGCTATGCTGATCTTGTGATACATAGAAATCCACTGACATTAATGCAATCATCAGTAAATACTGATGGTATGGACCACAGGAAATACTGATTTTGTGGTATTTGCCAGTCATTAAAATATATCTGCTTTGTGAATGTGAATCCCATTTTAAAACATCTAGTGTATTTTAAACACTGTTCAGACTATAATTAGGAGTAAAACAATGAAATAAAAATGGTAAAAGTTACCCTAGCTATGACTTGAAGCATTTACTTTGAGGTTTTCACCCTATTTTTTTCCAAATTTCAATATTTAAGAAAATTGTATAAAAAAATAGATTCAACTTTTATGTCAAAATATATTTGAAATGATTATTAGAGCTGAAAAATACTATTAATGCAATATCTTGCAAACCAGTCAAACTAAACAAGCGCCTAATGTCATACCCAGGGTGATATGTATGTATTGGGTTGTCGGAAAAGTCATGACGTATATGCAACAAAGTATGCAATTGCATGGTTGGAAGTACGTGAGTCAATGACATTTGTATGTTGATTGTGTAGTTTGACAGTTGACACTTCAAGCTTCATTTGCACCAAAAAATTAAGTGATTTATTTGAGTCTCGTCGATTTTAGAGGACGTTGAAGATGGACGACCAAACTGTGCATTTTCGTCACATTTTGCTGTATTACTTCCGCAAAGGCAAGAACGCAAGACAAGCGTGTGAAAAGTTGAGAAAGGTTTATGGAGAACATGCACTACAAGAACGGCAATGCCAGAGATGGTTTAAAAAATTCCGAGATGGGGATTTTGATATCCATGACGCACCTCGATCAGGGCAGCCTACTGAGTTGGATAGTGACGAATTAAAGGCATTGGTAGGAGCAAACCCACATTACACCACACGGGAAATTGCAGAAACCTTAAAAATCCATCATTCAACCGTTCACGACCATTTGAAGAAACTGGGATACGTAAGCAAACTCGATCGTTGGGTACCACACGAACTGAGAGAGGTTCATTTGACGGCGCGTGTAGACATCTGCGATATGCTCCTTAAACGTGAGGAAAACGATCCTTTCTTAAAGCGCTTGATAACGGGAGATGAAAAGTGGATTGTTTACAACAATGTGGTTCGCAAACGGTCTTGGTCCCGAAGTGTAGATACGCGTAACACGATCGCGAAAGCAGAGAGTCATCAGGAAAAGGTGATGCTCTCTGTTTGGTGGGATTTTAAAGGGATCGTGTTTTTCGAACTCCTGCCAAAGAACCAAAACATCGATACAACTGTGTATTGTCGGCAATTGGACAGTTTGCAACAATCCATCATGCAAAAACGTCCGGAGCTCATTAATCGCAAAGGAGTTGTGTTCCACCATGACAACGCGAGACCGCACACAAGTTTGCTCACTCGTCAAAAGTTATTGGAGTTAGGATGGGATGTGTTACCACATCCAGCATACTCGCCTGATCTTGCCCCATCTGATTTTCATTTGTTTCGGTCGCTTCAAAATTCCTTGCGAGAAATACGCTTTACTTCAGATGAAGCTGTACATCAGCACCTTGTTCAATTTTTTGCCGGTAAAGACAAATCCTTCTACAAGCGAGGAATTATGAAGCTGCCTAAAAGATGGCGAAAGGTCATCGATCAAAATGGGCAATACATTATTGATTGAAGTTTGTGCTGTATATGAATAAAATGGCCTTAAAATAAACAAAAAAAAGCGTCATGACTTTTCCGACCACCCAATAGATAAAAATACCTACCTCCTTAATTAATGTGCATACCAACTTCTGGTGTATTTTCAACACACTTTAGGCTATATTTTTAAATAAAAAAATCTAAAACGAGAAAATGCGAAATTGCCCAAATTTTGGATTAAAATGTTAAATTCCGGCTTAGCACCTTAAGATTTTTTTTAATTATAAATTTGGTTTTCCTAACAAAAAGTACATGATATTATCTATATAAAACACTATGAAATATATCAGAATATATTTTCAATTTGAAAAGTTTCAAATACAGCTGCTATTTCGAAGCCCGTAAGTTAGGAAATGGACCTGCCACGAAAAGAAATCGTGTTTTCTCCTTTACACCTACTAGATATACAAACAGGCCCAATATGAGCGAATTTAAAACCTCACATTTTCTCGCTGTGGCTTCTCGTGAAATGCCCCCTATTCTAGAAATGAACTTTATGCATTTGCATTTGATTTTAGTATTTCTTATGGAATCTCAAAAAACTATATAAATCATATTTACGGATAATTTAGGATTTAGTTGTTACCGAATCTGAATTCATCAAGTGGTTTTTGATTTCCGTTTATTTTGTACTTTTATCGCAGCCGGAAATCTTATACGATTTAAATTCAGCTTTCGTGATGGCCACGCGATGGCGGCGATTCTGTTGGGTAGATTTAAAATGTCGACCATATACCTTTTAGATGTCTTACAAATGTGTGCTAAAAAACATCTACCTTGCTGGTGCAAGACATTTTAATATCTAAATAATAAAATTTCTTCAAGTACCTTAATTATACGAGGCCTGCAAATTAATTGATGAGACTGCCTGTTTTTATTTTTTTTATTCAAACATAATTACAATTATATTTTGTCACCCCTCAAAATAACGCCCTTCTGAAGCCACACAGCGCTGGAGATGGTTCTTCCGCTCATCGTAGCAGTGCTGGAAATCTGATACTGGAATAGCCTTCAGCTGGTCTCTTACAGACATTTGAGTTTTCGACTGTCCCAAAACTTCGGGAAGAGAAAAAAGTCACGAAGGCCCAAGTCAGGCGAATAAGTAGGCTGAGGAGTCACAGTAATGATTTACAGGCCAGAAACTCGTTTATTAACATTGCTGTGTGACAAGGCGCACCGATCTGATGAACAGTGGTGTGAGTCAAATTTAACTCTTCCCCAATCATTGTGACTGTCAACCGACGATCTGAACGCACAAGATCCCGGATTCTGACGATGTTTTCGTCGGTTCTTGAAAGTGAAGGAATTCCGCTTCGTGGTTCATCTTCAACCGACCATCTCCCTTCTGAAAATGCCCTAAACCACCGAAAAACCTGGGATCTTAACAAAACACTATCTCTGCAAGCCTGTTTAGCAAGAGTTTCTGATGCACTGTGCCCAAGTCTGAAGCAAAACCTGATGGCACACCGTTGCTTGAAATTGATGTCACTCATTTTTAGAACACAATAGAAAAAATGTTTCACAAAAAAAAATTACTTCTTACAACCAACTGACTCGAGCGAGTTCAAACTTGTACTGAAGGTGGATCACAAGTTCCCCTGTCTCCCTTCCAACCCCGGCGCCTCCAGTTCTGCCAGATAGAACGCTACGTTGTCAATCTCATCACTTAATTTACAGACCTCGTATGGTGCTGCACTCACAAAAAATTGTCTATGCTGCACAACTTTTTGTGGTGCGTTAACCTCTTGGGAAAGTAAATCAATTTTGAGAATAAAGGGACCTTTCAAAAACGCAAATATAATCTTAATATAAGTACAATACAGGAGCTGAAATGATGGTATATGAGAGAACTAGGTATGAATGTGAGGCTTATATGGGTTAGAAGAAGGAATTATTAAGACGGACGATAACGCGAAACCTGGACGAGAAAAACAGGAGATTGACTGGAAGATTGCGTGGGCGTATGACAAGAGGTAAGCAAAAATTAGAGTGAAAGACCAAGTAATGAGAGAATGGCAGCAAAACTGGGTACTAGTTAGAATGGAAAGGAAGTATACAAAGTGTGCTATAAAAGTTTTGCAATACAGCTTTACTATTGGCTTCATTCAAAGTAATTTCCACCTACTGAGTGGGGCGGTGGCAAATGCTTGTTCCGGAAGTTGTTGTATCCAGTATACAACTTCTTCCCGTTCAAGTGATTGTCCACGCGTGGCGGTACAAGTCTGCCAACGGGCCAGTTTAGGTCTATTTAACATCACTAACACGTAAAAAGAAGGTGGTAGACAAGGACCAGTCGACAGAGGTAGTACCACCCGCTAGCTTTTCGCAGGGTGTCTTATAAATGTCCGCATGTTTCCACACCTAAGCTATGCAGTCGGTTATCCTAGCACTAAGAACTCCGGACGTAAACTCACTCCACTCTCGGAATGTCTGGGTGGAGGGTGGGCTCGAGGGAACAACATCGAAGATAAAATTTGTTTTTCGAACATCTGCGGGATTAACAGCAACATTGATGCTGTTCATCACTACCTGCAATCCAATCTTCCCGCCGTTCTTTTCTTGGCGGAGACAAAAATCTCAGAGTCTGCACCGATTAACCATCTTAACTTCCCAAACTACGAGGTGCACTCCAATCTGAGAAAGAACGGGGGAGTTGTGGCTTTTGTCCGCAGTAGTCTTTCCTGCTCCAGAGATGTTTCTTTGGAATCAGACCGGAAGGACATTCTGTGGCTTCGCCTCAACTCCAAAACATCACCCAAGTTTATTTGCTGCCTTTATCGCTCTCCCTCGGACCATAACTGGGATGACCTACTCGAATACCTCGCCGTCCAGATCGACTCTCTAAACATCAATCATCCCGCTTCAGAGGTAGTTCTTCTCGGTGATTTCAATGCCCATAACGAGCTTTGGTTGGGCTCAAAAAAGACCGACACAGCAGGTCGTGCAGTCGAAGCGTTCGCTCTTACCCAAGGGCTGACTCAGCTGGTGACGAGTCCTACTTTTTCCCCCGCGTCTCGTCACACGCCAGTAGCCTGCTGGATCTCTTTCTGACCACGCATCCTGCCCCTTGCAGCACTGCTGTCCTGTCCCCCCTGGGTAACTCAGACCACGGTGTTGTGGAGGTTAGGTTTCGGTTAGAACCCGCTGTGGCAGCAGAAACTCGTACAGGCCGCAAAACTTGGCATTACGGACATGCCGACTGAGAGGGGCTCAGAGATTTCTTCTCTAGCTTTCCTTGGAAAGATGTCTGTTTCACTGACGCGGATGCGTCGGCTGTCTGTTCTTCGATAACCGAAATTATCCACGTCGGAATGGAGGAATACATCCCTCACACAGTGAAAGTGCCTAGACCAGGGTCCAACGGCTGGTTTAACAAATCGTGTGACGCTGCTCGCCAGCAGAAGATCAAGGCACACAGAACCTTCTTGCAAAACCCCACTGTAGAGAACAGACAAGCCGACGTTGAGTCCAGAAACAAAGAACTTCTCACACAGTAGCCTTCCACCACTTACGTGTCAGGATGGAACTATTGTATTCAACTCAAAGGCCAAGGCGGAAGTGCTAGCCAAGATCTTTGCTGCCAGCTCCACCATGGACGTCCTCCCCCAACGCCCAAGTGCCATCAATTCAAAGGGTTCCCTACACTATGCGGGAGGTAACATTTCAGGCATAAGACCGTAAGCTCTTGTCGCTCGACATCAACAAAGCTTCTGGTCCGGACTTGATTCCTGCCATTGTACTGAAGAGGTGTGCACCGGAGCTTGCTCCAGTTCTTTCGCCTCTCTCCCAGATATCTTATGAATCCGGTACCCATCCCAAAAAAGGGATCTAAGACCGACCCTTACAACTCCAGGCCTATAGCTCTGCTTTCTGTTTTAAGTAAGGTGATGGAGAGGTGCATAAATCGCGAGCTTCTGGACTACCTCGAACGTCACGGCTTGATTAGCGACAGGCAGTATGGTTTCGGGCACCAACGATCCACAGGGGACCTCCTAGCTTACGTCACTCAATTGTGGAGTAAACTCATCCAGTCTTATGGTGAGGCTCATGTCGTTGGGTGTTCCCCAGGGATCGGTCTTGGCTCCGACACTGTTTCTCTTAAATATCAACGACCTCCTTTCTTGCACGATCAACCCAAACCACAGCTTCGCTGATGACAGCACTCTACATGCAGGAATTCAGAGTGACAAGCCGATCTCTGCCGCGGAGTTGGAAAAAAGAAGACTAGCGATGACTTCCTCTCTGACAAGAGACCTGGAGGCTATCACTGCTTGGGGACGCAACAATCTTGTACAGTTCAATGCTTCCAAAACGCAGTACTGTACTTTGACGAACAAAAAGCGTCCCTGCGCTCACCCGGTTTCGATGGATGGTAGAGTTCTGCCAAAGAGCCATTCATTTTGGCTGGTCGGAGTCCAGATCACCGAGGACCTGATCTGGCACGAACACATCTCGTCAATAGCTGCAGCTGCTGGAAAAAAGCTAGGCTATTAGTTTAGGGCTGAGAAGTACTTTTCTCCGCATGACCTTCTCACCCTATACAAGACCCAGATAAGGCCTAGCCTCGAGTATTGCCCCGACTACATTATCCATGCTCGATGCTGTCCAGAGGAAGGCGGTCCGACTGATCAATGACTCTTCTCTAACAGATAGTCTCGGGGCTCTTTCGCACCGGCGGGCTGTCGGCGATCTGGCTCTTTTCTACCGTTACACCAACGGGCTTTGCTCCTCAGAGCTCTCTTCCATGATGCCGTCGCGCGATGTGCCTGCCAGACAGACCCGCCTAACTTTGGCATCCCATCCTAACCGTGTCGAACTTCGTACATCCGGAACCGGCCGATACGACCGCTCCTTTGTCGCTAGGGTGTCGAGATTGTGGAATAATCTACAAGAGGAAGCTTTTCCAAGTTCTATTAACCTTAGGCAGTTCAAAAATCGTATTAATAAAATTTCTTTCGGCAGCCGCGGTGTTCCGGCATTTAGGCTTCTGCCTGCCGCGGCTGCTTCGATATAAAAAAACACACACATTTGGGAGCGAAATGGGTGAATGTGCGTGTTGCAGAAGAATTCACAGTTGAAAGCATGTAAGAGAGGAATGCATGATTGCGGCAAGGGTGAATGCGAGAGGGAAAGTGATGAGTATTTGTGGGAGCTTGAGGCCACAACTTAGAGCAAATAGTTAAGGTAACAGTTTCGCAGTTGATATTACGATTTTTCGAACGAGTGAGCAAGTACTCTGCTACGATTACATGTCTTTTTCTTTATGTACATATGTTCCTTTTTTTGTTTATAGATACTTGTTTTATAGTATGTGTTTGTTTTTGTATGTTAAAGCCGCAAATCGGGTAACATTAAATTGTATCAGTAGTTGAAATAACCCAGTGCAAATCACTCCACCGGGTACTCGGCCGATGCATCCCTATGAAAATGTAAACGTTCATTTCCTAGGTTGTACCAGCGTTGGAGATGTCTTCAATCCACCACATGAACAAAAACAAAGAACATATGGCGACATAGGCCAAATGTCAGCCTCTGAAGATGGAAGGGCAGCTTTTCGAATTGAAGATGATGTTATCAATGTACCAGATATCATTGGCAGATCTTTGGTGGTCACGGATGGGGAAGGTAAAAAAAGACTCGCGTGTGGTATCATTGCCAGATCCGCGGGATTGTTCCAGAATCCAAAGACCATATGTGCCTGTGATGGAGTGACTATTTGGGACGAAGTGTCTAAGCCAAAGAAAGCTGCATTGTGAACATTCCTTTTTATATATATATATATAATGGTATTTTGTTTAAATGTTTTTTTCTTTATATTCAATCTATCACCACTTAGTACTTGCGCAGTTTTTTTGATAAACATGAAAAAATGAAGGTGGTGAGATCTCAGCTTCAAAAAATGCCATTTTTATAATAAAAAATCACTTCATTTGAATCTCTCATTTTCAAAATATCCATTGTATTTTTGTAAACTCAAATTTTTGCTGCATACAAAAAGGGATCGCAAACATCCCATGTTATCGAATAAAGCTTTAAATCACCCATTTATTGGGAAATGTTCCAAAATCTCTCTGCTAGCTATTGGAATGAGAGTATGAAATGAAAAATCGCTATCAGTTACTTTATCCAGCATCACGTTTAATCAAAACAATTTTACAAATGTTGAGAAATATAAAACCAAATATCAACATATTCTTTAAAGCAGAAAATTAAATAAGTTTAATGTTAGTGAACATAAAAACATCAATCAGGCCATAGACAATTAAGGCATTGGAAGTAACTACACAGATAGAAACAACAATAAACAATTAATACAATTGAACTTAGCAAATATAAATACGAATCAATATAGAAACTGCGAATCTTCCATATTGAAAGTTAAATTGGCGGATCTCTGAATTTGCATGACATCAACCTGTTTCCTGTAAAAGAAATAGCAACATATCACTTTCAGGAAAAAGATAAGGTTATCCGAACATAATTATCCTAATTATTTTTGCACATAAAGAAGCTTTTGAGCTATTTAGAAAGTCAACAAAGTTATGAAAATCACTTTTTGCCGAATCAATCTGATTCCATTTTTACCAATCAGATATAGTATGTTCACCCAATTACGAAAACTCATTACTTTCAATGCTTGGCATTGTTTAAATATACTTATCCGTTTGTAAGAAAATAAAAACAACTTACTTGAGGTTGATGACATTATATTTGAGAAATTTCTCTATCAAAATGTGTTGCTCATCGTCAGAAAACATCGACATCAACTTTTCTTGAAACTTTTCATACTTAAACATCAGATATAGCATTAGCCTGAAATATAAATAAAATATTTCAAATTATGCAACAGAGTATTGTCAAGAGAGACTTATTACGGTTAAATGAGGGTAACGTTGCGCATTTAGGTAACTACGAGTAATAACGTTTTCCACTGCACTGGTGCATTTCTGCACCTAAGTCGTTATTGTCATGTCATTATCAGTGTATCGTAATATCAGGAAAAGTGCAATTGTGCGGGAACAAAACCAGTGCAGGATGATTACTTGAAACTTCTTTGAAAACTAAAATACTTCACAATAATTTCCCCAATGGAACACACGATGACATAGTCAAATGTACCAAAGTGCCCAGCAGGAATGCTCTAATAAGAAAAAGTGCTTTAAAAATGCGAGAAGAAAATGACACTTAGAAAGTTTCTCAATTCATTCATAGTATTTTCTGAGATAGACAAAAAACTGATTTTCCCAAAATCCTCTTTATTTTTTCTGACTTAACTGGGGGATTTACAAATAAATTGCACAATGCCACTTTTCACCCTTTTCAAGGTGACATAATTAGAATTGCAATATGACATTTCTTCTTTTGTCCAGGCCTTGAAATTGTCATTTTTCACAATAACGTCAGCCAAGCATTCCATCTTTTTTTTAAACTGACTGGGCATTTCCCTATTTGCGATTTTAATGAGGACATTCATTTCATATCTTGCATTTAAATAATATTAATTTACAGCTGAGGTGCCCCGAAGAGAGGATCCGTTGTGCTGAAATAACCCTTGTAATAGCCGATAAATTGTAAAATTATCTGAAGAGCCTTTAAACACGCTTCTCAAAAACTGAAGCAATCTTTACTTGGTGATGTGATCGAATGAAGGTCTTTTCACGCTTTTTGTCGGGCACAGTAAAACTACAGGGATTATTTTCTCAACTCGGAGTTTTTCTAATAAACGTTGAAGCAAGTATACAGCGCCTAAAAGCTGTCGGCATCATCACTTGGCACTCAGCGGTCATGCGGTAACTTGGCAAAGGCTAGGCAGGAACAGAACTTTGTCTCCATTGGCACTGACATTAATTATAGTGTGTTATAAATAAAAAATGTTGGAAATTGTATCTTACGACATGCAGGCTTAAAAACTAAAATCATTTTTTATTTACCTGCATCGTGCCATGGTTCTCAGCATGTTCCCCTCAATGCTTCTGATAATAGTGTCAGTAGTATTATATGGGCTGCATTTCACGCAAATGAACTCCCGAAAACACATGCTGGGACTAAGATAGCCGTGGCAGGGCATGTGATACGTCCTTTTGCATCGGTGACATACGATTTTTTCTATGGTTGCACCGTCAATTCCGCTCTGAAAGAACATTGATTTGTGAACATGAAAAACATTTTTGGTGAATTAAATTATTGTTATAACTTCCCAAAATCGTGTCGGAAATAAGTAGGTTTTAGATACAGAACCAACCCTGCTTTGGTCCCTGAACACTATGATGTACCGGTTAATAAGGGGACCTATTTGTATCACTTGACAAGGTTAACAACTCAACCATCGGCCTCGAGCATTGGTTGTTTCCTCCAACCGTATGCTGTATCTGGACGTTCACTTGCAAATCCCATTGTCATAACCATGCTGCCAAGTAGATCGCAGTAAGATAACTAATAAAAACAGACTCACTTTTCCTTTTAAAGGGTAAACCAATGTAACGGCCCAAATGAAAGTTGTTTTGACTTATTTTTATGGAAGAAAGGTTATAAAATACCAATATTGGAGGCATATATTTAAGTAACAAAAAAAAAATAGAATAAAAATATTTAAAAATGGCGGCTCCGCGGTCATTTTGTCTGCAAATTTGAACAAAAAGAGACACTTGTAAAGTAGGCGAAAATCAAATTTCGATGAAAATGAGCAAAATAACTATACCTGAAGACGGTGGTCTATGGCGGTATACAGGCTGTCACAGAAGTCGATGTCAAGCCGGAAATGGGAGGTGAGCCAAGTCATAATAGTTATCAGAAAAATATAAAAAAATCAAGTCGTGTACTTTTTAAATTACAGGCTTTAAAAAAATCGAAAAAATGTACACCCTGTGATGATTTTTAGTTCTCATTATAATTTTTTCTTAGACGGAATGACAGACAGTGTCATTCTACATAGAGACGGCAAGTCAGACAATACCGCCACTTTTAGTAATAATTCATTTATGGGGAAAATAGTGTGCTGCAGCTAGGCTTCATGGTGAGAAATACCAATATGCTGCTTGTCATCCCGATCACCATCTTTTTGTGAAAGTGCACCGTTTACTCTCAGAGGGACGATTCCCAAATCAAGCACATGGTGAAGGAAGAATTTCCTTTCCTTACGAGGACGTCGAACGACAAGCAGTAGAAGAAGACCCGAGTACTTCAGTACGTCAAATTGTAAATAGCAAAATGTACAGCGAGTACAATCTCTACAATCCCGGGATTATTTTCCAAGAGTTGAGTTTTGTCAATGTTACAAAGAGACCGGGATTTTTAGAGAAAATTTTATGGACTGATGAGTCAACATTTAAAAAAGATGGTTACATTAATCTACACAACATACCCGAGTGAGATGTAGAAAGTCCACATTTGATGAGACAACATAGATCACAGTATCTTTTTAAAGTAAACATGTTGTCCAGGATTCTAAATGGGAGAAACATTGTACCCTTTGAGCTGCCAGAGTTCTTGAATGGCGAAATTTATTTAAACTTTTTACAAAATCATTTACCAAATTTATTGGAAGACGTGCCATTTACAGAGACATGTGGTACCAGCAAGACGGCACACTATGCCCGTTCAGTTAGAGAATATCTTGATGCAGAATACCCCAGCAGATGGGTAGGGCGTTTTTTTTTTCTACTGGGAGCGGTGGAAGAAAAAGCTTACCCAAAGCAGCGTTAATCAATGACTGTATGTAGCTAAATGGTCAGACATTCCGACTTTAGAAAGGATGTTCATGAGATTGAAAACAAGCCATGGAGGGTTAAGTGTTCGATGTCGCAGAGGTCAGCAAAGAGAGCCAAAAGTGGCGTAGTTGCCAGACTTGGCTTCCTCACTATTATCCCTACGTTCAGCTGAACAAAAATCTATAAAACCCCATTATTTTTAAGCCAAATTAAACCACGTATAAAATAATTACTTTTTAGTAACGCTTTCTCGATGGCCTTTTCAAATTAAAAATAAAAATGACATTGACAGTGTATTTTATATTTATCTGCTCTCCAAGTAACAGTTCATTTGTGTTTTTCCGCAACTATACCAGGATGCAGCGCCTGTCAGAATCATGAATAATGCAAATAATAATTGAAGCTTGACAATTGAAATTGCAAGCTGTTGCTGCATTTGGATATAAAAAATATATATAGTTCTTTTCACAGTTTTTTAGTTGTGCGTCTCCGTCTCGAAAACTTTGTCGTTACGTATGAGTGCTCTTCGATCATATTTGTCATAGTGACAACTTGCTTGACATCGGCGTGCAATCTGAGTTGTCCTGTTATCAATCTTGAATATAATATTGTACAATGCCCGGAAATACGATCAATGGCGAATTCCGACAGCTCGTGCTAAATTTATTATTATTAGAGTATTTCCAGGCAGAGAATGAAAACAGCGGCCCTCTGCTACCCATTTCATGCGTACTGGAGAGAGTAGCAGATGCGCTGAAGATTAGTCTACGCCCATGAGACTCGATCTGTTTACTTATTTCATATGGCGTTGATGACGTGACCGCCAAGAACGGTGACTACAAGTTTACTAACCTTGATAAACGTTCCACTAGCGACTTCACAGATGCAGTAATCTGCTTCGTTTGAACACAGTATAGGTGCTTCTGCTACAGATACTGAATCCTCTGAGGATATCAAGGAGATGTTCAAAACTGTCAACAAAAAAAGTTAAGATAAAGGAAATGAAAAGTCTTGGAGTACAAAAGAGTTCAGGTTGAGTTGAAACATACAGTAAAGGTAACTCGCCACCTTTTCGATTTTGCCGTTCGTCTTAGATAAGCTATGAAGTGGTGTACAAAATCGAATAAAAACATATTATAATTATCATCCTATCGAGTGTTAACGTAAACGCCAAAGGGTAGTGTGGTCTTTGCTTATTTTTGATAACTTGGAGGCCAATGGGGCCTGGATGGTGATTATGTAAGCAATAGTGGCTGATCTAGGACCGCTGAGGCCATTGCTGGCTTTGAGTCCAGAGACCTGACGCGCAGTGCCTCTGGCAACCATTATTTAGGGTGCGGAAGCATAACTCCCGTTTTTTAAATGCACGCCATTCAGTCGGTTGATGTAGCGGAGCGCTAGTGGTCTCGTTCGAGAGGCGGGACTATAAAGTTTTGTCTCGACACAGTTCAGTCGCCATCATACTTTGGAATAGTGGGGTGCTTTTGTGTCCAATTTCCTCAGCTGGAATTATTGGTCCCTGGTTCTTTGAGGCAAAATGAAGTCGCAAAGACAATGAATTCGGACCGGTATGTAAACATGTTACAGGATCTTTTTTCACGGCAATTTCATTCATTCAAGAGCATCTATGGGTGTTTTTGAAACCCCGTATTTATATGAACCGTACAAGGGACCTACAAGATGTGAAGACCAACATCTAGGAAGAAATTGCCAACATAATGCCTGCTATGCTGGCAAGATTCATGACAAACGCCAGAAATCGGTTTACTCAGTGTATGGAGAATATGGGAAGTCACTATCTGATCTGATCTTCAAAACTATGCTAAACAAAACTTTAGGCATGCGCATGCATTGTAAAGAAATAAATAAGTGGTCTGATTCATACAATGGGTTTTATAAAGTTTTGAAAAAATGAAGTTATGGTGCCGCCTCTTGTATTAGCAAAAACTTAATATCCCCAATAATTATAAAATGTATTGAAAAATAATACTTACTTGTTAAGGGAGATTGATTAATGCAATTCTTATTTTCGTCGATTATCTGGGGTTGTTCCAATTCCGAGTCAGCGCTGATATTGATCGAGTCTATAATAATTGCAGGTTCTTCTAGACCTGTATCAGCATTTTGTTCAGGATTGTCATTCGGGGCAGATTGACTAGCTCCTTGACCAGTCTCTGTGAAAACGCACGTATTACATCGAGATTTTCCAAAACGCAAAGCTCTCAATAGGAATAGTATATGGTGTCCGGTGGCAGAATTCGGATTTCAAAATCAAATGGTTTCGTAACCGTTAGGCAGGGGTGTCACGTGCCAAAATCACGTAACCTTTTTTTCTCTATTTATCACTTATCAGTAATTTGAATTTCTCCCTATTGATAATAGAGTGCCCATTCCTAGGCCAAACCCCTTTTCAATTTCACTCGTATTATATCTTTCGTGGGTGCGGAGATTCCGAGCAACAGGATCAGCAGCAAACAGCCCGCATCTTAGCTCTCAAAGAAAATATCGTGTGGCACGAAATACCGAGGCGAGAGATTTCAATAGCGTGTCTAACGTAATGGTCAAAATTTAGATGACATGATTTTTGAAAAACAAAATCCGCACTATTTTTCTTTATAATAATTATCCGAATTCTGCCACCGGACACCCTGTACATAGTAAGCGCGGAACGAACTATTAGCATGCGAGCATACCTAGTCAACAAGTTGACATTTCATCAGTTTTTTTGACTTTACATAGTTTTTGTTGGCATTTTTCTCCGCCGCCACTGAACCGAACTTCAAAAACTGTCAAGCTTAGCTTAGAAGTAACCTTGAAAATTTCATCCAAATCCGATCAGTACTTTCCAAGTTATAGGCGGGCCAGAGAATATACCATTTTAAGAACAAACAGCCTTTGAATATTTGAAATGAATTGATCCTTATCAACTATGACAGAAACAATTATTTCCAGTGCGGAAAGAAAGAATCCTTTTTGAAATGGCTCAGTCTAATCATATTAGCAAATTGCCACGAAATAATTGTAAAGTCTGGTTTTATTGGTGGAAGTTGTTCAAGGGGTTATGTAAAACATGGACGCATAAAATGGGTACACCAATTTTTGTGGGAAAACTTTTTATTTGACAACAAAGAATCGGAAAACGTGTTTTTTGGGATTTAATCGAAAGTGTTGTCAGGAACGAAAAAACTTTTCATATAAGATTATTAGGTACAGGGTGGGCCAAAAGTTCCTGACTGATTTGAAAAATTCATAAGTTTTTCCCAAGTTAACATATTTGATTTTTTTTCAGATTTACAAAGTAGAGCTCTGGATATATTAGAACGGAGAGACTTAATCTAATCCAGAGAACCAAAGTCGTACAATTTTACTATGAACATAATCATTCGATTGTAAACACCAAGAGAGCTTATCGAAGATTTTTTAATGTTCGAAACGCCCCATCCACTGGGGCTATCCGCAGCATTATTCGGCATTTTCAAACCCTTTGTTCTGTATCGGACCTTCCTCCAACTGGACGACCACGTTTAGCTTTCACTGGAGAAAACATAGAGAGAGTAGAGGAAAGTGTTCAGGAGGACCCCGAAACATCGACCAGAAGAAGGTCAACTCAATTAGGCCTCTCCAGGACATCCCTCAGAAGAATTTTGAAACATTTGCGGATGTTTCCTTACAAAATTCAAATGGTTCAGCACTTACGACCACAAGATTATGCACAACAACTTCAAATCCGTAGGATTCATACTTCTAGATAACAACAAAACTTTAGTATATTGGTCAAGTAGTTTTTTGAGAATATCTAATTATTTATCCCAAAACACCTGTTTTCCGCCCATCACTACTAGTTCATTGAGCAATATACAGTATTCGTTCAGATCATTTAATAGCAAAATACACGTGTTTACCTTGCCGATATGAATCACAAACCATTCCTTTTTTTTCTCCTAAAACAAATTCAAACATTTCGTATTTGTAATGCGCTACGATATTCGAAAAACATACGCTACTATAGACATTTTAAGCGGATGTGTCATCGTCTTTTGTTCCGAATTACTACTTGTTTAGAAGAAAAAACGTAACCCATCCTTTTTTGCATAAAAATAACATTCATCTTCCCGAATGGTTTGCGATTCATATCGGCAAGGTAAACTAATGTATTTTGCTATAAAATGCGATTTGAACTAACCCTGTATATTGATCAATAAACTAGTAGTGATGGCTGGAAGACAGGTGTTTTCGGATAAACAATTATTCTCAAAAACTACTTGACCAATCTACTTCAATTTTGTTGTGGTTATTTAGAAGTACGAATCCTACGAATATGAAGAAGTTCAGATATCTGCGAGAAATTATCGTCGGTCATAACTTTTTTGCTGTTAGTCGGATCTTTTTACGTGTAGTCTCATTTTGTAGGTCTCATAAATACCTAAAAATCTTATATTAAGTTTTTTCGTTCCTGCCAACCCTTTCAGTTGAAACCCAAAAAACGCATCTTCTCATTTTTCGTTATCGAATAAAGTTTTCCCACAAAACTTCGTGTACCCATTTTATGCGTCCATGTTTTGAATAGTCCCTTGAACAACTTGCAACTCTAAAACCAGACTTTACAATTATTTCGCAAACCAGGAGTATTTTCGTCTGATACGATTAGACTAAGAGTCATACTGTTAAACTGACCGGGCATCTTGAGACGTTTCAAGAGAGGAGTGTTTTCAATCTCATCTTCTTCGTCTTCCTCGAAAATCTGTTCCAGATTGTGCTTCTTCTGTAATAAGATACACATCATTCTGTTAAACCAACAAGCTCAAAATAAAAAAAAGTTTAAAATGAAAGAAAATCTTCAGTTTGTTAAGATTCAAGAATATATTGCTTACCGACTTCCGTTGAACTGAGTAATATATCTTGTGGTAGCCCGTGTTCAGCTGGCCAAACACTAGTCTATCCTTCTTATCGAAATCTAAACACAGTGGGTTTTCCGTGTGTTTAAAACCGGGAGGCTGGTATTGAAAAGGGGTAACTAAAAATGTATATTTCGACTTTATTTGTTGAAGATTAGACAGTAAATAGCTTAGATAATGTCTACGTTTTACAAATCTAGCTGACTAATAATTTCTCTTCTTTTGTAGCAAAAATACGGTCAAATATTGAGCAGCTATTAGAATTAGATGCAGTACTCATACTCACGATCGTTGTAAGTCAGCTCGAATTTTATTCTCGTATCTTTTTCCAGCTTGTCAAGCTTTTCTAATTTCTCGATGCATTTTAAGACACCCATCGTAGCATCTCGCAGATTTGAAAATGTGCAGTCATCTTTCTGTTTTGCTTCTGTATTATACTTTAACGCTATGCTATAGACCTCTAATGTTTCCAATGTTTCGTGATGTTTAAATAAGAGGAAAATTTCCTTCAGCTGAAAAATAATGTATGATGATAGGGTATATCATTTGCTCGTCTAAAAGTATCGTGCTGCTTCAGTAAAAATCGACTAAAACTTAGTAAAGCTCTTAAATCCACAATTTGCACCCGTGCAAGAAATTTCGGAGATATCAAGAATGTAGGATTTCACATATTTAAATAGCATGTGATATAAAAATATTATGTGTATACCAAATAGTTTGTTACAAAAATATTTAAAAAATTGCCTTCAATGATGTTACAAGATGCGTTTCAAATATAACACGTTGCATTATGCGCAACATATATCTGCAATTTGTTTGAACACATATTGCAGGCAGTCAATACGTTTGCCACAATATTCGCACTCCCAATTAAATACTTCCGTAACTGCAAATATGAGTTTTGTGATAAATGAACTTTTAGAAGCTGATGTTACGACTGTTACGTCTTATTTTTACTACGATATGTAATAGATTTACGAGACACCATTTTATCTCATTTGATATTTTGATTCATTTGGAGGTAAAACAACGCTATAACTCAAAATCTGTAAAAATTTGCCTTTATGGCAGCGTTGAATTGGAGGTGCGAATATTATGCGCCTGACTCGACCTGACTCATTTATATATGTACTTCGGCATCTGCAACATTTTGTCTCTACAAAAGTACCAGGCATATGTTGCGTTCGTCGACGTTAAAATTATAATACGAGCTCACCACCAAACGTTAGTTTTCAAGTAAATTGTTTTCTTTAAATTAAAATTAGTGGACTTCAAAATCAATCTGTAAAATACTTACATATCCCCTGGTAATTGCATGTTGAATGCCTTTCAATATAAATAACAAATATTTTAACACAGGGTCCTGGGGTTCTCTCGCTTTTATTGTGACAAACTGAACGCCCTGATACTCTCTGCCTTTCAGCTCTCCTAAACGCAGTCCATCGCTTCTGCGATGCAAAATGTTCAACAAAGAAACATTTACCATCACCACTGCGTATCGTTTGGATAGCTTTATTGACTTTGAAGCATTTTGCAGTAAATGTCCGGTTATATTCTTAAAAAGAATAAAAATTAAGAACAGGTTCATCTAAGAAACTCAAGGAATTATATAACTTGCAATACTACGAGGTTTGTAAATTTAGTAATAGACTGGCAACGTAGCATTCGATCAACCTGGTGGCGCCAGCTAAGAGGGGAGACAGAGGAACATGCTATCTACCTTCAGTACAAGTTTGAACTCGCTCGAGTCAATTGGTTTTCCGAAGCGATTTTGTTTGTGAATTTTTTTTTTCTATTAGTGACATCAATTTCAAGCAACGGTGTGCTATCAGGTTTTGCTTCAGACTTGGGCACAGTGCAGCAGAAACTCTTGCTAGACATGCTTATAGAGATAGTGTTTTGTCATGATCGCAGGTTTTTCGGTGGTTTAAGGCATTTTCAGACGGGAGAGCGTCGGTTGAAGATGAACCACGAAGCGGAATGCCTTCATCTTCAAGAACCTACGAAAACATCGACAGAATCCGGGATCTTGTGCGTTCAGATCGTCCGTTGGCAGTCAGAATGATCGAGGAAGAGTTAAATTTGACTCACACCACCGCTCATCAAATTAAGAACAACTTTGTGTTGCATAGCAATAATGCTTTTCTTCACCCACAATGTCAATAAACGAGTTTTTGTCCAGTAAAAACATGTCTGTGGATCCTCAGCCTCCTTATTCGCCAGACTTCGGTCCTTGTGGCTTTTTCATATTCCCAAAGTACAAAATCCCCTCTAGGGATCTCATTTTGGGGCAGTCGAAAACACTCAAACGGCTGTAACCGACCAGCTGAAGGCTATTCCAGTATCGGAGTTCCAGCACTGCTATGAGGAGTGGAAGAACCGTCTCCAGGGTTTTGTGGCTTCGGAAGGAAGTTATTTTGAGAGTAACAATATAAAATTGTAATTATATTTGAATGAAAACATTAAAAAAAAAAACAGCCTCATCACTTAATTTACAGACCTCGTATGTACCATAAAATGTTGGTCGTACGTTATTCGTCATGTTGTATATGGATGACAAGGAGATTTGGACTCCAGCATTGTAACCTTTGGTTATGTTGTATATCATTGGTTCTGAAAGGTCAGTTATCGAAATCTTGGAAGTGGACCATCTGAATTGGATACAAATTTTACAGAGTGACGAATGAGTACTGAAGAGTAGGTAGGTACTTAAATATGGACGGGGTTGCCAGCATAACTCTCAGAAACCCGTGCATTTACAAAAAATATTTCATACAAAACTTTTTTGGTTCAAATTTTATCTTATTTCATTTTTTTATAAACAGGATGACTTGATTTGCCAGAATGGGAATTAACTTATTTTTTTAATAGTCCCCATATATATTGCGTATATGTGCAAGATGTTGTTATTTAGTTTTTAAGGTATAACATATTTAATTATTTTTTTACAGTCACCTTGAAAACGGCTCACTGCAATGATCGAAAACATGTTTCATGGTGAACGTCAGAATAATCGTATACCCCCTCGTGACTTTATTCTTCTATATTTCAGTACATCGAATATGAGTTGATACCCACTCTGGTAAAACTGAACGCCCTCTATATTCAAAAACCACCAACTTGTAAACCCCACCTCCACACAAGACCTGTATGCTATACTTGAAAAAGGTCACTGTTAGGATCAAGACGTCACACAATAAAGAAGTAGAATTTTAAACATATACAATGTGAGCTATTAGTGTGAGTTCGGTCGATAACTACGTTATTACGCACGCGATCTAAAAAAGTTGATTACAAAAATTGTAACCAATAGTATGCTCCTTACTCGGAAAAAGTTTTTATGCTTACCTGCTTACTTTTACGGTTTTTTTTTTGCTTATACAGGGTAGTCAAGAACGTAAAATAAACGATTTCGGAAAATTTTCAAATGGACACCCTATAAATTTTCACATTCCTTGATTCCCCTTTCTACAAGCTTTTTATACAGGGTGACTTTGAAGTTGAGTCATTAATTTTCAGATAATGATTGTAGAAGGAAGATAAACCAAAATATGTGTGTAAAAATAAAAAAAAAATTTACCTTGTTTTATAAAGTATCCTCCCGACAAGTATTTCAGTGCGGACCTGTATTTGATCGTGAGGTCTTGGAGCACCGGCATGCCGTCCCCTGTGAGGTCTTAAGTCACCTGATTCACGAGCCCGTTGTACTACATTAACAAAGGCACGAGGGGTTGATTGCACTCGATTGGGAAACCGATCCGCATAAACATGTGCCGTTTTTGATTTCGTTTGAGCCACGCAACAGACACCACTATTCACTCACGCGTTACCGACTGACACTGACTGTATACAACTGAATAAAATAATTGTAAAAACATCGTTCCAAATTCTTTTGCCTTTTTGTTTCCGATGCGATGAACCGATAAGGCGGATTATATCCGTTGTTGCCAGACACGAGCACATAATATTATTATTGAGACAGGGCGGTACTCAAACTTCCAAAGGGCTATAACTTTGTTACTTTAATTTTACCAGAAAAATGGTGAAGGAAAAAACATTTCTTTTGATCAGATCTACTCACTGTTAAAATAAATGACTCAACTTCGAAGTCCCCCTGTATATACGATTATGGAAGTTTTTGTAAATCATATCAAGGTAAATGAAAAATATTGCAATACCTTTCGAAATAAAGATAGCTTTTAGTCATTAACGATGGTCTTTAGAATTTTTTTAGAAAAGTCAATTTTTTATAGCTCAGAAACCATCAGTCGTACAAACGCCTATAAACTACATAACAGTGATAAGGAAAATATGCAGGGTGTTCTATTTGAAAATTTATAGAAATAGTTCATTTTGCCTTATTGACCACCCTGTATAAGCTATCTATGAAACTGAAAACGTAAGTAGCTATATAACATTTGCGGATGTGCGAGTTGTCAAAGATGAGTGTTTTTTTTTATAGATTGTTCACTATCAATTTGAAAGTAAAGCCCTGTAGTATGTTATATCGGATTGCTCCTTTAAACAGCATATCCAAATCTACCATAAAATATAGGGCTTTCCATTTAAAAAAATTATGTTTCGGTCACCTCGTAATTATGAATCACTCTGTAGAAATTAAAATATTTTTCAAGTCGGAAGCATAATGTTGGCTACAATTTTTGCATTTCACTTTTTTAGATACCATGCATAATAACGGAGTTATTGACCGAGATCACACTAAAAATTCACCCTGTATGCGGTTCGATTTGGCCAAACATGGAGGATTATAAGCCCTACTCAGTTTCACAGTAATGATTATGTGTGGCTTCTGAGTCAAGCTTAGCCAATTTTTCCTATGCCAAAATAGCTTTAAAGTGACGCCCAGATATATGAAAAAGAAAGTTATAGATTATATGAAATGAAGTAAATATAAGAATAAATAAAGGAAGATTTTTATATCCCTATCCCAGCAAATATGAATTAATCAGTCCATTACACTTACCATGTCCAACGTAGCATTTGACATTGCCATTTTAAATATTTTTATTAACTATAGATATAGAAAATTGATAGATGAACGGTTTTTAGAGAACAAACCAATAATGGAGGAAACTAGAAGATGGACTCCATGGCCTTTTTGGAATTGCCAATCAGAACATGTATCTGAAACAAATGACTAGCGGCAAACCTACTAGATAATGCTTTATGTTGTTATTAACACTATTTTCTTGACTTTCTTATCGGTGTTAATATAATGGGACTGCGAAAAATAGAATTTAGTCACCGGCAAGCTCTATTTTACCATTTGTTTTTAAATTAAAATTTCAAAACAGCAAACTGGAAGGAAGCATTAATTTAAGGTGCATTGTGGGAAATTGAGATGGGTAGAACTTGGCCTTTGAAAATGATATTCATTCAAAGAGACCAAATGAATAAACATATTTTTTGAAACTTTCTAGCTACAACTTAGAGAGAGATATCTACTTTAATCGTTGTATTAACACATACATACATCGATATTTTTCAAAAAGTAGTCTCTACTATCGCTTGAAACTTTAAGCGTCCCGTTTCGATTCAGATCACTGGTATTCGATTCTTTGTCTTGATTATTCCCATCATAACTTGTTCGTTGAACAAAATAGGTGAAAACTGGTTGTTTTTCAACAAAATTATTTGTATTTTCCAGTTTTTCTGGATTTCAAGACCCATAATAGTGTGACAAAGCTCTAATTCATGATAAAATAGATTCAGGGTAAATACATTGGCACCATCTTTGGAAGCTCTTACATGGTCTGTTCCAATGATGTACCAGTAGATATATTTTTTCAACCTCATTAGAATCAATAAATAACTAACCTGTTTACCTGTTTCATGAGAATAAAAAAATCAAAAAACTATTTATGTTCAAACAATGTGCAGTACGTTTTATGTACGCGTATGCGTATGGATTGTATTTTAATAATGGTTAGTGACCTAGAAATTTGAGTGGAGCGGATATTGGAACAACTCTTGTCATATCTGTCTCTTGTCATATGTCAACTTTGGCGGTGGTTGCGGCGGTGGCATAGGTGGCCGTCCATTTCATTGCCAAATAAGCTTGATTTCTAAACTTTTTTTGATGCACTTGATTATTTGAGGCCCGGTAAAAGTTTTCTTGCATATATGGTACAGTTCAGTGCGAAAAATGAGTGATTATTCATCAGTGGCACCACCGCAACAGAACTTCAATCAATCCACGGCTTTCGCCGCAGCGTTACAGCGTGCTAAACAGGTAAAATGCCTTCCTTTGTACCCATCAGCCAAAAAAGTGTTTTTAGCGGCTTTTTACTGATCTTTCAGTTGATAATAAATTGTTTTTGTGTGAGTACGTTCGAATATCTCTTCGATCATTTCAGATCGCAGCAAAAATCAACCCAGGAACTGGAAACAGTGCTGGGGATAGCAGGAAGAGGCCTCTAGAAGATGGTTCTGGGCCTGGTAAGTAGTCTGCACTGAGTTGAAAATCCAAAATTTGTATATAAAACAGATTATCTAGTAATTATTCGAAAAATGCTATTAGAGGTTATGTATAATCGAGTACAACAAAATTTGGGTATTGTGTATTATAGCATACTTTTATTACCTGATGTACTCAAAGATCTAAATGCTGCTTCCTTAGCAACGTGTTTAATTGAACAATTATAATAGAGTTGATTTTTAATTACTCTGTAATGGGTTTTCAAGAACATTGCACAGGTGATGGTACACATACCATAATAAGGTATTTTGTGGTTATTGCAGGTTTAACATGTACACAACAGTATAATATGTAATTCTGCACAAAAAATCTTGAATAGAGCAATTTTTATATGGAAATGTATTTTTACAAAACTCCATTTTCCAGCAATACCTCAACATCAAATTCAAAGCAAGTGCCATTAGAGAATAGATCACAGGAGATATGAGAATGAAAATAAAATAATTAAAAAGGTAAAATTAACAAAAATAGGCTAATAAACTAAAACAATATTTTCTGAAATAATAAACAATAACTGATCAAAAACAACAAATAAAAACAGTAACTTCAGCAGTATTTTCTAAAACAAGAAAATAAAGATCAAATTAACTGAAAATATAATTGAGTGCTTTAAAGATTTGCATCCATTCTATCATGTGATTGATAATCCATATCCTGTGGTCTATTCTCCAACATCACTTGTTTTATGTTGCTCTTGACATCAAGGTATTGCTGAAAAATGGTATTTTGGAAAAACACATTTCCAGTGCTCCAACTAAGATTTCTTCTGTGTAGAATTACATATTACACTGTTGTGTACATGTTAAACCTGCAATAACCCTCAAATACATGTTATGGTATGTGTACCATCACTCTTTGTACATTGTTGCGAGGCTACAATTCCACAGTATATTATGAAGAATAAATTGTAGAATATCCCTTATTATAATGATCCTTGATGCTGCAAGAGAAAGTGATGGTCAACATATTTTCACTGGAAAAATGTCACTAGGCAAAATAAAGATGTATTTTTTACATTCATAGCTGGCCGCTACGACTGCTCCTTTGGGCATATGATGTGTAGATTGTAGAAGAATCTACAAGATGAGGCTTTTTCCAGTTCTTCTAACATTAGGAAATTTAAAAATTTGATTAACAAAGTTTCTGTGGGCTCCTCATAGCCACAGTGGCCTAGCATTTAGGCTTCTGCCTTTGTGACTGCTTCAGTTTTTAATAAGAAAATGGGTGCCTACAGGAATTTATCTAAAGAGGGCTGATCATTGTAAAGAAATAAGTTTTTGCAAAAGTACCTGCTTCCAAAACTTTTTCAAGAAATCCCAAAAAATATTCACAAAATCATGCCAACAATGCAAATTTTAAAATCCTTTCAGATTCTGAGTGTTGACCTTTGCAAAATGTGGAGTCAAGTTCAAGAAATGTATTTGAGCATAAGTTGCACATTAAGAAATAAATTAACTGACAAAGCTGGTGATTATTCATAATGTTGATTTGAAGCTGAAGGAGTTGGATTCATCACTAATTCTTTTATTTATATTTTTCAGTCCAGACAAAGATTGTAAACATATGAAAACAGTTACCTCATCGGCTTTCACAGCTAAACATAAATAATTGATATTTTTATACAGGGTTACAGGAAAAGTCGTGCTAGATCCGTTAAGGGCGTGTAGTACCCATCATTTCTGACTTATTTCATTATGAAACACCCTACCCTAAACTTAACCCTTTTCGAGATATTCAACTTTTAATGTTTTTATTGAAAATTGCCGATTTTTAGGCTACTAAATGTATTTATTTTTATTTTGTGTGTGTTATTATTACTATTATTGCATTTTAACATGTGTAATAAGATGCTTTAGGACGTCAATCATTAAAATAGTCCATAAGTTAATTGAATAGGCTGTAGTAGATAAGTGAATGTTAAGAAATTGAAAAAAATATCAGAAAGTTTATTTTTCTCTAAGGGATATCTAAAAAAAATATTATGGCAATTGTTCGGCAGATGTGTTTTAAAATATCTATGTTTTATCAGCTATCTAACGAGGTATAACAATCTAGGATTTTATTTAAATGCATTGAAAAAACTTAGTTTCATAGGCGACAGTGGAGAAGAAAATTGATACTTAGCCCTAAAAAGTAAAATAAAACAATAGGTAAGCATGAAATATCATTTATTAAATCAGGTTTTCACACAACTTTTTCTTACTCTACAGTTCATGTTCAACATGGCTGCCTCTGTTTCTAATACATTGTCGCATCCTTCTACGGAGACCAGTCTTTAGAACTGCAGTGGTCAACGTTGTCCTTAGTTGATTTGCTGCATCGACAATCCTTTCTCTTAATTCTTCCACAGACGAAACTGGATTTGGCTCGCTGTAGACAAGACTTTTCATGCACCCCCACACATGAAAATCCATGGGGGTTAGGTCCGGACTTCTTGCTGGCCATGGCAATGGCCCACCTCGTCCTATCCATTTGTTTGGATAATTTGTGTCCAGCCAGTCTCTGACACTTCTCCTGAAATGGGCAGGGCAGCCATCATGTTGGAACCACATGTCCCTTCTCAAGTTGAGTGGCAGATCATCCAGCAAATCTCTGAAGTCTCCTCTCAAGAAGTTTTCGTAATTTTCCCCATTTAGATTGTCCGGGAGAAAGTAAGGTAACAATCAAATGGTTGGAGATAATGCCCATCCACACATTCACGCTGAATCTTCGTTGGGACCTCGCCACTCTTTTCTTATTGGGATTCCTTAGTACTTTTGGGGCCCAGTAATGGGCGTTGTGATAGTTAGTTATGCCATCGTTATCAAATTTGGATTCATCTGTCCATAAGATATTTCTTAGAAAATCTGGGTCTTCTACGTCAGCATTTAGCATAAATCTGCAGAAGTCCAACCTTCTCGCGGGGTCTCCTTCTTCAATAGTGTGTACCGGCGTGTAATGGTACGGGTATAGGCCAGCAGTATGCACTGTAAACCAACACTCTCCATTGCGAAAGTCCCAGATCACGGGCAACACGATTAGTGGAAATGGTCGGATCCGCTCGAAAGCGTTGCACTATCTCATTGTCCTGCAGTTCTTCATTGTCATAAATTCGTGGTCTTCCCAGGTCTGTATTTCGTCTCAAAACAGAGCCAGTTTCTCGAAGTCTTAGATAAACTCTGTTAAAAACGGCCACATCCGGCACTCGACGACCGGGGAAGCGAGTTCTGTATTCGTTGCGAGCTTGCGCAGATACACAATCGCAGTATCCGTAACAAATAAGCATATCAGCATATTCCTCAGGTGTGTAGGACGTCATCTTCAACACTTCCGTATCACAAGTACAAATCAGAGTCCAGTGAACAAGCATAGTATTCACAAATCAGAAGAAATAGTCCAGAATCGTAGCCAAGTCGAGGAAAAGAGCAAAACGATATCACATCTACTATGTACGAAGCACAAAAGCAGACTGACAACCAAAACAACATCCCGTGTTGGATTTCCAGCCCTAACCGGTTATTATAATATGTTTTCTTTCATTCGCACCCACATTAAATCGTCATGTCTCGCTCGCACGGTGCGTCTAAACTTGAAGGAGAATAGGCGTGGGAACTGCTACTGGAGCGTCCCAACTACTTTTTTTCTATGAAATGTAATACAAATCCTAGATTGTTATACCTCGTTAGATAGCTGTTAAAACATAGATATTTTAAAACACATCTGCCGAACAATTGCCATAATATTTTTTTTAGATATCCCTTCGAGAAAAATAAACTTTCTGATATTTTTTTCAATTTCTTAACATTCACTTATCTACTACGGCCTATTCAATTAACTTATGGACTATTTTAATGATTGACGTCCTAAAGCATCTTATTACACATGTTAAAATGCAATAATAGTAATAATAACACACACAAAATAAAAATAAATACATTTAGTAGCCTAAAAATCGGCAATTTTCAATAAAAACATTAAAAGTTGAATATCTCGAAAAGGGTTAAGTTTAGGGTAGGGTGTTTCATAATGAAATAAGTCAGAAATGATGGGTACTACACGCCCTTAACGGATCTAGCACGACTTTTCCTGTAACCCTGTATAAACAAACTTTATAGAATCACTTGCCTATTGAATCATTTAATATGTTTACATGGTTTCAGTATCTAAATCCAGCATTCTACCACATTTATATGCAGTTTTTAGATAGAAAATTCACTTTTGAATCTTTGTTATTAGTCAGTCATAACAGTCATTTACATAAAGAGTATTAAAATCTCTTTTCAATTTGGAAGAACTGTGGATCATTAGTAAGATTCCTGTATTTCATAAAAAGGAACCCTGAATGTTGAAAAACATCAGCTATCTGCATAAAACAGATGGCAATCACATATTAAGGTTATGTATGCCATTATAGATAGCCCCCAAATATGTTTCAACCCCATTGCCCATTTACATGCATTTCAATCCAATCTGATATACATTGAATTCCATGTCAAATATGTATCAGTATCCAATATAATCAACTGATGTAATTGGATTATTTCAGCTACTGATGTACAAAGATTATATTTTAGTATATACAGGGTGTCCCAGAAATAACATGCTAGTGTGACACAGGAGGTAGATTGGCTTCAGATCAATGAGATAAAATCAACATGACCTTAATAAAAGTTTTCTAGTTTTTGAGATATTACCACTTTTAAGTTTTTTCAAAAAATCCCCGGTTTTTTCTCCTTTTTTGCCTGTTATGGCTATAAAGAACTCCTAACTTTTTTTCTTCAGCTACCATTGGTAGTTGGTTGAAACAGCCGAGTATTCACATCATTGAATACCAACACTGTAATCTTGAAAAAAATGATTACATTTTGTTTCAATGTGATAACCTTTATTGAAGTTTGATTAATTAGTGTGAAAAAATGTACCAGACTGAATCGGCAAATGATCTTAAAAACCAGCCTATTTAATGCTCTTTTAAAACTAGTTTAACATTTGTAGGTCCTTTCTACTGAAAATTTAATAATTCCAAGTTTTGTCATTGAAGTCGTAATACTTGCGAAATACTACAAAAATAATTATCCCTACATGCATTTGAGTAAAAGTTTTCTTCACAGAAATGTGGAATACCTGTTATTTACCTACTTTTTGACCTTTGTTTCTTTTTGTTTACTTTTTTTGTAGTCATGCTACTTTTTGAGTGTTCATATGAATAGTAAAAAAGGAAATAGAAATTGCCAAAAGCAATACAATGTGGTTTCAGTTAAAAGTGATATGTTAGCTGATATGGACTGCATTTTTTATCAAAAATGTGTAGTAACACATTGTATATAAAAAATAAGCCATGTAATTACCATAAATACATTAGCTTAATGGAGAAGACTGTTGACATACTAAAAATCAACCAAATCAGTATCAGTATGATATGCCAAAAAATATGTAACAATTTGCAACTTTTTACTGCATACAGTTTCCAACTTATGATTTAAATTTCCAAATCATGTCTGCTTGGCTATTTCTTTGATGGTGCCTTAATGTCTTTTAAGACATATAAGGAAGGTTTGGGAAAAGTATATGAGCTCAGATTTGGCACAACACCAATGCAATTCACAAATTATGGGGCTTTCATTTAGACTGAGTAATTCAATACTCAGCAAAGCCTGTAAAATGGTCTCTGAGCACCATGAACTGAATACTGTGCATCCCCTGAAGTATGGTCACTTATGAATGAATAATTGAAAATTTTGAGGATTTAATAATCACAAATTCATACCCTTTTGTTGCTTTTAGATGCTTCTGTGTATTTTTATATTTTTTATATATATCTTATATGGCTTAAGTATTTGTGCCATATGGATAAATAAAACATTGTAATTATTTTTGTTTTATTATGGGTGATAAATGAAGTTGAAACACACACCTTTAGCTATTTTCTATTATGTTAGGATTTTTTTTATGTTAACTTCTGTAGCATTTGCTTTTCATAAGCTGTATACAATTGAAAAACATTTAGATAATTTTGAGTGAGTAAATTGTCTTGTATGAACATTGATATTGTAAGGTTGTTTCAAGTCAGTAGTCAGGAAAAATTAATTATATAGAAAAGTGGTCAGTAATGTCAGGGAAAATTCAGAAAGTGTTTATGATATTAGGAAATTTGAGGTTTTCTTAATGATATAAAGCAATTTAAAACAAAACAAACAAGATGTTATGTTAGTAGTCAATTTTATGTTGTTCATTTCATCCACCAAATATCATAAAAAATTGATTTCTCATATATGCATATATTTAGGACTAGAATATGACACTTTAATCCGAAGAAATTCAGAGAGTTAGATTTTCATCTTGAATATGTCTGTCGTTACAGAACCAGAAGCAAAGAAAGGTCCTGGCATGGCTCTGCCTCAAGGAAGGCCCTCATCACAACCACCACAACAGCAGCAAAATCAAGGAGCTCCTCCAATGAATAACAGTCAGTTTAATGATGACCAGAATTTACCTGGTGGATTAAGTAAGTAAAATTATCAAATCACTATGCTGCCACTGGACTGATTTACAGAGATATATTTTCTTTTCCTTGTCATAGCAACCCATTTTCAAAATTTGATCAAACCTCAGCAGTACTTTGTGCATACTGGCAACCAGAGCTATTGATTAACATTAACAAAATGGAAACCATGGAGGTATTGTGGAATGGTCATATAGCATACAGGAAACTTATTTGACTATTTCCACTGTGTTTACAGTCATAATTAGCCAAGGATTACTGGATAAATGATGATCGATACATCAAAAGACATGTGTAGTTTTTGCTTTTCATTATACAGGGATTGTCTGGAAAGTAATAGGACTCAAAATATATATCTACGGAGCGGGTAAAGACAATGAGTTACGATTTTAGATGTTCAGTGAGCATAAGCAATGAATACTCAGAGTTTCCCAGACCAAATTAAACCAGAGACGTAGAAACTGGGTTACCTGGACCCCAAGTGGGTAATATTTTCTGCGACTCTGGATTTTACGGAGAAATAAGTGCATTTTGTAAAATACAATTTTCCATAAATTTTGTCATTTTTGACATTTTTCAGCTTGAATATTGAGTTATTTGGTTATTTTTTGATTTACTTTCTACCCTAGAAATATTGACACGTTTACCTCTCTATATTATATATATACATATACAGGGTGTAAACGTTATGGTAGTCATTATTGAAATGGGTAGTAGGGGCAGTCAAAACAAGTCAAAAAGTTCACATACCCATGGACCAAAAGTCGATAGATTTTTGTCTAAATGGCTTTATAGTTTACAACTTCAAGTGCTTTATATCGACCACAATCTTACTAATTTTTATAATCTAATCTAAAACGTTTTTAAATTAGGTAATTAACAAATAAATGGCATTTAGTTTTTCTACATTAAGAAAAATTTGTAGTCAGTAAGTAAGTTTCCATAAATTAAATATTTAAAACACACATGACACCAGCGCGTCGGTCATTCGCTACTCTTATCGAACCGGCAATCGATCGCAAACGGTAACAGTGGTTAGTTATTGTTCGCGTACGTTGTCGTGTTTATTTACTATGTTCTCGAATCAAGACTTCGCCGACATGTTGTTAGTTTACGGTGAAGCTCGTCAGAATTGAAATCTTGCAGCTCAAATTTATCGCGACAGATTTCGCCACCCAGACAGAAGGACATTTGTGCAAGTGTACCAAAGACTTCGAGATACAGGAAGTGTTCAGCCCACTGATATTCGCACTCGTGAAAGACAGGTTACTGTGGAGCAGGAGGAACAAATTTCAAATATCGTGGAAATCAATGCAGATATCAGCACTCGGGAATTAGGCCGCCGCGGTCTATCGCATACCATAGTCTATAGTATCCTACGGGAAAATTTGCTTTATCACTACCATGTACAACGAGTGCAGGCCTTGTTACCAGAAGACTATCATCGCAGACTAACATTCTGTCAGTGGTTTTTGCACAAAAACATTGAAAACCCGGATTTTTTTTAAAAACATTCTAGCGACGGACGAATGTACTTTTACGCGAGACGGGATATTAAATTTCCATCGTGGGCCCAAGAAAATCCTCATTCCATTCGTGAAGGTCATTTCCAACAACGTTTTAAAATAAATATTTGGGCGGGTATTCTTGACGATCCGGTAATTGGCCCTTTCGAGTTACCCCCAAAGTTGTCAGGAGAAGGATACCTTAGCTTTCTAGCCAATAACCTACCAGAACTTTTGGAACAGACCTTAGACAACATGCCATTACGACGGACACAGAATTTGTGGTTTACTCATGACGGGGCACCTTAACACATTTTTAGAAGCGTCATTCAGTATTTGAATGAACATTATTCAAATCTCTGGATCGGTCGAAATGCTCCTGATCCTCGAAAATGGCCAGCAAGATCTCCTGACCTCAATCCGATGGATTTCTGGTATTGGGGAGAACTTAAAGGGATGGTTTATGGGGCTGGTCGAATAACAACTGAAGCACAACTTCGTGAAAAAAAATGTAATGCTGCTGAAATAATAAATGGACAACTTCGACGACCTAGAGTAAGAAGAAACTGGGTTCGTCGTAATGAAGCTTGTGTGGAAAGTGGACGACGACATTTTGAACACCTTCTTTAAATACAAAAAAAAGTGTGGATTTTAAAAGGAAAAACAATGTATGTATCAAAATTGTGTTCCGTATTTATAATTGGATTTTTTTAATACGTTCAATAAACTTTCACACACCAGGTAATTGTTTGCATTTTACGAGTACAATTATCAAATAAAGAAATAATACCGAAGAGCCAAAAATAACAAACTCCATCTATATTTACACTGCGTTCCGTCGCAATTTGCGTCTGGCATTGCGGCGTTGTCAGATTTTATTTTACTTTAAAGTCGCTTTTCTCCAAAAAAATGCCGTTTAGACCCCCATGTTAAATGAAACTTTTTGCTTATTTTATCCCCCTCTATCACCCATTTAAATAATGACTTATCATAACGGTTACACCCTCTATGTATATATATACATGCATACATACACACACATACATACTGCCCACTGAAGTAATCAGCCAATAGAAATTGATTTTTATTCCTGGCAACATCAAACGTGACCATACATTTCATGTCAAATTACCAACGTCAGAAAAAAAGGTTATTTTATACTCATATGACAGGAGCCCTACCTCAGTGATAGAGGTAATGTCACATTTCAATGGTATATAGTTGTAGTCAATCGTTCTTGGTGATTACGTCATCAACGACATATGAGATAAGTGAGCAGATCGAGTCTCCGTACCACGGGCGGATCTTAATTTTACTAACTGAGGGAAACCGTACGCACGAAGGGGGTAACAGGGGACCGCAGTTTTCATTCTCTTCCTCGAAATGTACTAATAAATTAAGCACGAGCTGTCGGTCTTCTCCATTGATCGTATTTCCGGGCATTGTACAATTTTATGTTGAAGATTGATAACAGGACAACTCAAATTGCACGCCGATGCCAAGTAAGTTGTCACTCTGACAAATTTGATTGAAGGGCACTCATATGTAACGACCAAGTTTTCGAGATGGAGAGACACAAGTAAAAAACGTATGTCTTCGAGCTTACCGAACAAACGTTCACAGACAGAGGTATGTTGCATGTGTATGTATGAGGGAGATGGAGATATATAAAGGGATACTGGCAGTCTTACTTTGACCCGCCAAGAACGGTGACTAGAACTATATCATTGAAAAACTTATGGAGGATCACAACAGAAAACATATAAAACAGTATTCTTTTTTATAAAATCATGGATATTTCGTAAAATAAAATGTAAAATATCCCATCATTGAAATTTGAATAATTTAATATAATCCTTAATGCCCTTAGGGTTAAACAACATGAACAATATGGGCGGTGGCAAGAACACGCTAGAAATCATGATCCCCGGCCCCAAAGTAGGCCTGATCATCGGCAAAGGTGGCGAGACGATAAAACAGCTACAAGAGAAGAGTGGTGCCAAAATGGTGGTGATCCAAGACGGACCTAACCAGGAATTGGAAAAACCATTGCTAATCAGTGGAGACGCCCACAAAGTGGAGTATGCGAAACAGATGGTCTATGACCTCATAGCTGAAAAGGAGATGAAGAACTTTGGAAGACGTGGAGGTGGCGGCGGTAGGAACGATGGAAGGGGGCCCCAGGAGTTTGGGGAATTTGGTGGCGGCGGGGGCCAGGGTAATGATTTAGAGGTAGGTATATTAGTTTAAAAATCACCCAGTGTGCAATTTCAATGTTCGTTTGCTTGTTGAAGATTTATGTAGCATTAGTGCTACTAGGTTAATTTTTTATGATTATTCATCTGCACATTTTTTGGATCAATTTTGTCTAATGATACATTCTTGTTTATTAAAATTTCATCACTATGCATTTTCAGTATTCATGAAGTGATTTTTTTATTTCACCTTCAACATTTTTATATTATTCAATTTATTAAATTCAAATATTTCCTTTCAAATACAGATTCTCTAGTTATGCTACTATTACAACTTCACAGATGAAAATTTATTCTGCCTCCAGTTTCATAGTTAAGATAATGACTATTCAATTTTGTGAAGTTTTCTAAATGTGGTAGTAATGATTTTTTAGTTTTAATATGAAAATGAGAACTAAATAATATATAAAAATGTTTACTTTCAACCACTGTAGTTATTCATACTTAGTTTTAGCAAATTTGAATTTTAATTTAAAAAGATTCTCATAGCTTTATTTTGAAGAATTTGTAATTTTGAAAATATGTTTTAATTTGCTGTAAACAAGATGGTTGAAAACATTAAAAATGGGGAAGAATAATATTCATTGTTATACACAATTTTTTGGAATACATACTTAGATTATGGGAAACTCTATAGAAGTCACTTATCTTTTTTAATTTCCTTGAAATAATGTATTCATAATACTCTGGATACAGTAGTTTACTATCCGCATATACAGGGTGATTCACAAGTCGTGACCAAAAATGAATCATCATAAACAGGACCGCATTTTAAGGGGGGTCTTTTATGTAACATTTTTCCTCGAAGGCTTCATTGAAAAGATAACAGGATCTTGAAGTTCTTACTTGAAATTAACGCGCACCAGTGGCGGAGATACAGGGGATTAGTGGCATTTTTCAAAATAAAAGTAGTACGCCACGCGCGATTTTTCGAATTTTACATTCAATTTGCTACAAAAAATTACTCTTGTGGGTTTTTTCCTAGAGTGCATTGTTTTCGTAAACATGGGAGAAGAACAAATTAGATCATTCATGAAGAGCTGAGATAAATTAGTTTCAAAATAAAATAGGAGGCCTTGATACCAACTTGACGTTTCTTGGGAGATAGGTTGTTATCCTTACTACTACCGTTTTTCTTCTTTGTAAAAGTCAAGTCAAAAGTTTATTTTTTCCATTTTTGAGTGTTGTGAAATGGAATTTAGCAATGATGAGTACGCTGATATTATTTTTGAGTATGCTCATCTACTGGGTGCTAGTGCGCCCAGCCAATCATTTGCAAGCTTGCCCTTAGCTCTTATAAGTTTTAAAGGCCTTCATTGTCTTTTGAAATATGTAGGAAATGTTAATGCATTGTTATCATTCTATACATTTTTCTAGGTGTTAGTGCCCAGAGCTGCAGTAGGTGTAGTCATAGGTAAGGGAGGAGAAATGATCAAGAAAATACAAGCTGAAACAGGAGCTCGAGTCCAGTTCCATCAAGCCAGAGATGAAGGTCCCGGTGATCGAAGATGTTTCCTGAATGGCAACCCGAAACAAGTTGACATGGTAAGACATTGGTTGATCTTGTAGAAATATGGAATCTTAGTCTAAGACTCACCACTCACCTACAATTTGTGTTTTCTGGGGTTAAGAACAACAACCTGTTTCTGTAGCAAAAAGGAATTCTTGAACACAGATTTTATTATTTAAAATAATAATCCATTAAGTTATATCATAAGTGATCAATTTGGTTCCACAGATAGGGTGTTCATCTAAAGAGTAGTTGTCAATCAGGAACAACAATTAGAGATGAAAATGACTGTTCATCGCAGTATCAGTTTACTACTTCAGTTGCTGCAACATACTCGACTCAATCGAATGGGTCATTCGTAACAGAGTTGTTAAATCATCACTCACTTACGGCCGTATTCCACCATTCCCTAACAGACTGTTAAATTATTTAACACCTTGGTAAATCCATTTTTAATATTCACCATCAACACATCATAGCAAACAGTCTGTTAAAGTCATGGATAAGTTAACAGCGCGAAATTATTTCATGCATATTACATTCAATACGGATAACTTTGCCTATAAGTTATCATCTTCATGGGAACAGAAATAGTAATTCAATTTAGTGATAAATACTACATATACTCTTATTTAATATAACTAAAAGGATTAACACTTTTTCAGCAAATGTAGTTTGTTTAACACATTCACCTGAAAAAAGAGAACAAGTTAATTTCTTTGTCCAAATCCTGTGAGAATAATGATACCTTGTCTTCAGATTTAGGTTGTTTTGCTTTTTAGTTGTTGGCCAGTTCTGAGGCCAGTTGTTTGAATGGAATAACCAGGCAAGCTTCTCCCAACACTCATTTTTCTGCTTGTTAAATACCAAGTTAGTCTTTTTGTTTTCAATTATGCTTCGATATTTTTCAACGAAGGAAGTTATTGTCTCTTGATGTATATTTAGCTGATCTTTTTTATGACTTTTCCATGATGCAAAACCGTTACAAAACTGACACTGTGAATGACAACCACATGACAACACACAGCAGCTATAAAGTGAGGTTAGATGTGGTTCTCTCGTTTTTTGTCAAGAGGCACCAACTTGAAGAAATTTAAGATTTTTGCATGACAGTCAGTTTGTTATCAGAAGCAGAAAAGTCTTGGTGAATACCACTATTGTTTAACTGACTGTTACAACTGTGTACAACTGATAAATAACAGTCTAGCAAAAGCCGAATTGGTGAATACGGCCGTTAGAGTTGTTCATTTTGAATGACACTCTACTAGTTGTATGGAAAGTTTTGACATGTACAGTGATATTATGTATCAGCATAACACCCCTTCAAAGTTTTCTTGTGGACAGTGAGGACCCTTCACAAAAAATTGTTTATGATTTAATAGATTTGTCACAGCATTATTCCAGCGATTTAAAATCCGATCCTTAGATGCTTAAAATTGACATATAATTATCTTGATCCCTTTATAATCACAGGCGCGCCAACGTATCGAGGAACTGATCGATAGCGTCATGCAACGTGACAACGGAGGCGGCGACGGGCCCAATCGAGGAGGCCGTGGTGGCGGTCGAGGCGGTCCGGGAGGCCCCGGGGGTGGCCCAGGCGGCAGGTTCGACAGGAACGGGGGTGGCCAATGGGAGGACAGAAGAGGAGGACACCATGGACAGGATGTGGTCACGTTCTGCGTGCCGGCGAATAAGTGCGGTGTTATCATCGGTAGAGGTGAGTGATATAGCATTTTTCACGATACTTCATTTCGTCAAACGCTTCAGTGATTAACGACTAATTATCAAGAAACATTCAAAACACCATATCGAGGGGTGACATACAGTAATGGACAAAAGTATATAGACAAATTAATATCGTGCTGTATTTCTTTTTCAACTTACATAATTCGTTATAGCATAATACTCACTTATACAGAAAGAAATTCATTAGACTCCCTTCAATAAAAAATTAATTGAAAAAATGGAACTATGAAGGACAAAAATATATAGACAAAGCAAAACAATTCTAGAAAAAAGAAGCAAAGTTCATTGAATTATAGAAAACCAACCATGTTTGTGTTAATATTTTGTAGTATAACCATTATTATCAATCACCGCCTGGCATCGTCTCGGCATAGATTGTAGAAGTTTCTTGATATAAGATTCATCAATCTGTCTCCACTTTTGCTCTAAAGCGGAAAAAGTTCATCCTTGTTTGAATAATTTTTATCTAGTATTTGCTTATCTAAGTATTCCCATAGATTTTCAATGGGGTTTATATCGGGAGACCGTGAACGCCATTCGAGAACTATTTCATCCAGAAAGAATTTCTTTGCGAGATTTGAAATGTGCTACGGGTCATTATCTTGCTGGAAGATTGATCTTAAGGGCATATTGTCTTCCATATAGGGTAACATGACATGCTTTAGTATGTCTGTGTATACAAACTTATCCATAATGCAATCTATTCTACGTAAAGGTCCCATCCCAAACCCTGAAAAGCACCCCCAAACCATAAAAGACCCGCGTCAATGTTTGACAGTGGCAAAGTGTACTTGGGGTTCAATCTTTGTCCACTAGGACGTCTAACATAATGAACAGCATCTGATCCAAACATACTGAACTTGGATGCGTCACTGAAACATACCCTCTTCCAAGCACAGTTGCTCCAATCAAGATGCAACCGTGCAAATTGTAATCGGATCTTACGGTTTTTCCTCGAGATTAGCGGCTTCTTACTCGGGCGACGTGCAAATAACTTCAAATCATTTAATCTTCTACTTATAGTTTTCGTAGAAACACTGACAATTCCTTTTGTCTCGATTTCGGCTTTTATTTGTCTTGGGGTTTTAAACGGATCATTGGACGAAATTACTTTTATTAATCTAACTGATCTTGCATTTAGTTTTCTAGGCCGACCACTTCTCTTAGATGCTTCCAAGATACCTTTTTGTTTATGTTTGTTCAATATTGCCTAAACTGCTTTACGTTTCAGCTTCAAATTTTTGGCAATGTCGACTTGACGTTGACCATCTTTGTATAACTCAAAGATCTTAGTTTTCACATCGAAAGAAATTTCTGGACCACGTGTTATGGTCTTAAAATCACTCATCTTATTCCACAATACTTGATGAACACAAACTAATCCTCTTCTGTCACGAAACTGTACAAAACTAATGTTGAAAAGAATTTGTCTACATATTTTTGTCCCTCATAAAAAAGTGCTTATATTCTGACTTGGATTGTGTTCATTGCAGATAATGTAAAACCAAGGAATTTAATTTTTCTACTAATAACGCATTTGTTTATGGCGCAATGAAGTATGAATTCGTTTTCTAAAGGTATTTAGGTAAATATTCATATTTGTCTATATACTTTTGTCCATTACTGTATATTACATCTACTTAACCACCAGCGTCAAGCATTTCAGACTTATGCGAAAAGTACACGATTTTTTTCAACGGGTCTCCCATTAAGAAAACAATTTCAATTTTGTCGCGTCTCTTGAAGATGGGTACAATTTAAACGATTTTCCGCTTGTCCGAAAAAGTGTTTATTGATAGAATAAACAGGGTGCATCAAGGACGAACACATCTATACAGTCTTTGACTATAAAATAATGAATTTTATCGGTATCAAAAGAAGTCATTTTGTCATTCAGTTTTTTTGAGGCAAAAGTGTCATCAGTAATTTCTCACATTGGGCTTGAGCAGCACCAGTATTACATTTGTAGGCAATGTTGTTCGTTGTCCGCCATGTTGCTTGATGACAAGTTATATGCACATGTTATTATGGCAGTTGCATGTTCTACGTCTGTTACCTTCACATTGGCTCTGAAAATTTGAAATAAATGGCAGCACTGGCTTGGCCCTGCTTGCTCAGCAGTGTGTCATTTACCAAATCACCAAATCAGAAAATGAAGTATTGAGACACAAAGCATTGCCTTCTGATGTCCCGGCTGAGTGAACTGTATGTATTGTATTGACTCATTTTATGGAATGCTTGAAAGCCGGCTTTATACTCTGTACTCCTGAACCACATCATATTTAAAACTACACAACGATGCGATTCCCTGAAGGTGGATTGAATTTCTATGATCTAGTAAGCTGGGAGAAGCTGTCATGTGCAATCGTGTCTCATGCTGCGTAGTCGTTTGCGGAAAAACATAATAAAATAAAGGAATTTGAAAATATAATACATCTTTAGGTACCCTTCCGCGCAGAGCCAGCGACAGGAGACCTCGACTAAAGACTAAAGCCGCGTACAGACCGAAAATCCAACACCGAGCAAACGAATGCAAATGTGACATTGGCGTTAGTTGTTGGAGGGTATTGGAATGCGCTCATCTACACATCGTGTATACTTAAATTTAAGTTCGAGTTGGAGCGCGTCGGGTTAAGTTCGGTACTAATGTCGAGCGTCTTGTCTCCTCTCATCGAATGCTGACAAACGACTAAATACTATAAGCGCAACATATGATGTCCAGACCAAATCAAACCTCCCTTTGATTGAGCGAACGCCAACGCCGCTTTGGAAACCATTGACTTTGTTGGCTCGCGCCATACATACCGATTCGAACACCTCCAAATCTGTAACCACATGTGCCTGGGCTTGCGTTGAAATCTCGATCTGTACACGGCTTAAGACGTGAAACTGCCACTGTCGCACACATTTGTTATTGCTTGAAATACACTTTTAGATCTCAATAGTACGCAACAAAGGCGTGACAAACGGTTTTGACACATCCAAAGTTTGTTACTTGAGAGTATTTATCAATTTGGTATTCACTCGGAAGTTAGCCGTCACACCGGTCTTGTCTATAATAAATACCCGTTCTAAATATTTGTAAATTGTTTTTTACAGGTGGTGAAACGATAAAACAGATAAACAGCCAGTCTGGAGCTTATTGTGAACTTGACAGAAGAAACCAAAGTTCTAACCCAAACGAGAAGTATTTCACGATTAAGGGTGATCCTGAACAAATTGAATCAGCAAAAAGGATAATCAGCGACAAGATTCAGATGCCTATCAATCTGATGCCTGTTGGAGGACCTGGTGGGATGGGTAACAATATACCTACGGTAAGTAGGTTATTATTGTATTAAAAGTCGTTATTTTTCTCTATACCGCTATTCGAAAAAAAATTTGCCGACACTTTTATGCTAGTTGTTTTGCATAAACTAATTATGAAAGTTTCAGTATGCAATCAACACAAACCAATTGACATAAGATTTGTTTGTACAGTGGTCAGTGCCTGTGTCTGGAACAAGGGTGTACCCAGACCCAGCTCAAAACGGAAGGGGGGCACCTTCATAACATAGAAGTTCCAATATGGATATGTAAAACTACTGGGATTACTTTTTTAAAATATTCAAGCAAATATTGCGCTAGATGCTTTTTCAAGTAACAATTTAGTCGTTTGCAATTCTTGAAAGCAACATTTGAGATAATAAATGCTTACTTTACTGCAAATTTTATATATCTACTTTTTGGGCGTACATATCCCTCAAAATTCAAACAGGGTGCTCATTTTTTTGATTCAAGCTTCAGGCCAGTTCTGTAATCGCGAAAAAACTTCAAATCAAAGAATAATTTTTAGATAAACCATAGTAGGTACATTTTTTGTGGCATTCGTCAGGTAATCCCAGGCTGTCTGTTACAGACAGAAAAATATTTATAGTTTTTGTTAATCGGTCCTGTTGCGATAGAGCAATCGTCAAAAAAAAGCTAAAAATAATTGGTCCTCCAATGACTTGGAGTGTCACTGGATTTTGAAGAAAATTGTCTAATCCATCGATATATTTATCATGAGATGTGATATTTATTAACCATGTAGCCTGGACGTCAGTAATTATTGATGCATGTTATGCAGAAATCCACTGATGGTATGGACCACAATAAATACTGATCGTGTGACATTCGCTTTATTGTTTCCAAGATTTCAAAGGCGAGGTTCGCCTTTGAAACACACGTAACATATATACTGCTTTTAGAAAAAATAGATTTATATCTAACATAGATTTCAAAACTAATCCTAGTAATTTCTCATCTGATGGATATTGTACATAAATAATTTAATTTTTGCCGAGCTTGTGAAAAGGGGGGCTTTTATCCGTAGGGCGATGCACTGGGCACACACTAGTTTCGAACGTAGATAGTATAATCAATTTTATATCCTTTTTCAATGTTTTTAAGCATCTGCCTATCTATATTTTTCCTTCCCATTTCACCGTGTACAAACGAAATTAATTGTTCCAGGCATACCCCGGTATGGCGCCACAACCTGCACCTCAAGGAGGCGGTTACCCTGGTCCTGGAGGGGGTTGGGGAATGCCGGGCGGCTACCAACCCCAGCAACAGTGGGGCGGCCAAGGAGGCGGAGGAGACGCTCCCGGTGGCCAGCAGCAGCCGTCGTCAGTGCAGGTTAACCCGAGCACGGGACAACCTGACTATTCCATGCAGTGGGCTGAGTATTATAGGTCGTTGGGTAAGTGGTACATAGTCAAAATTTTCATTTTCTTTACTTCCCACGCCTACTGGCGGGGAAGTATTGTAATCGCGAAAATTTTAGAAAATGAGATATTAGGTTTTTTGGATGTTGTATTACATGGTTTCAGAAAAAATAAATCTGTTCAGTCAGCTTCTTATCAACTTCTCAATTTTGTCTATGAACATTTAGACAATAATCAAAGTTTACTATCTCACAATAATTTTGAGTAAACTTCATCCGCTGGGCATAAGAGGGTTACTACTGGACTGATACTCCTTTGAAAATCGATATCTAAAGGTAAAAATACAAAATACAGAATCCAAAATATTTCCTGCATCTTTGGGCGTCCCACAGAGATCAGTACTGGGACCATTAATTTTCGTTCTTTTTGCGAAGGATCTCCCCCATCAGGTAAAAACAGGAAAAGTAGTGATGTTTGCAGATGATATATCTGTTATAGCATATTATCCAGAAGAGATAGAATCTAAAATAATCAGAATTTTATCTGAGATCTAATCTTTGTATAAAAAAATCAACTAATATTAAATAAGCGTAAAATAACATTGATATATATATTTTTTTTATTAATAAGGAACTAACAGACCATATTTTCAATAACTGGGATATATTTTCGTGTATAACACCATATTTCTTCCATATTTTTATATTGTTCAATTAGTTTGTGAACAGCAAATGAAAACATATTTTCAAAATTTCAAATTCTGCAAAATAAAGCTATGAGAATCATTTTCAATAAAAACAAATATGCTAAAATCAAGCTTATATTAAAATATTTGCAGTGGTGGTATGTAAACTATTTTATGTTATTCAGTTCTCATTTTCATATTAGAATTAAAATATTGTTAGCACATTTAGAAAACTTCACAAAATGAAATGGTCATTATCATAACTATGAAACTAGAGGCCATATAGATTTTCATCTGCAAAATTCTAATGGTAGCATAACTAGCACATCTGTATTCCAAAAGAGAGTATTTCAATTTAATAAATTGAATAATATAACTGTTTAAAATTGTTTAACGTGGCAATAAAAAATCTCTTTATGAATACCCAAAATGCATAGTGATGTAGACAAGAATGTAGAATTACAGAAAATTATTCCCAAAGATGAGTAGAGTTATACAAAATTGGCATTGTAGCATTAATGCTAAATAAATATTCAACAAAGTGCTAGTGATAATCATAATCCATTCGCTGTATAAACGATTTCTTGTTCAGGTATGCACCGTGAAGCGGAGATGATCGAGCAACAAGCGAAAGCGAAGGCTGCTGGCGGTGGAGGCGGCGCTACAAACGGCGCCGTTGGGGCGGCGAGCGGCGCACCGGCTCCTGGGGCGGCTGGACCGGGAGCGCCCGGGGGAGCGGCGGCTGGTGGTGGTCAGGCTGATTACAGCGCTCAGTGGGCGGAGTACTACAGGAGCATGGGCAAGGTCAAGGAGGCAGAAGCTATTGAGGCTCAGATGAAGAATAAGGTTAGTGTCAAAAAAGGCCGTCATTAGTGAATGAGTGTGTATTTCTGCAGAGGTTTGATATTTGTTTAGATTTATGTGTAACTGGAATTTGTGATTGTCCTGAAAGCCTTTTTTGTAAAATGAAAATTTTATTAGATGCTGCTGAGCTTCTCCAGGGTATCGTGTCTTTGTGACTATTGAAGTACACGACCCACAAAGTATGGTTATCAAGGGATCTGGGAGCTGCCTAAAAACAAATAATTGTGTAGAAAGTCTAGAATGCAAATAAACAATGAGGGATGTCCAGTTTAGTCTGGTATCGAGTACTATTCCCAGAAGTTTTACTGGTTCAGATCTCGCAACGCCCCTGTCAGAGGAAAATTTAATATATGTCTTGTTTCCATTTAGCGATAACTTAGCTTGTTCCAGACTATCCACACCCTTGTTTTGGTTAGGTCTAGATAGCAAGGTGGTATCGTCTGCAAATAAGAAGCAGGGTCCGTTATCAATATTCGAGGGCAGGTCTGTGATATATATTAGAAATAGTAGGGGGCCCAGTACCGATCCCTGCATTGCAAATAGGGAAAAGGTCAGAGCCGGTGCCCTCAGAGCTTACAAACTGCTTCCTATTTGACAAATACGAACAAAATAGCTTGTTATTTCTCATACCATAGTTTTTTCCATAGTATATGTGAATTGACACAATCAAATGCTTTCGTTACGTCACACATTGTAGCTATAGTATAGAGTACTTTCTCTAATGAGGTAAGAAGTTATTTGTTGTGGTTGATTTTTTTTTCGAAATCCAAATTGTGTTACAGATAGGATCGATTTACATTTGCAGTAGCTTGTTAATTTCTCTTTCACAATAATCTCAAAGATTTTCCCAATTATATGTATAATTGCAATTGATCTGTAATTATGTTTCCTTTTTTGTGAATAGGGATACTTTTATAAGATTTCGAATACATCCTGCCAATACCCCAACTTCGGCAATAAATTGAATTCAACTTAATTGATCCTTGTCTATTCCAGGGTGGCTCTCAGGCAGCAGGTGGTACCGCGCCCCCTGGCACAACAGGTGCCCCGGGCGCAGGAGCGGCGGGTAACTACCAAGCACAGGCGTTTGGAGGATACCAAGGCGCAGCAGCAGGTATGTTTCAGCAATAGACCTTTTCTCTATAACTGAAAGCTCTTCAACTTTGTTCGGCAGTCAGAATACTCCTATAAATCATATTAGGCTAGGGCACGGTTCATCTTTGATACATACTCTGCCACATTAGTCTAAAGCTCCCCATTATAGATCTCTTCATCATGCCACATTTGATGCAGCTATAACTAAAAAATCATGATCATAATTTCTGAATAAATTACAGAGAGTAAGTAATATAATAATTGCTTGCAATGTATATGTTTTGAAAATGGATGTCTGAATGTTTTCCTCATTCTTGGAGTAATAGAATAATAAGCTGGAACAGATTTGCCAAAAATTTACGGAATTATTCGGCGAGTTGACCGTAATTTAAAAAAAAAGTACGTGATGGATTATAACAATACTAAATTTAATTAAGTAGCTAAGAATTCAATTTGAAACCTATTCAGGTGGTTACTACGGCGGTCAAGGTCAGGGAGCTCCAGGGTCCGTCCCTCAAGCAGGATACTTCCCTGGATATAACTACGGAGCTCAGCAGGGTGGTAACTCCGCCAACAGTCAGGATAACTAGTTAGGTAAATTGGTGAGTATAACTTTATCTTGCTTATGATTTATATCCCATAACCTTTCTACCTTTGAAAAACATTTATTGGTGCTTGATTATTTGAAGCCGCAATATATTTGATTTTTCTCTTTCCTATCATAATTTACTGTTCACATGAAGTGTGTATCTTATGACACTTTGGGAATGTATTTTTCAGTGGCATATATACATAACTATTTGAATGACCTTCTCATTTCTCCAATCATAAATTGTGATAAAGATATTGATTTTATCTACTATCGAACGCTGAGGTGTACTTTGTGAGTAGATTTTCCTGACGTTACATCACACTTTTCAGCCCACGAACTTTTTTACGCTGTAGGGAGGCAAAGTAACTTTCTTCATCTGCTGTATAATGATACTGTATATTTGTCATTAGGCATCATATTCAATAGGGAATATGCATGTTTTCATATTTTCTGTCGATTATTTACCTTAACACTTCAAACATATTTGATTCATTCGTTTTTTCGCTTTATTAAAAAAATAATCATGGACTTTGTATTCGTAAAAGCAGAAAGCACAAATTTGCCGAAAATTGACGCATTGGTGGTTGGTAATTTGTTAGTCTTCAACCCAGATTTCTGCTCTACTGAGCTGAAGAACATCAAGACTTCTAAGTATAGTGCATCTGATATAGTGATAGACATAAACAGAAAGAATAAGTACATAATACACTTACATAATCTTCATTTTCAGAAGTCATGCAAAACTAAGCTCATGCGTCATAGCCTCTAAATAATGTTATAAAATCTTGTATTTATTCTTACACATCTGCAATAGAATCGTGCGGTGATCATGCCATAGGTTACGCCCAACTCAAATGAGACTATAAAATCTGCACAGTAAAATTTTGAATATGTCTCGAACATAAGGTACCTATGCTCTAGGTCTAAGCATTCTATAATGTTGCGTGTATTGATTTTCGTAGGCACTCTATTCCACTGCTTTCCTGAGGTCTTTGTCCATATTGTTGATACTGTAACGATAATTACTATATTTTTCATGTAACCTAGTAGAAGTGATATGTTTAAAGTCTGTGAGGTGTCAGCTTCTGTTTACAAATTTTATGACGTCAGAACACATTGATATCGACTAAACATGGCGGACAGCGTTTTCACCTATCTATGAAACAGATATTTTCAAAATAGAGTTTTATGATCTTTAAGGTCTGAAAAAATGTAGTTTCAATCATTTTGGTCTAGTAGAACAAATATGAAATGTTTAAAGCCTACTGAAATAAAGTGTCAACTGCATATTCCCTATTAACGGCATTCTGTATACAGCGGATCGAATTGGGCAGTTTTTGTCCCAAAACTCAGGAAATTATTTTTTTAATGTCTTAAGGCGATTGCACCTTGAAAGGACTATTTCCATCCTTCCAGTCTCCCCTTCTACCCTGAATATGTCATGCCTTGATTATACGTTCTGGGCTAGATTTATCGTTTTTAAATCTATACTTGCGTGCTACCATCTGAATATTGAGTACGCCGAATAAGATTTAACACATAATGTACAGTTTTGATTATCTGTGTATGACCAAATTTCTTGTATGTACAGGGTTTGTCCGGAAAGTAATAGGACTGAGTCGTTTTAAAAAAAATTATTGAGCCAATCGTTACAATTCTTTAAACACTTTCAAAATAGGCTCCTTCTGCGTCGATGCAGCGCTGCCAACGCGATTTCCAAGCATTGAAGGCTATACCGGACCTTGAGAGCCGCGATGCATGCTGCTTGGATCCCCTCTGTCGTCTCAAAATGTTTGCCTTTCATCGGCCTTTTCAGGCGAGGAAACAAAAAAAAGTCCGGGGGCGCCACATCTTGGCTTTAGGGCGGCTGCGGAAGCGTTGGGATGCCGGCCTTGGTCAGTTAGCTGTTCACAAGAAAGGCGGTGTGAGCCGGGGCGTAAAACTTGGCGTTGTCGGTTTGTCCAGGAGTTACAAATTCATGGTGGACGATGCCTTTGATGTCAAAAAAGACAATGAGCATCTCTTTGGATTTGCTCATCTTTCCCTTTTTTGGGCGAGGAGACGCCGTCATGTGCCACTCGGAAGATTGCCTCTTTGTCGGGATCATACTCAAAGATCGACGACTCGTCACCTGTGATTACGTTATTCAAAAATTGGGGGTCACTTTCACACATGTTCAAATTTTCTTGGCACACTTCCACTCGCCGCAATTTCTGGTCGTCAGTGAGCACTTTTGGGACCATCTTCGCGCACACCTTGCGCATGTTCAAATGCTGCGTCATAATGTCATGAATCACAGATTTTGGTAATTTTAACATCTGGGCAATTAAACGAATACTTAGTCGACGGTCTGAGTTCAAAACTTTGCGCACACGAGTCACATTATCGGTGTTTGTCGAAGTCGAAGGTCTTCCAGCACGGTCTTCATCAGCGACCTCTTCCCGGCCCTCCAAAAAGGCCTGGTGCCACCGAAACACACCACTTCTTGCTAAAGCAACACCTGGGTAAGCCTGCTTGATCATATCAAACGTCTCTGTCGCAGATTTACCGAGTTTCACACAGAATTTAATCGCGTACCTCTGCTCTAACGAACGCTGCATTTTCGGCTTGCACCACTCACAGAAACACGTCGCGCGAAAATGCCTGTCCTGACTCTCCAGGTGCTCGGGGACAACTGACCAGCCGCTCATTCGTTAGCTAGGAACGCCCTCTACCGAATCCAGTCGGTGCGCGCACGCTCCGAAGTACAGTCAGGGCGGAAGAAAATGAGTCCTATTACTTTCCGGACAAACCCTGTATCTCTAACAACAAATGCGAGGACTTCTGGGGAGCCTTAAGCAAATATAGGTTTAAAAGCTGTGAATCTCGCCAAGAAAATGTTAAGAAGGTATGCCATATTCAGGGTTAGGGGGGAGACAGAGATGTTGAGAGTGGCCGTTTAGGGTAAAAAATCTACTTACTGTTGGTGAAGATTGAAAAAATAAGTACATATCCGTTTTTTTGTCCTAAGTAATTTGGAACAAAAACCGCTCAAATCGACTTGAGTCACTTATCCTTTACTTATGTCCAATTAAAGTCTATATAAATTTTTTCTCACTCTTCTAGCAGGTCGTAGATAAAAATTTGTATCTCGGGCGTAATAAGCGTGTATGTCTTTTGGTATGTTAATTTCATGCCAAAAGCCATAATCTCCCCCTTTACGCACTAAATACGGCAATAACTATTATGTCTGTGCAAGAGGTTTGAGTGTATGTTATTGTAAGTCTGCCTTAGAAACTCCCAAAAGTTGTTATGGACTGATATGTGAACAGTAAAATGAACATTCCTCTATAGGCGTAAATGTGTCAGCGAGAAACTGGATTTATATATTTACAGATGTAAAGCAAAGCATTGGCCGCAATCTATCTGCTACGGGCTGAGACCGTTTTAACCGTCAGTTAGTTTTAAGCAACCATTCTACGTACGGAAATTCCGATTTTCGCATAGAAAAACACAATCTGTTTGTTCATCAACTACTAGTTTCTAGAATTTATTTTCCACTATGCTATTTTTTTAATGATTAAGGTTTATAATAGCGGTTGTTGGAATGGTTTTCCAATAAATATTTCTCTTTTAGGCAGTATTTACTAAGTTTTTCCTGTGTAAAATGCTTTGATATTTTTATTGTGCTACGTATTATAACATGTTTTCCATTATATATTATTTTTTATTTTCACATACACTTGACATTTACTTCCATGAGTTTTTTCTATATAACTATAATCGCTAGATTTATAAAAAGAAATGGTGTTTTGTGTCTTGTTAGCGTATTTGTAGGCTATGGAGGTATTTGACTGGACGTCCGGAGACAGGATCTGCTGAGTTGGGTAAGGAAAATGTGCAATGCATTTTGTGGTTTTCATCACATGTCCTATACTCCTTATCCGAGGTTGTGCTACACCTGTGTCCATAGGAAATTACTGAAATTGTATGGACTAAAAAAGATTAAGAAGATAAAGCGGGCGTTTTCTTCTAGTCGCCAAACCCTTAGTTTTTTATTTAATATGTTAGGAATTTCTTAAAAGATCCTCGTTTGGCTTGGATGTGATGTTTCAATATTTTTTATTTAAAGCTCATATAAAAAAATAAACGTTCGTTCGGCTGCTAAAACATCTTCATATTCAAATACCTCCAAGTTATGGGCTTCTCATAATATGATAGTGATGATAATATTGATTCAAATTGCTTGTGAGTAGCGGTGATGACCTTTATAAATAATACCACAGGTTTTATCAAAAGAAAACAAATTAATTTAGATAACATTGATGCAATATTCTAAATACTACGATACAAATTCCATTTTGATATGAACGTTATACACATATGTTAGGCAGAGACTGTTAACAATCAAAATTTGTGGTTATGTTAGGAAAACAGATACTTTGAGATTCCTTACCATCAATATTTTTGACAAGACAAAGATAGCGCCCCTTTATCTCCGATATAATGTAAGAAGCTTGAAGGACACTGTTCATGCATTTATTCACTCTATGAATTTTTCTGGTTCGTGGACGCCGTCATCGCAAAAATAGACCTATTTTGAATATATTTACAAAAGGGCTTGTATTCAGATATTTTCACGTGCCATCAGCTCGACAGATTTTACGTTTGGACTTTTTTCTGGACTGCAATAATCACATTATCATATATAATCATTCTTTCTCACGGTTGACCAAAGCTCTTTTGTAAAAATATGCCCAGTTTATACAACAAAAACTTTTGCTTTCACCATAAGAATGGAAATAGGCAGATCTGGTATTTTCGCAAAAACAGTTATTCCATAAGGTTTATGTACAGTGTATTATGAGTATGCAATTATATGAAACTGATTAAAAATAAGCTACCTCTGTTTGTGTTTTGTTCTATTGATGATTTTCAGAAACATTGGGCGTTCAACAGGTAAGAATAGTCTTTAGAAATTCTTTTGCCCTGAAGATTGTTGAAGACTTTTTAGTGTACGAGGGCGTATCATAAGTATTTGAATCACTTTATACAGGGTGGCCCTTAGTAGCTTGCGGTTTTTAATTCATTCGGCAACGTCGGGCCAAGTAAGCGTTGATATACCGTCAGTTGCTAGCTACACTATCGCCAATAGGCTACTTAACTCATATCAAATTTCATAGAATAAATGAGTATTTCTTGCAGTATTTGGCTTAGGAAAACGAAATATATCGTTTTCAGTTTTTAAAAGCGCAAGATGGATATATAAATCCAATTTGAAAGAACATATTTTGTATTTTTAATATGAAACGGTGAAAACACTATCGACCATGATGTGACGTCATACATATTGTATATAAAGAAGCGTCATTCATGTCACTCGTGGACTAACGTTGTCTTCATTATGTATTTCTAAAAAAAACTCCTAATCAACGTAAAAAGTTATCGTTTTATTGAAAAAAAAAAACAGACATGGACATTGGATTCGTAAATGCAGAAAGTATACATTTGCCGAAAATTGACACATTGGTGGTTGGTAATATTTTTGCTTTCAACCCAGATTTCTGCTCTACTGGGCTGAGAGACATCAATACTTCAGAGAGTTCAGTGCATCTAGTATTATAATGATTGACATAAAAAAAACAAAATAAGTATTATACTTAAATAATCTTCCTTTTCAGAAGTCATCCAAAGCTAAGTTCATGCTTCTGAATAATTATTCTGTCTAAGATTGTATTTCTTTGTACACATCTGAAAGGGAATCGTACGGTGATCATGCCGCAGGTTACGACCAACTTGAACAAGAAGAATTAACCTGCACAGTAAAATGTGAAGTATTTCCCTGGGCACTCTAATCCGCAGCTTTCCTGGGTCTTTATCGATGTGTTTTTGCATTATCTGACGCTACAGTAACGTTAATGACTACATTTTTCAATTAGACTAGTAGAAGTTAAGTTTAAAAGTTTGAGAGGTTATGCTGCTGTTTACAAATGGTATGACGTCAGGGCACGGGTGAAACATGGCGGTCAGCGTTTTCATGTGTATAAAAAACTATATTTTTAAAGTTTTACGATTTTTTAGGTCTGAAAAATATAGTATTTTTTTGTCTAATAGAACAAATATGAAATATTTAAGACCTACTTGAAAAAAGTGTCGGCTAGCCTATTCAGTTTCTAAGGATCAGTTCACAAGGCAAAAACGGGAGATTCGTTTCCGAGCATTTTATGACGACTGTCATCAATACTATACTTCGTTTGTTTTGTCTAAAATATGAATCTAACCAGCAACAGGCAATAAATACCACTGAGGCAAAAGATAATAAATACAATTCACTGCAAAATGAACCAATAAACTATCTGAGACAGATGAAAGTACTAGCCCATGGACAAAACATAGACAACACAAATCTAGTTATTTAAGGATAGTACAACAGATAAACAGAAATTACAACATATACTGAAATATAAGTAAAACAGAACAATATGGCAAAAAAACAAGTTGAAAATAAAGACAATAGAATCAAACCTACATCAAACTAATCTTCAGGTATGAAAGAACATGGAAAAATTCAAACAATGATTGTTCTAAAATAAAATTCTAATATTTCTTTTGAAAGCTGACACTGGTATGGACTTAAGGCCGCAGGGCCGTGGTGGTACAAGCGATAAACAAAATATGAAAATATCTACTGAACATTGCAGTATGGTTGTGAAATAATACCTCTAAACCGGGCATTCTTATGGATCCTTCAGTAAAAAGTGAAAGTAAATTTTGCTATGCTCGGGGATGCAAAGCAACAAATAAAGTCACATTATCCTGTCAATCTATCGGAAAGATCAAGCACTAAAATAAGGGGTCAAGTGCAGTAAAAAACAAATTGGTTCCACCGTCATTATTTTACTTTAAAGTTTGAGTAACTGTGAATCTTGGAATTTGTGGAAAATGTGCTTAACACAACCCATCACATTAAATAGTCATGAGCATAAACGGTTTCTAGACCTCCAAAGTGATTCAGTGAAAATGCAACCCATGCAGGTTACAAAAATTGACAAAAAGCCATTAGGTGATGAAACATCTAATGAATGTCGTGTTTCCTATAATTTCGCGTTACTATAGGTATCATTTGCAAACGACAACATTCTCCTGCGTTAACGTTATGAAGAATTTTACTTGCTGTTTGTCTTGAATACAGTTTTAAATATTATCATTTTCATAAGTAAAACTTATGAGGATTGTGGCTCGCTCAAATTCTGCTTCTTCAATTTAGATATATTTTGTGGCTCCAATGATTATAAATTGATGTTATTTGTGAAGCTGAAAATACAAAATCTATATCGGCTCCTTTTTGTTTGAGCAGTGCCATCTCTAGGACCTGCCCCTCGGTAATAGTACACGTTGCTAATGGCCATCCTGTGTCGTACTATTATAAATATATACTATCAATCACCTTTGATTCGTGGAAATTTCGAGATCGTTAAAAAACTTGGCAGATCATATTTGATCATCTCTGTAGATGTCATCGCGACCACTAGGAATCTCGCTAACGGCTGCATCTGATATGCAATGATTTAGAATTAGCACGAAAATATATCTCTAATATTCAAAATGGTATGTAAATTTTTAAGTTTCAGAGCACCTCTGACCATGTCTTCATAAAAGATGAAACTGTTTTCCACGTTCTCGTCCTGATAATTTTAAGATGTCTCCAAAAGCATTTTTAGGGCAGGTTACATTTTATGACCCTTCACAAGCTATATTTAACTACGTAATACCATGAATATATTTTATATATCTATGAATTTCATATAGACAATCCGTCGGAACATATAAAACATGATTATTCTGACATTTACTGGCCACAATGAAATTAATATTTCTCAGGGTTTTACGTTACCTCAGGAGTTAGCAGTATGGAAACTTCCTTGCAGATGGAAATGTTGCAGTTTGAAATATTGAAATGCTATCTATACTTGCGATTATTTACATTTCTGATGCTCTTTTTAACACCTTGGCTATTTTTTTAAATCCGAGTATTTCTCGTCTCGACATTTGACAATGTTATGCTAGTGTATGTCCATTCGATGTCTGTTCCTACAGGGTGCTCCAAAAAACTAGGGCTGATGCTTCTCTGTACTGATCAGATCTTCGTGGAGAGTGAGTGACCCGCCAAAACATCGCCATGTAAGAAAATAACTATTTTGGAATATACTCTCAAAGTTTTACATGTTATATTAGTTCTAATATCATATTTTTTTATCTGTTATTGATGAACTGACTCTTCTATACTGTATTCGCGTTATATTGCTGGCGTATTAACTAATAGTTCTGTATTTACAATGTTTCCCGTGTTACCGATTCGCTACTTATTTAATGTATATTTGGATATGTGCATATTACATGTTTTCCTTGTTCATATTATATTGGCACTACTTTTATAGCATTAACCAATTATTATGGCATGTTTTGTATAATTTTATTCGCGATGTATACTTTTATTTTTTCCACTTATCCATGTCAGTATTAGTCTGTTTCTGCAGGATGCCCTGAGGCAAAAGATCATAAATACAATTCACTGTAAAATGAACCAATAAACTATCTGAGACAGATGAAAGTACTAGCCCATGAACAAAACATAGACAACACAAATTTAGTTATTTAAGGATAGTATAACAGATAAACAAACATTACAACATATACTGAAATATAAGTAAAACAGAACAGTATGGCAAAAAAACAAGTTGAAAATAAAGACAATAGAATCAAACCTACATCAAACTAATCTTCAGGTATGAAAGAACATGGAAAAATTCAAACAATGATTGTTCTAAAAGAAAATTCTAATATTTCTGTTGAAAGCTGACGCTGGTATGGACTTAAGGTCCGTAGGGCCGTGGTGGTACCAGCGATAAACAAAATATGTACTGAACATTGCAGTATGATGTGATGGTTGGGAAATGATACCTCTGAACCGGGCATTCTTATGGATCCTTCAGTAAAAAGTGAAAGTAAATTTTGCTCGGGGATGCAAAGCAACAAATAAAGTCACATTATCCTGTCAATCTATCGAAAAGATCAAGCACTAAAATAAGGGGTCAAGTGCAGTAAAAAACAAATTGGTTGCACCGTCATTATTTTACTTTAAAGTCTGAGTAACTGCGAATCTTGGAATTTCTGGAATATTTTGTGGAAAATATGCTCAACATAACCCATCATATTGAATAGTCATGAGTATAAACCGTTTCTAGACCTTCAAAGTGTGTCAGTGAAAAATGCAACCCGTGCAGGTTACAAAAAATTGACAAAAAGCCATTAGGTAATGAAACATCTAATGAATGTCGTGTTTCCTATAATTTCGCGTTACTATAGGTATCATTTGCGTGATCTATGCTCAAAATAAGCTATTCAAACGACAACAATCTCCTGCGTTAATGTTGAGAAGAATTTTACTTGCTGTTTTGTCTTGAATACAGTTTTAAATATTATCATTTTCATAAGTAAAACTTATGAGGATTGTGGCTCGCTCAAAATTCTGCTTCCTCTTCAACTTAGATATGTTTTGTGACTCCAATGATTATAAATTGACGTTATTTGTGAAGCTGAAAATACAAAATATACAAATACACCTCCTATCTGTTTGAGCAGCGCCATCTCTAGGACCTGCCCCTCGGTAATAGTACACGTTGCTAATGGCCAACCTGTTTGGTACTGTTATAAATACATACTATCAATCAACTTTGATTCTTCGTTAAAAAACTTGGAAGATCATATTTGATCATCTCTCTGTAGATATCATTGCGACCTCTCGGAATCTCGGTAACGGTTGCATCTGCTATGCAATGATTTAGAATTACCACGAAAATATATATCTTATGTCTTCATAAAAGATGAAACTGTTTTCCACGTTCTCGTACTTCTGATAATTTTAAGATGTCTCCAAAAGCATTTTTAGGGCAGGTTACATTTTATGACCCTTTACAAGCTATATTTAACTACGTAATACCATGAATATATTTTTAATATATTTTTCATATAGACAATCCGTCGGAACCTATAAAACATGATTATTCTGACATTTAGTGGCCACAATTAAATTAATATTTCGCAGGGTTTTACGTTACCTCAGGAGTTAGCAGTATGGAAACTTCCTTGCAGATGGAAATGTTGCAGTTTGAAACATTGAAATGCAATCTATACGTATACTTGCGATTATTTACATTTCTGATGCTCTTTTTAACACCTTGGCTATTTTTTAAAATCCGAGTATTTCTCGTCTCGACATTTGACTATGTTATGCTAGTGTATGTCCATTAGATGTCTGTTCCTACAGGGTGCTCCAAAAAACTAGGGCTGATGCTTCTCTGTACTGATCAGATCTTCGTGGAGAGTGAGTGACCCGCCAAAACATCGCCATGTAAGAAAATAACTATTTTGGAACATACTCTCAAACTTTTACATGTTATATTAGTTATAATGTCATATGTTTTATCTGTTATTGATGAACTGACTCTTCTATACTGTATTCGCGTTATATTGCTGGGGTATTAACTAATAGTTCTGTATTTACAATATTTCCCGTGATACCGATTCGATACTTATTTAATTTATATTTGGATATATGCATATTACGTTTTCCTCGTGCATATTATATTGGCACTACTTTTATGGCATTAACCAATTATTTTGGCATGTTTTGTATAATTTTATTCGCGATGTATAGTTTTATTTTTTCCACTTCTCCATGTCAGTATTAGTCTGTTTCTGCAGGATGTCCTGAGGTCTTTGGAGCTGTGTTATGGAGGCAGAATGATCCTAAAATTGGTGACATCAATGCTTATGGGAGCTCTCGCCTACGCGATTCTCAAGTCAAGGTACTATTTGATGCGATGTAATTACCTTTTTTTCTAAATCGTATGATATTTTCAATTACACCTAGATATGTGGAAAACGAGTATCGTCAGGTTTCCAAGCATCATCTTCCACTAATTTTTATCACAAAAACAAAATTCTAACCGTCAAATACAAGAGGTTTTTAAAATTAAACTCCCCAAAATAAAAGAATTATCTATAATCTAAATGGCAAAAATCAGTATCCTATTTGTGAGTACAAAACAATCTGGTTGCCCGATCAAATTCCCGAATATTCCAATATCAATTCAAAGGATTCCTGGGATACGATCATTTTGTTCGTGCTGGTATGCAATGCTGGCCACAGACCTTTTTCCTGGCTGATTTTAATGTGTGCGAGAGAGAGAGAAAGAAGCATGCAACGCGTAAGAGTGCGCTATACAAGTGTAGTGACCATGTTGCCTGACGTCAATTGAACGTCGCGGAACGCTGACCAGTTAACTCTTTCTAACACACGCCTTGCACGATGCTCTCTTCCTCTCTCGCACACATTAAAATCTCTCTCGCGCTTACGCTGAATATTGAGCTCGCGCTTGATTAACAATTATAAAACAAAGGTTTACAATAACAATACCTCTTAAAATCCTGTGGGATTATGTTGATAGCTGTTTGAAGAATATTTAGAAAATTTGCTAAAATTTTCATGTTGGTTTTTACAAAAATGGCATATTTGCACTTTTCAAAATACTAAAGCGCAAAAATCTGCCTTGTTTAAAATATTGTTTTAACGATATGCTGATTAATGAAACAAAATCGGTATCGATCTCCAGAAAGGGGGTAAATTGTTGAAATGCGGCGAATATGTTGGCTATACAGGGTGTTTCTTAATGATACGCGAATATTTGATGGTGTGAATCTACATGAAAAATTAATGTTAGTTTGCTTTATGAACTATGGTCCAAAATGTTTCCTTACAAAAACTCGGGGTGTTGAAGTTTTAGGAAAAAAAATGGAAATTATTAATTAAACTGATATTTAGTACGTAGTGAAAGACAATAAAGTTGCATATTTTTCAATGCAAATATAATTTTTAGCTTTAACAGTGGGGTGCGTACGGGTATTGACTTCGATATTTTTTGAGAAAAAAAAATGGTACGCCAATGGTTTTTGCCAAATAAAATTATTTTTGCATTCCCCGTTCAATTTAAAACAAATGATGTCTCTTGAGTTGTTTTCCTTCGATGCGCCATTTTGAAAATAAAAACCGTTCTATTGTCTAACTTGCAAAATTATTATTAATTTGGAAATTGGAAACATTAAATAATATATAATAATGAATGACAACAACTGACAACATAAACATAACACTAAAACCAACGAAATGATTATAAAAATTGTTGAAAATGGCCCCCTTCACGTAGTATGCAAGCTTCCGCCCTCCTCATGGAATTGCGCACTCGTTGAAATATCCCTGGAGTGTTTTTATCTATCACAAGCTGCAACTATTCTTTCTCTTAATTCCTCTACAGTGTTAATGGGACTTGTGTCTAAAGATAGCCCCACAAAAGGAAATCTAAGCTGTTGAGGGCCGGGGGACCTTGGTGGCCATTCTTGAGGCCCACCGCGGCCAATCCAACGATTTGGATAAACAGTTTGTAAATAATTACGAACCGCTACACTGAAATGCGCTGGTGCACCATCATGCATGTACCACATATTTTTTCTTATTACTAACGGACCATCATCAAGCAGCAAAGGCAACAGTTGTTGAAGAAAATTGAGGTAAGTGTGTCCGTCAAGTCGTACCGGCAAGAAGAATGGGCCATAAAGTGTTTGCCAATAATTCCTGCCCATGAGTTACCGAAAATTGGTGCTGGAAATGGGTTTCGGTTACTGCATAGGGATTTTCTTCTGCCCACAAATGATTATTGTGGAGATTCTGAATGGCATTTCGAGAAAAATTAGCTTCGTCCGTGAACAGAATCAAAATGATTCAAATTGCGGATTTTGTGTAATTTTTTGAAGGTACCACTGACAAAAGGTCACACGCCTTGGAAATTCAATGGGAATTAATGCCTGTACTCTTAAAATATGGTAAGAATATAACAAAAAATCTACTAAAATTCTCCAAACAATTTGATGGCAAATGATTAAGTGTCTAGCGATCTTCCTCGTACTCGTTCCAGTATGTTCTTCGACTTGCAGCACTGCTTCCTCAATTTCAGGTGTTCTCACACTTAGAGGTCTACCTTCAGATGTTCCTTTTCGGACAGAACCAGTTTCAACAAGACGACGATAAATATTAGAAAAGGTTCGACTATCTGGCATAGCACGATCGGGATATCTCTGGTGATAAATCCGTCTGGCTTGCTCACCATTACCGTCCGCAAGCCCATATACGTAATGCATTTCCGCCAATTCTACATTGGAATAATTCACCATTATTAACAAGATTGTAAAAACTAAATAATGAAAAAGATGTCACAGCGAACAGATTTGAATAACAGAGACTTGTCAGATGTCAAAAGCCAGTGACATATTCCACAGCAACTAGATATTTATTGCTAAATTGCATTCTTCAATTATTACATTTTCTCGGACAATAGAATGGTTTTTATTTTCTTACTCAAAAATGGCGCATCGAAGGAAAACAATTCAAGAGAAATCATTTGTTTTAAATTGAACGGGGAATTCAAAAATAATTTTTATTTGGCAAAAAAACATTCGTGTACCATTTTTTCTTAAAAAATATCGGAGTCAATACCCGTATGAACGCCACTGTGAAAGCTAAAAATTATTTTATTAACTTTCACTACGTACTAAATATCGGTGAAATATCTGAAGCGGTTCTGAAAATATTAATTAATTTCTATTTTTTTCCTAAAACTTCAACACCCCGAGTTTTTGTAAGGAAACATTTTGGACCATAGTTTATAAAGCAAACTAACATTAATGTTTCAAGTAGATTCACATCCTTAAATATTCGCATATACCTATATTGTTAGCCGCTTACGAGTGATAACTCGCTTTAGAAACATCATTATTTATTGTCACTTTGTGTCATGGTAAACCTTTTGAATTTATATAAATATTCCGCTGAACTATATCTGTGGTATCATTCTTAATGTTCTTGCTGTTCATCAATGTGGTTGACCTGACTATTGTATAAGAATATCGAGAGTTCAATATCTGGTCTATAATCACTTTATTTCGGTATGATGTTTCTCTAGGGTGTCTTAAGTCAAGAGAGATGCCCCGTGATAATAGATTCAACAATATGGAGACAGAAATAACTCGTCGTTGCTGAAAGTGAGTAAACATTTCAAATTGAACATATTTTACATCTTCATTAAATATTTTGGTGCGTGCAGTATTTGTGATTAACGAAATATTTCGTGGGTTTATACATATCTCTAACGTTTTTATTTTATTGTTTAGAGGTAAGTTTTTGTTAACATTTTTGAGGTATTGAACCATGACGTAATATTTTATTCCATATAATAATGTGTATTAAAACTACTTTTGATAATTTACATTCCGAATTATAATTGACTGTATTTCTCAATTTTCTAGTACATCCATATTTTATTAATACAGCTTTATTTTTCATAAACGCTTCTTTATTAAATTTCCAGAAACACCTATTTCCAAATAAAGCAGATGGCCTGCACAGTTTCATGTTTTTGTTACCATTTACTATTTCCATTAGTTTTGATATTCTTGTATTCAAAATAAAATGATTTGAACTTAAAACAGTTTCCATTTATATATGACCTGAACAAATAACACACGCACATCGGCTCTCTGACAGTATAAGATGTACAGTTTTGAATTTCTGAAACAGCACAGTTCAAGAACATGAATAGAACACTGACTGATTTTCAAAATTTGTTCATTCAAATATAATTACAATCTTATATTCGTCACCCTCAAACTGCAGCCACACCTCTGGAGACAGTTCTTCCACTTCTCATAGCAGTGCTGGAACTCCGAAACTGGAATAGCCTTCAGCTGATCGGTTACAGCTGTTTGAATGTTTTCGACTGTCCCAAAATGAGTTCCCTTTTGGTGATTTTTCATCCTCGGAAAGAGAAAAAAGTCACAGGGACTCGAATCAGGCGAATAAGAAGGCTGAGGAGCCACAGAAGTGTTTTGACTGGACAAAAACTCGTTTATTAACATCTCTGTGTGACAAGCAGCATTATCGTGATGCATCACCCAGTTGTTTTCGAACGGATGAACGGTGGTGCGAGTCAAATTTAACTTTTAACCGACGATCTGAACGCACAAAGACTCCGGATTCTGCCGATATTATCATCGGTTCTTGAAGATAAGTTCTTCCGCTTCGTAGTTCATCTTCATTGGACTCTCTCCCTTCTGAAAATGCCTTAAACCACCGAAAGGGCTGTTGAGAAAACACTATCTCCGTAGGCCTGTTTAGCAAGGGTTTCCGTTGCACTGTGCCCAAGTCTGAAGCAAAACATTTTTAGAACAGAATAGAAAATACTGTTTCACAAAAAAATCGTTAAACTCGGGCGAATTGTTCCCGTTACAGTCTCCCCTCCAAGCTCGGTGTCTCTAGTGTTGCCAGATCGAGCGCTACGTTGCCATTCTCATCACTCAATTTACAGACCTCCTACCATGGATTGAAAGGTGTTTACTTGTGAAAAACTTGACTGAATTTCTCTTAAATTGATTTACCATAGAAATATCACTACTATGAATTTGTATGTGCAACGTCAAGGTTTCTCAGGAGAACCTTGAATGCAGATGTGAAAAAGATCGAAAGGTGATAATACAAAGAACCAATGTTTCTTAGATCGTTTAATATTAAACATCTATATAAATATATAAAACGCTAAAATAAAATCGTTAACTTAACGAGATGTTTCACAGGAATCTGGACAACACTATAATTTCTATACAATAATTTGTCAACATATACTGAATGATTGGACAGAACAGTCTAGAAATGTAAATCCAAACATGATTTTCTTTATCAATTCCATGCATTTGTTTTCAAAAGTTAAAAAACGTTCGTGTATGTTATACAGCAGATGCAATCAACATACAATTTCAACAAACTATAGTGAAATTTTTCCCGATGGTTTATCTAACTAGTAACAATTACACCATAACCTTTTTTGCTACATTACAAGAAATTATTTTTTTCTTAAATGCTACTTTACTTTTGATGAACTCTGAATTATCATATGGTGATTAACGACAAATAAAAAAGAACTACCAATACAAGTCTTTGAAAACTGCGACCTGTGGAGAAACTTCAACTCTGATTTGGCTTGGTACAAATACCAACGACTTTCCCATAATGTTCTGGTTGTGACAAACAGTCTACCAAGAAGCGTCCCAGATCCCACTTTGAGATAACTCTCCCGCCAGGACTCTCATCATGCTTCACGCAATAGTCTGTACCAGGTTCGTCTATAAGAAATAAAAAAAGTTAATGGTGAGTATTTGAAGGAGCAAAGAAACAACACTGCGCCCCATCAAAACAAATGCCAACGCGCGACGGTCAAATACGTTGTAGCGGCTAGCGCGCCATAAATGCCTGAGTAGTGCAGCGGTAAGCCAAGAGAAGATGCCGAGTAAATTAGAATCAGAAAAAATCACAAATAAAGATTCAATCTTGCAGTATACAGGTTTCTTTATTTTCAATTTTGATTTCAGTTTTCATAATGAATATCACCAACTATCTGGAAATTGCTCAAAAATTAGTGTCAAAATCTTCTAAGCCTTTACATTGAATGAAACGTTTTGAACATGAAATTCTAGATATCAAGAATATTCAATATGTGCCAAACAAAATTCCAGGACAGAAGTGAACCTTCAAATAAAAAAAACGATTACATGAGAGATGCGCTGAGATACAAGTAATGTGTTGACACAAAAAAATAACACTCCTTAGACCAGGAGCGACCAAGGGCCTAGGAACGCAATCCAAGAGCATTCATACTTTAATAAACATGACACTATCCATCTCATTTTCAATCATCACCAGCAGCCTAGGCTTGGCTTTTACCCTCCCTTCCAAAATCGGAATTAATTTTCTACACTAGATCATCCACAAAGTATTGATAGAATTATATTTTTTTTAGATAAAATGCTAGATATGTTTCCATTGGATGGTTTGACACAATAAGAACATAGTTTGTCTCTGAGGAAGTTCCAGTGTCACACTTAATTGACCCAACCCTGTATGTTTTTTGTAATTTTCCTTGGAACTGTTTATTGTTTTCAAGTGATTTTTACAATCATCCATGCATAATGCGGATACAATCATGAATAATTGGTCTATTTCAAAACAACTATATTAAGCTTTCCATGCAAGTTTAATACTTAAAATGGCATCATTATTATTCTATTTTTTGTTTTCAACACTTTGAACATCTTTTTTTTCGTTCATTTGAATTCATTTTTCCGCATATTGCATTCTTGCTATAACTTTCGAAATATTTATGAGAACAGATTCTAAAATTCAGTTCCTGGAACATTTATTAATGAAAAACAATTGTAGGACGCCTCTATGGCCTTCTTGATTTTCATAGTTTTCTACTGTTCCGCTCTATTTTGAGGTTATGTTACAAATATCTATTTGCATCAAATTGTTCATACTTTTGATTTATATCATCTGTTATATCAGCCTGAAATTACCTACAATTCAAAAAGAAAACATAGTCTCAATAGGAGAGTGACACAGTTATATCAGCCTGAAATTACCTACAATACAAAAAGAAAACATAGTCTCAATAGGAGAGTGACACAGTAGAAATCTAGAACTACCCCAGCATTTCTGAAGGAGAGAAAAGACTGAAAATCAAGGAGACCATAAAGGCGTCCTACAGTTGTAGGAACTACTAACGATACGGCCCTTGATAATAGGCGTAACTACAAGAGGACATTTCTGAACTAAATTCAAGTAAGTGTGCATAAATCAGAAGCTTCTGAAGTGCCTTGAACGTCATGGCTTGGTTAGCGACAGATAGTATGGTTTGCAGCACCAGCGACGGTATCTCCTAGGTTACATCACGCAACTGAGAAGTTGTTCTTGACATCAGAAAAGCGTTCAGTCAGCTATGACATGCTGCCCTCTTATGCAAACTTCCACTAGAGAAGCTTTGCAGATGAACAGTTTCTCTTCATCCCACAACGTCTACGCGGGTGTTCCCCAGTGATCGGTCTTGGCTACGACATTGATCCTCTTTATATGAATAACCTTTCCTGTACGATCAATTAGATTCACAGCTTTGCTGATGACAGCACTCTACATGCAGGAATTCAAGGTGGCAAGCTGATCTGAGCCAGAAAGAAGAATAGCAGCGACTTTCTCTCTGACGAGAAACCTGGTAGTTATCACTTGTGGATGCCACAATTTGGTTTGGTTTGATGCTCCCTAGACACAGTACCTTGACTAACAAAAAGCGATCATCCGGTTTCAATGACTGGCCGAGTTCTACCAAAGAGAAGGTCATTTCAGCTGGTCGGAGTGCAGATCACCGCCGATTTGATCTTGCATGAATACATCTCCTCAATCACGGCAGCCGCCGAGAAAAACTTTATGGCTAAAAAGTACTTTTCTCTACCTAGCATGCCTCATTCTGTAGAAGGCCAAGGTAAGACCTGGCGTAGAGTACAGCTCACAAGTTTTGGGGTGCTGCCACCCCGACTACATTATCCATACTCGATGCTGTTCAGAGGAAGGCTGGCTGTCCGCCTCTTAGACGACTCTTCTCTAACGGACAGTCTCAGGACCCTTTCGCACCAACGGTAATCGGTAATCTGGCTGTCTTCTACCATTATATCAACGGGTTTCATTCCTCATAACTCTCCTGTAAAATGCCGCCGTGCCATGTGCCTGCCAGACCGAGCTGCTTAACAGTGGCCTTGCATCCAAACCATGTCTAACTTCGTACACCATGTTTTTCAGTTCAGAAATTGGATTAACCTGGTTTTTAGAGCTCTTCATAGTAGCTGCAGTGCCCTGGTTTTTAGCCTTCTGCCTATGGGTCATGGGTCTGCTTTGGCATAAAAAGTAGAAAAGTCCATATAAACATAAGTCCTGAAAAATCTTGTTTCCAAGTTATAGGGTATTAAAAGATTCAAATAGAATCGGTTTTTGTCAGAGGGAAAAGAGATAATAGATAGCTTATGGAAGTGAATGATATTTTGATAACAACAGAACAACACTCCCTAGCAATGATCAAAATGAATTTGATCTTATTTCAATAATTTTGGTCATTCAATGGAATTATTTTTTAGTAACGGCTAACTTATCTTAATGTAGTAAGCAAAAATGCTCTATGATGTTTAAGATAATAATTAAAAAACATTTTTTAAAACCAACCTGTATCTTGGAATCCAGACTTAGGACACATGTTTATATGATATTTTCTATTTGGCTCAGGAATGTGCCTTGGAATTATGGGCCATCATTAACTAACATCCTGAATGTATAATTCTAAATTATATAATTTTCAACACATGCATTCCATAAATGGATAACAAACCATTTTATTCTCTATTACATCGTTATTAAGGTTGAATAATAATATACTTCAGATAGCTAGATATAAAAATAGTTTATGATACCAAACAATAGTGAATTCATATTGAATTTGATTTAAGCTTGTTCGTCATAAATTACTGATTATGTGCAAATCCACTTACAAAATGAATTCCATTTGATATGAATAATTGTTTTAACATTTACCTGCAATATGAGGAGGAAAAACTGCAATGTATTTCAAGTTTGATGCTTTTAATAAATCCAACATCCTTTGATGATCAGCATTAATATCTTTAAAAATAGCTGGCACTTCTTCAGGCTGTCTGAACAGAAATGCAGATAGGCACACGGATACTATTTCAACACTCAGCTCTTTCATAGCTTGTATGATATTTTTTAGGCCTTCACTCATGTCTGTTGATGGTTTCAAGTCATTGCGAGTTCCTAATACAACCACAACTGCTGTAACATTCTTTATAGCATTTAGTACATCTTTGTAGTTTAAGACATTGCCTTGGACGACTTCTACACTATTTCTCAAGTGGTCTGGTAGTTTTGCGGGATCCCTCAGAAATGCCCTCACATTCAGACCTTCAAAATTATAATGAAAAATTGGTTCAATGTTTATATTTCAATACAGGGCTCACCTTTCTTTACCGCTGCCTCTACTGCACATACTCCTGTGTTTCCTGTAGAGCCAAAAATAACCACTTTTTCCATTCTACTTGATTGCAAATCAACACAACTACAATGAAAATAGCTTACCTATCCAAAATATTTTGAATGCGGGATGACTATGACAGTCACTTATATCAGCGCTGTTGCCAAATGGGAATTTACGCTGGCTAAGATTTATGAGCTTGTTCCATTTCATAAGGTTTTTATAGTCTTTTTTCACGTGTATCCATTACGGTAGAATGACAGCTGATTATCTAGTAATACTTCAAAATTCCCATATCCGCAAACGACACATAATTCTGGCGGATCCGTCAATTCCAGTAGGCAGAGCCATATTTTGTTTTGGTTTTTTGTACACTACAGATTCATTTTGTACTTGCTAAAACCTCTCTTATTCAGAAAAATTCATTTGCATACAAAAAACAAAACGCTACAAACACTACTAGATTTACACCGGAACGGGTATTACGTATCTTGAAAAGTGACTTTATATCGCTTTTTTGACATTAGACTGTTTTTCTTTACATGTAGGTTTTTCGACAAGATGTTAACTTAGCACTAGCTGATGTGCACTTTGCTGTACGTGTTGCCTAAAGGTCATGAGGCTTCAGTTATCAATGTTTGGCTATGATCTCATGTAAAGTTTGGTTCAGAGATGGCATTACTGGAGGTAACGGCATAGTGAGGATTTGTGTGCTAATAACATGTGTTGATGTATTCAATTGGATTAATGAGCCATATTTAACTATTCATAAAAGAGAAGCATATCCTCGAAAGCATAAGGTAAAAGTATAAGGTCTTGCTTCGGAGAAAAAGGTAGAAGTATAAGCATATCCTTGTTTTCGTATTCATAATGATTACCTTATACTGGCGAGGATATCCTCCAAAAAGAAGTACAAGGTTGCCTGGTATTTGTATTTTGAGCGACATGTCCTGACTTGTTCCAGCTTGTGGTTGACGTGGGAGCTCGTTCACTCAGCATCACTGACAGTTGTACTCCAGAGCTTACACAGACCGTTCCGTATTTTTACTGGATACAGTTTTTTATCAAATTAATATGCATGTCATCCTCAAGTGATGAGGAAACTATAGAAAATAATGGCAACGACCTGCAGTTCGTCGCAGATCAAATTGCCATTGCTCCCATTATTTTGCAAAAGTCACAAGTTCCAAAAATAAAAATGAGAAAGGACGATACCTTGAAGAAGATGTTGAAAAAATACGAATCAACATTTGGTAAACCATTAGATACTAAAGGCTTATTAAAAAAAATCAACAACATGAAATCAAGATCGAAGAAAAACATCTAAAAAAAAACTGGTAATAAAGCAATTTTAAATTGTTAGATTGCTGAAAGCTATGGAAGGTGACTATAATCCTACAATTGGGCACATTAGGGATGCGATTGAGGTTGGTAGTGTTCAAGAAGAAAGAAGTGAACTATATACAGAGCGCAGTGCTATTACAGCAGTACCAAACAAGTATTTTACAACAAGAGTATTATAAAACGAAATTAGAAATTATGCAGCGTTAGAAGCCACCTGTAACTTATAATGTTCACGAAAATAAAACTTATTATAACTTATAAATACACTTTAATCAGTGAAACTATTTATTATAATACTCAAGTTTCTTCTTATTTGTTGACCTAGTTGGCGGAGAGGAAGTTCGTCATTCTCATGATTTCCTTCATCTTCATCTGGGTCTTGTATAACTAACTCAAAGTCAGGATCGCCCAAGCTCTTCGCAATATTATGGAGTACAATACAGTTGGCCGAAACAGCGTTCAATTATAACTCTTTCTTGTTTTAAAAGCTTATAATTTATTTTTGCACCTGGAGTAGGGTTTCTAAGGGGAGTCATAATACCGTAACCGTCATCGCCAAGTAGTACAACATACAATCATCCAGATGCGATCTTGCTATTCAACCAAATAACCAACTTGCTTCACAGGGACTCAGAGATCAAAACTACAGACCACTCGGCTTCACAAAACATATGCAACCAACAATGCGTGTACTCGTAGTTGAGCCATTCCTCCATAGATTGACGCTCAAAACGAACATAGTGAGCAAACCTGGAATGACTGTTTACACCCTAAAAAACTGCTTAGTATGCAAGATAACACTTTATAATGTTTTTACGTTTTAATGGTTTTTTACATAATACATGTGCCGATTAATTATTGCCAACTTTGCAGACTAACACGAAAATGTCACTTGCTGATCAGCTGTTCACCTCAGTTGGCGTCAAAGCGTGATGAATACTCGTGAAATAAGGTATACAATGGTAAATAAAACCTAGAACTAACCTCATTCATTTATACCTGTCTGCAATTAACATTCAAATCTACCGAATCTATTTTGTCGGCTTCGATGATTCGGCGGCTGAGGGTCGCAGATCTGCATAAATTCAGCTAAACATGGCAACATCGCGGCACATGACCACTCACATCTCACTTAAATGATTTAAATGTGGAAAAAAGTATGTAAAACGTCTTTAAATTCTGACTAAAAGACTTTCAAAATTCGTATTTTTTTAATTATTATAAGCAACTAAAATGTCCCGTATTGATAGATGCATTGATGTTGTGTTTTGATAATTGTTTTTGACTTCAGTTGTACGTGCTCGACCGGTGTTGAAATGCATTCAAATGTTTGATCTCCATTGCAACAAAAAATTGTTCTTAAAAATAGTTTTTAAATAATCAGTGTCCCTTTTGAAGCAAAGCTGATTTGATAGAAGAATATTTAACTAACCATCAAAGTAGTTTTTAAAAATGAACAGTCTCGAGGCGATTGTGATTAATGTTTACAAATTAACAGAGAAGGGTAAAGTTGTTTTTGCTATAAAGCACGAATTTCATCCAGTCACAAAGGAAATAATCTCTAGAAGGTATTTCACCACAGAAAACCTAACTTTCGAGCTTTTCGACGACGACAAATTGAATTTAAACTGCTATCGATTCCCCCTGGGAGATAATCTGGTGAAATTCATAAAACTGGAAGAGTCGCTGGATGTGCCAGTGGTAAAATGCATGTTTAATATTTCAATGGAGATAATATGCCAAAACTGTGAGAGAGTTTTTTCGACGAAGTATCAGTACCAACGGCATCAGTGTGAATTTAATGCAGAGAAGGTAGCTATAAACTTTTATACATTGTGGCTGTCCATTATATCCAGTGGAACATGTTCAAATAGGTGTTATGACGAAGATTATTTAGATCCATACGATTTGGTACCGTTTGTAGTGAAAAATCCCAAAAAATTTAAGTGCTGGCGAGGCAAGGGCAGACAAAATAGTCAAGCAAAATTAGTTAATAGATTATTTATTTCCTTATTTATTTATACATATTTGCCCAACAGACTATTCCAATTTCAGAGCATTTTATATCTTTACTTATAAGTAAAAAATAAAATTAGCTATTATAATAGCCCCTGAAGTTCGACAAAATCTTAACCCATATACATATACATATACAGTAATGGACAAAAGTATATAGACAAATATGAATATTTACCAAAATACCTTTAGAAAACGAATTCATGCTCATTGCTCGATGAACAAATACGTTATTAGTAGAAAAACTAAATTACTTGTTTTTTCATTATCTGCAATGCACACAATACAAGTCTGAATATAAGCACTTTTTCATGAGGGACAAAAATATGTTGACAAATTCTTTTCAACATTAGTTTAGTACAGTTTCGTGTCAGAAGAGGATTATTTTGTGTTCATCAAGTATTGGGAATAGGTTGAGTGATTTTAAGACCATGCCGCGTGGTCCAGAAATTTCTTTCGATGTGAAAACTAAGATCATTGAGTTATACAAAGATGGTCAACGTCAAGCGGACATTGCCAAAAATTTGAAGCTGAAGCCTAAAGAAGTTTAGAAAACTAAATGCTAGATCAATTAGATTAATAAAAGTAATTTCGTCCAAAGATCCGTTTAAAACCCCAAGACAAATAAAAGCCGAAATCGAGACAAAAGGAATTGTCAGTGATTCTACGAAAACTGTAAGTAGAAGATTAAATGATTTAAAGTTATTTGCACGTCGTCCGAGAAAGAAGTCGCTAATCTCGAGGAAAAACCGTAAGGACCGATTACAGTTTGCACGGTTGCATCTTGATTGGAGCATCTGTGACTGGAAGAGGGTATGTCCTAGTGGACAAAGATTGAACCCCAAGTACACTTTGCCGCTGTCAAACGTGTAGGCGGGTCTGTTATGGTTTGGGGGTGCTTTTCTGGGTTTGGGATGGGACCTTTACATAGAATAGATGGCATTATGGATATGTTTATACAGGGTGACTTCGAAGTTGAGTCATTTATTTTAACAGTGAGTAGATCTGATCAAAAGAAATGTTTTTTCCTTTAACATTTTTGTGGTAAAATTAAAGTAACAAAGTTACAGCCCTTTAGAAGTTTGAGTACCGACCTGTCTCAATAATAATATTATGTGCTCGTGTTTGGCAACAACGGATATTCTCCGCCTTATCGGTTCATCGCATCGGAAACAAAAAAGCGAAAGAATTTGAAACGCTGATCACGATGTTTTTATTCAGTCTGTGTCATGCGGATCGGTTTCCCAATCGAGTGCAACCAACCCCTCGTGCCTTTGTTAATGTAGTACAACGGGCTCGTGAATCAGATGACTTAAGACCTCACAGGGGACTGCATGCCGGTGCTCCAAGACCTCACGATCAAATACAGGTCCGCACTGAAATACTTGTCGGGAGGATACTTTATAAAACAAGGTAAAAATGTTTTTCCTATTTTTTTTTTTATTTTTACACACATATTTTGATTTATCTTCCTTCTACAATCATTATCTGAAAATTAATGACTCGACTTCAAAGTCACCCTGTATATATACAGACATACTAAAGCATGTCATGTTACCCTATATGGAAGACAATATGCCCTTAAGATCAATCTTCCAGCAAGATAATGAGCCGAAGCACACTTCAACTCTCGCAAAAAAATTCTTTCTGGATGAAAAAATACCAGTTCTCAAATGGCCTTCACAGACTCCCGATATAAACCCCATTGAAAATCTATGGGAATACTTGGATAAGCAAATACGAGATAAAAATTATTCAAACAAGGATGAACTTTTTGCCGCTTTAGAGCAAAAATGGACACAGATTGATGATTTATTCAATTATATCAAGAAACTTCTACAATCTATGCCGAGACGATGCCAGGCGGTGATTGATAATATTGGTTATGCTACAAAATATTAACACAAACATGGTTGGTTTTCTGTAATTCAATGAACTTTGCTTCTTTTTTCTATAATTGTTTTGCTTTGTCTATATATTTTTGTCCTTCATATTTCCAGTTTTTTTCAATTAATTTTTTATTGAAGAGAGTCTAATGAATTTATTTATGTATAAGTGAGTATTATGCTATAAAGAATTATGTATACATGTTGGTATATTAATAAAACAAGTTAAAAAAGAAATACAACACAATATTAATTTGTCTATATACCATTACTGTATGTAACAACCACCCGAAGAACCACGCTGCGCTACTGTAGACAGTCGGGAACCTGGCGTTACAGCTCGCCTTTCGTCCGGATCCAGGCTCTGTCGGTTTTTCAGCGCAACATCAAAGGAATTTCTCGCGACGAAGTTGCAAGTGTTTGGGCAGGCATACCGGGGCGGCGAGCACCAAATTGAATGTGTTATTCTGTAATGTACGAGTACTTAGAAGTAAAAGAATTATTTCTCTTTAAAACTTCCATCAATGCCTCACAAACTTCTGGAATGATGTAGCTGATCGATTGCTTTAAAATTCGAAACATGTATTGGAAACAACTGTATAAATCATCGGTCGTTAAAAATCGCATCGTGACTGCAAGTCTTTCTTACACTGTGATGGCACCACTTCATTTTGTATGTTGCTTCCGTATTTTTGATCCAATCAACGTGAAAAGATATTCAAAATCCGTCGGAGACATCCTCGTAAAATATTTGTACTGTCCACTTACTTGTTGAAATTTCAATTCCGCTATCAAATTGTTGCAACCGTGGGGTGATCTATTGATACAAAGTGGAAGCATCAAGCAACCCTATATATTTGACATTAGTTGTCAGATCGACTAATGTAATACCGCGTTGGAAGCGTCATTTCAGCACAATTTTAACCATGGAACAGTACATACAAAAAAAACGCGCTGAAATTATTCAGTTGTTCATTCAAAATAACTTCTCAATCGTGAAAACTAAACGTGCGTTTCGTAAAAAAAATAAAGTTAAAAGTCCTCCAGCTGATAACACTATCAGACGTTTATACGCAAAATTTGTGAACACCTGTAGTCTTAGTAATGTCAGTCACCTATACAGACAACGAACATCGAAGCCGTACTACGAGTAGCCAGTGCTGAAGAGACTCCATCAACATCCGGTCGTCATCGTTCTCAAGAGTTAGGCATCGTAAGGATTTTTCCATACAAAATTCAAATAGCTCATCAATTAAACCCAGCTGATTATCAGTGTCGCTTTGATTTTACTAAATGGAGCATTGAAATGGCCAAAAATGAAGATGACTTTTGGCGAAAAATCATCATGTCCGACGAGGCACATTTTTCGTTACAAGGAGGCGTAAGTAAACAAAATTGTCGTTTATGCTACCGAAAACCCTCAATTAATCCTCTTTATGACCAAAAAGTACTGTTTGGTGCGGTATGTGTGCGAATATGGTCATCGGGTCGTATTTTTTTGAAAACGATGATGGAGCTGCGGTAACCGTCAATTGTGAGCGTTATCGAGCCATGATAACGAATTTTTTTAGGCTAATTGTTTGTGAAAATGACATGGACGATTATTGGTTCTAGCAGGACGGCGTCACATGCCACACAGCTCAAGCAACAATCCAATTTATTGCGGCCATGGTTCCCTGGACGACTGATATCGGAAAATGGCGATTTTGACTGGCCACCGAGATCACCTGATTTGACGCCACCAGCATTTTATTTGTGGGGCTATTTGAGATCCAAGGTATACGCTAACAAGCCCAGGACTCTAGCTGCCCTCAAGAACAATATTCGTCAAGAAATTGCCGCCATATCCGCCGAAACATTGGCCAACGTGATGGAAAACGACGAAAAAAGGGCACATTTGGTTATCAATGCCAGAGGTGGCCATTTGCGCGATATCATTTTTGAAAAGTAATTACAACAAATCTCCTTGGATCAAAATAAAAGACTTTTCAAATGAACAACTAAAATATTTTTTAATGTGTTTTTTTTTATAAACAGATGCTTCCACTTTAAATGGCCCACCCTGTATATAACTGCGTTTGTTACCATCGTCGTCGCTTGTTTTTGGATAATTAGTAGTGAATATAAATATAGTATTTTTCTTTCACTGAACGACAAACAACAAAATTGGATCGTCATTTGCAATGGAACGTCTTAATTGTAGAAACTATAGTTCGAAACGGCGCAGCAGAACAAATTGAGAGACCAATGTTGCCAGAAGTAGCGGAATTTTCAAGTGGTATCGGCGGAATTGGATTTTTTGTTAAAATTAGCGGAATTTCGCAATTTAGGTACCCACGATGGATATTTTTACCAGAAAAAAAATTGAGTGCAGTTAGAAACCAAATCTAAATACAGGTATATCTTTTCAATCGACAGTGGTAACCACCGTTCGGTAATTCTTATTCAACGGAGACGCGTAAAAATTGGAGTAGGTGGTAAGAACACAACCTGTGAAGTGTATTTCCAAAGTATGTCGAATAATTTTAACATTTGTCACATGGTAATGCAGATGTCGAGTGGACATTCTCATATATGGTGATAATCAAAACAAAGAAAAGGAATCGTATTCTACCTTCAACTTTGTTCGCGATACTTATCAAACTGGATGCAATACAAAAAATGTTGCTGCTTAGACTTCGAGTTTGGTGAAAAACATTTTAAAAAATACAAAAATAATTTATATAGTATAGAGAGAACAGAAATGCAACAAGAAGAATCTGATACAGACAGTGACTAAGTTTAAGTAACTCAAAAACTTCATTTTTTTTATGCAAAACAGAAATGGCCTTGAGTCATATGCTTTTTATTTTTTAGTTTCCTGTGATATTTTTTTAATATGACTGCGTGATAAATGTTCCGTTGTTTTACAGTTATTTGTAATATTTTATTGGTTTTTATGGTCAAATGTTTTTTATTACAGTTTTATGTTATATTTTATCACGCTGTTTGGTTTTCGTTTTCCTTTTTTGACACAACCTGTATAATAAATGCCCCATTGTTTTGTGATCCGTGTCGCTTCGGAAGTGACGCGTGCTACATGGACACACAAGTCCAATCTACAGGAAAATGTTATTCTCGTCAAATCCGCATTATTTATGGAATAATCAAAGATAATCGAATTCATTTTGCGACAATATGAACACGCTTTACACTTGGAAATGCTTAAGAAGCGAAAGTTATTCTCACACTGTGTGGTAGTATCCAGATCCTGCTCAAGGGAAATACAGTTCTCCAAATTTGTAATGTTGGTGTAAATTTTCAGATCATCGGTAAATAGTGCCACTTTAGTGAAGCGGCTACACTGTAATTGACAGTACCAAAGCATCGATACGTTGACCTTTTTCGAGTTATTATTACTTTTACTATTTTATATGAAAAATAATAATTGAAATTAATCTGCCCTCAAGGTGATTTTAAAACCAGACACTGACCTAAAGGAAACTGAACAAACTGTCCGAGAAAAATACATCTGCGACGTTTGCAACAGGCAATTCGCGAGTAGAAGCAACCTAGAACGACACCATGTCAGCCACGAAAATGTCGAAAATAATGTTTGCGAACACTGCAAGAAACAGTTCGTCAGCGAAAACCGTTTGAAAACGCACAAAGAAAACCATTGCAAAAAAGCCGGAGACCTGTCAAAGTTCTATCGTAGCGACGTTGTAATTTGGAAATGCAAAACATGTCACGAGGTATTTTCGTCTGAAGTCACAGCTAAGTACCACGTTTCCATTTGTACCGAAATGGTGGAAATTAGTAGTGAAAATAATGATGGAAGTAGCAACAAGGAAAATGAACCGCCGGCTCAGAAGGAAAAGTGTGGGGCAAATGTTGAAAAAATGCTCACTGAGATACTGTTGCAGTGTGAATTCTGTAACAGGACTTACGCGGATAAAACTTTGCTGCTGATGCATCAGAGGAAGCATACCACTGCGAAGAATTATGAGTGTGTTAACTGCTCACAGGTAAGATTTTCGAATTTCGTTTGTCGATCACTTGTCATTTTTTCTCGATCCCGTACACCGACACTAAAAGAGAGGCGGGGTTTTCGGATCTGATTAAAATTTTTAAAAATTAGAGGTTGGGGGTTATAGGAGGTGGGGTGTCAGTAGAACAGAAGGGAAATGTCTAAATCGCAGAGTCATCAAACGGGTGGGGACTATGGATTAAATGCATATGCCTGTTTGACTGACTTGGCCCATTTAATTTTTTTATTATACATGTTCGTAGCTAACCTTTTCCTCATAGGCGTTAACTTGTGCCGAACATAATCCTTCATGTGCTGATAACAGCGTTGCATGGGAAGTACAGAGTCAACCTATCTGACTCCATTTATTACATCTAACTGACTTTCACTGATTGTCTAACGTTCAAAAATTCTTCATTTAGGCTAATCTTTATTATTAGTTCGATAATCAAATATATGTGTCATGGAGCGTTATAAAATGTGGGGGCAATGTTTCAATTTCCAGATTTTTGAATCGTATGCAACGGCAGCGCAGCACTGGATGAAAAAATGTTCAGAATACGTCAGTTTGTTCTACCTTCCAAAACTGACTTACTGCGAATACTGTGATAGAACGTTCAAATCCCATGAACTGCTATATACGCATAAGATCAAGAAAAAACATTACACCTCCAAATTGCATAATCCTACAAGCAGTGAAGAAGTTGAGGAAGTTGTGGCTAAAAAGGAGAAGTTCAACGAAAATAAAGAGGTCAGTCTATCTTATTTGTGGAATGGTTAGGACTTTTCTCAATTTCTCGGTTGACTAAAAGACTTTGAAATGATTGAAGGATAGGTTCATAAAAGTTGAATCCAAGGTCATCGTTGAATTCCCTTGTTCAAAGTTAGTACAGACGACATTTACCTTTTTCAAAAATACCTTGCCTGGAAAAACACAGAAACATTCCGTCACTTTTGTTCTATTCTGCTATTTTTTTTTTTGGGAGATGGGGAGATATATAAATACATATTGTGCTGCGAATGAATGCTGTAACCACCACTGCTGTGCTCGCCCCCCCTCTCAGTCCTAGACAGATTCCTAAATGTGCCCTTATACATCCAGTATGTTAAGTAACAATGAAGACATTAGCCCTACATCATAAATAATATTATGATATTGTAGCGTTTTTCTGGCTTCTTTTGTGTGTGAATTAAAGCACTGGATTCCACAAAAAGAAATGCACTAATTTATTTAACTTGATAAAACATTTATATACACTACTATTTATGTCTCACTAATTCTTATGCCACCATTTACTGTACTATACTCCACTCCGCTCTGCTACTCTATCGTATTCAGCACTCTGCCTCCATCTCCCGGCCGCCGAGTTATATATGTTTAGTCCCCATTACAGCTTCGAGAAAAAACCGGGTGTACCACAAAACGACATCTAGAATGTTGGAAATCACTTCCCGTCGATCTAGAAGGCGATCCACTGTCACGGTCCTCACAGACGCCGCCAGGCGGCTTGTGCGCCGTGGTTCGCTTAAAAGCAGAGATCGGCAATTAAGCTCTGGCGAGTAGGAGACTCGCCCAACAGATGGCGCTATTTGTCACAATATGAACCTACTAAATGCCACTTTTCCTCTCAGGTACTGAATAAGTTAATTGAAGACGTACTAAAAACCTTGAATGTGCCAATCAACACGATCGGCAACACGATATCCTCAATAGCCCACGAAGACATCAAAAACGAACCTTTGGATTTGTCTAACAAAGAAAACGAAATCAAAGTAGGTGAAAAGAAAAAGAGAGGTAGAAAGCGAAAGTGGCCAAAGGAGGATGTTAAGATGAAGATTTTTAGCGGAGAAGTAGACGAAGGGTTCAAATACCAGTGCGAGAGATGCATCAAGGTGTTCGGTAATATCGCTGATTTGGAGAGTCACAGAGACAAGCAACATGCTGCTAGCTTCACTTGCGATGAATGTGGACAGGTATTTTTAAGATCTAGAAGTTATAATGTCGAGAGAAAAAATATTTTCGCGTTGTTCGTCCAATGCTCGAGGAAATTAGATCACGTGGCAACCATATATAGTGATGAAGTACCACGGCTGAGTCCAAACCTCAGGTCGTTAGTGTTACGTTACTGTCGAAAGAATACAATTTATTACGGTACTGTGCGTCTTGTAGACGTTCGGATTTCACTGTTTTTTCACTTGAAACTTCAGAGGGTAGTCTGATAGATTAATTTAAATAAAAAAAGTGTGGATGAAGCACGCTTTTCATGCATTTTTTTCACAAAAGACGTATTTTTAGCAGTCATTTCTAACATTATTTACACCGCCATATCACGACGTTGACGTCTGTGCATATATCATATATGAGAGACGGTTGTCTGCGGTGTTTCCGGATTGGGCTCCTCATTTAGGGAAACTGAAAAGTGGAAAATCTATATATAGTACGTACATTTCTATTAATCAATGAAACACAAACAGGTAAAACTGAAACAAACAACAATAGCAAAATAAAAAGCGGTTCTTAATAAGTATAAAACAAAAAATAACAGTAGTAAGCTAACACACAATTATTTGTAAATAATTATAAAGCGAAAAAAAATACCATGTAATTAAAATAAACAGTATACCTAATAGAAAGCTTTTCTAAGTGATAACAAAAAACAAAAAGTAAAATGAAAAACATTTCCATGTAATTATAAAAAAATGCTTTTTATTTTACTGTGGAATAGTTTTTTTTTGTTTTACTACTTTTGTTTTTTATCAGTATTGACAATTTATTATTTTTTTAGCTTGCTATCGTTATTTTTTGTTTTATACTTATTAAGAACCGCTTTTTATTTTGCTACTGTTGTTTGTTTCAGTTTTTTGTTTTTGTGTTTCATTAATTAATATAGGAATTATAAATTTTCCACTTTTCATATTTTTCCCTAAATGCGGAGCCCAATCCGGCAACACCGCAGGCAAGCGCCTCTCATACATGACATAATATGCACAAACGTCAACGTCATATGGCCGATGGCGGTGGAAATAATGGTGAAAATAACTCATAAAAATACAGTGTTTTGGAAAAAAGTGTTCTAGACAAGCGTGCTGCATCCACTATTTTTTCATTTAAAATGATCTATCGGACTACCCTCTTTAAGTTTCAAATGAAAAAACAGCGAAATTCGAAGTTCTACAAGACGCAAGAGTACCTTTATTACTATTACACTAATTTATTACAACACTTGCAACTCATTTATTACAAATTTATAACCATGTCAACCGGACTATAGCTTGTTGATTCATCGGACTGTGTTGACTTTTTTTCTTAATCCATCCCTGCCTATATTTATTCCCCTATCGACGACTGGTCTCGATGGCGCCGAACGTTCTCGAACGTGAACTCGATACCTATTGGTGCACGGTCGGGTAATTGGTTGCCTAAGCGTCGATGTTTCTGGATAACTGTCTTCTGGTACTTATATTTAATGTTTTAAACTTGGATTAACTTTAAAAAATGAGAGTTGCTATTTGCTAAATTGCATAAGTATGTTTTTAAAGAATCAGTATTAAACATTTTACAAAATAATTTAGTAAATAGAAGTCAAAAAACCAAAGTTGGAAATATTATGTCAAGTGTTCAAAATATATCAGTAGGGGTGCCACAGGGGAGTAAATTAGGGAAGTTACTATTTATTATTTATATAAATGATATCTCTGACATTTTAGAACACTGCAAAATTCAAATATTTGTGGACGATACACTTATATATACATATATAGCACATAAGCATTTGGACACTGCTTTAGAACTATCAAATAGTGATATTGAACAAATTATGAATTGGTTAAATGTCAATAAACTTAAATTAAACACTAATAAAACAAAATGTGTGTCTATAGGGAAACATTTAGGTGACAATACAAGTAGGCTCATGATTAATGATGAAAAAATTGATTGAAGTAGTCGAATCATTTAATTATCTGAGAATATATATATATATATATATATAGGGTGACTTTGAAGTTGAGTCATTAATTTTCAGATAATGATTGTAGAAGGAAGATAAACCAAAATATGTGTGTAAAAATAAAAAAAAAATAAAAAAAAAATTTTACCTTGTTTGATAAAGTATCCTCCCAACAAGTATTTCAGTGCGGACCTGTATTTGATCGTGAGGTGCCCTGTGAGGTCTTAAGTCACCTGATTCACGAGCCCGTTGTACTACATTAACAAAGGCACGAAGGGTTGGTTGCACTCGATTGCAAAACCGATCCGCATAAACATGTGCCATTTTTTATTTCGTTTGAGCCACGCAACAGACACTACTCACACGCGACTGACACTGACTGTATGTATAACTGAACTGAATGAAATAAAAACATCGTTCCAAATTCTTTCGCTTTTTTGTTTCCCATGCGATGAACCGATAAGGTGGATTATATCCGTTGTTGCCAAACACGAGTACATGATATTATTATTGAGACAGGGCGGTACTCAAACTTCCAAATTGCTATAACTTTGTTACTTTAATTTTACCAGAAAAATGGTAAAGGAAAAAAACATTTCTTTTGATCAGATCTACTCACTGTTAAAATAAATGACTCAACTTCGAAGTCACCCTGTATATATATATATATATATATATATATGTGGATAGTAAACTACTGTTTCACGAGCATTATGAATACATTATTACAAAAATATCAAAAAAGATAAATTACTTATATAGAGTTCCTATAATCTTAGTATGTATTAAAAAAATTGTGTATAACACTATAATTCTTCCCCATTTTTTATATTGTTCAACCCTCTTGTTTACAGCAAATGAAAGCATATTTTCAAAATTACAAATTGTACAAAATAAAGCTATGAGAATCATTTTAAATAAAAACAAATATGCTAGGATTATGTCTATGTTAGAACTACAGTGGTTGAATGTCAACAATTTCATATGTTATTTAGTTCTCATTTTCATATTCAAATTAAAAAATTATCTATTACTACCACATTTAGAAAACTGCACAAAATTAAATAGTCATTATCATAACTAGAGGCAGTATAGGTTTTTATCTGCAAAACTGTAATAGAATAGCTAGCAAATCCGTATTTCAAAAGGGAGTATTTGAATTTAATAAATTGAATAATTATATTAAACATTGTTCGAATTCAGAAATGTTTAAGGTGAAATTAAAAAATCACTTTATGAATACTCAAAATGCATAGTGATGTAATTTTACTAGGCAGGAATGTAAAATTACAGAAAATGGATTGAATAAAAATGTGTAAGCGAATAATTATAAACAATTGACTTTGTAGCATTAATGCTAAATAAATCTTCAACAAACAAACAAATGAACAATGGTATGACATTCATTATTTCAAGATTTAGAAATAAAGGGCTGCATGGAGCTCTAGTATTACTTTTAGTTAAATATCTTATAGTTCGTTTTTGTAGAATAATCACTTTTCAAACAATTTTGGGAACAGACACTCCAAGAAGGAATGTTATTTCTCGATCTACTTTCAAATAAGACAAAGTAACTGTTTAAGGCTGAGCTTTTTCCTGCATCGCAACTAATTGCTCTTATAATAAAGGGAATCTTTGCTAGTTGAGTAATCAACTGGTCTACATGATTAGTAAAGTTCAATTTATGATCATGGGTCAGTCCCAAAAACTTGATTATAAAATACCCAATTTTTGAAGACCAGACTTGTACGCAAATCATTCCGGTTAACTTTCGACATGAGGTGCTAGGCAACCATACTTTTGTGTCAATGTCAAACAGAGGGAAGAGTATGCGGAAAAACAAACTGATCTGTGAAAACAAACACATAATTTGGACTAGGGGTAGAAAGTTAATCTTCATCAATTCTAAGGTTAGCGTTACGGACGAACGTTACGGAATTCCTGATTATAAACAGTTTAACGTCAAGCAAAGTCAGAGTTTATAATTTATGTTTTAGTCATTGTGCGTTTTAACTTTCACTTGACGAGACGAGAAAATTTACCAGTTCATGTTTTTTTACATATTCACTTTTTTATTCAGAATGATTTATTTTCAGGTTCTCCATAGTGCCAAGGCACTGCTTATCCACAGTAGAGCTCACAAAAGCTTAAAACCATATGTATGCGAGACTTGTGGTCGAAGCTACTCCCAAACTTCGCATTTGTGGCAGCATATGCGTTTCCATCAAGGTAAGGTATTTATTATTGTAGAATAACATCTAAAACTGAGAATTTCATTGTTTCACCGTGGGCATTTTCAAGTTTTCTTTTTTATAAAAAAATTACTATTGACTTATTACCATCGAATAAAACTTCCTGAGTAAAAAAATGAGGCACCGTCAAAAAATCGTGGAGTTGAATTCGAGATATTTGAAAGTCCAGATCATCGAGGACTTCATCTGACACGAACACATCTCGTCAGTAGCGGCAGCTGCTGGGAAAAAGCTAGACTATTTGTTTAGGGCTTTGTTTGTTTGTTTAAGATTTATTTAGCATGATTGCTACAATTACATTCTTCTGAAAAACTAAACAATTACATAACATACAGGCATTCAGAAAAAAAACAAAATTTGCATCTCTAAGAATTTTCATTGTCCATGAAATATTCGTTTAATTTTCTTTTAAATATCTTTAAATTACAAGTAGACTTTATATCTTTATTTAGTTTATTAAATTCAAGTAATCTTTTCTGAAATATTGATTTGCTAGTTATATTACTGTTGCAATTTCGTAAATGAAAATCTATATTTCCTCTTGTATAATAATTGTGGTAATGATTATTCAGTTCTGGCAAAAGATGATTTTTTATTTTAAATATAAAAATAAGAACCAAATATGATATGAAATTTTTTATATTCAACCACTGCAATTCTTGTAACATACATTTTATTTTGGTGTACTTATTTTTATCCAATATTATTCTCATAGCTTTATTTTGCAAGACTTTTTGAAAATACAGCTTCATTGGCAATGAACAAGATAGTTGAACAATATAGTAAATTCGGTAGAATAATTGTATTATAAACTATTTTCTTGGAATAGGTACCAAGACTATGGGAAGCCCTATAAAAGTAATTTGGTTTTTGTCAATATTTGAAATAATGTATTCATAGTGATCCTCAAACTGTAGTTTACTATCAATATATGTATATATACCTAAATATTTAATTGATTCAACATTTTAAATTATTTCTCCATTTATCCTAAGTGATAGTATTTTCATTTAGGCCCGTATTGTCAGTCGTTCCTACAATTGTAGGACGCCTTTATTGCCTCCTTGATTGTCATACTTCTTTCTCTCCTTCAACAATTTCTAGATTGCGCCTGTTCTGTGTCAGCGTCAGCGCTCTCCTATTGTGAAGATATGTTTTCTTTTTAAATTGTAGGAAATTTCAGGCTGATAAAACATGATATAAATCATAAGCATGCACAATTTGATTCAAATAGATATTTGTGGCATAACCTTAAAATAGAGCGCTGACACGGAAAAGTAGAAAACTATGACAATCAAGGAGGCCATAAAGGCGTCCTACAATTGTAGGAACGACTGACGGTACGAGCCTAAGGTTTTTGCCTATTATTTTGTTTTTGAAGTATTCAATTTTAGTTTATTTACATTTAACCAATTTACGATTTTTGCCAAGTCAGAATTTAGCATTTTTAAAGCAGTGTCTATATTTTCATCTGATATGTATATGTATATCATCTGCAAATAACTGAAGTTTACAATAATCTAAAATATTACAAATGTCATTAATGTATTAAATAAATAGTAGTGGACCTAAGTAGCTAAGAAGTACTTTTCTCCGCATGACCTTCCGCCGCCCCGACTATATTATTTATCCTTGACGCTGTCCAGCGGAGGGATGTCCGACTGATCGATGACTTTTCTCTAACTGACAGTGTCGGGGACCTTTCGCACCGGTGGGCCGTCGGCGATCTAGCTGCACCAACGGGCTCTGGACCAGAGGTATAAAAAAAATCAAAATCCATTGTTCTGAAGCCAAGTTTTCGATGCGATTGGACGGTTGCTGTTCAATGTTGTGTTTCTGCCGCGCATTCTTGTAGTGAACATCGAGTTCGGGAACTGTCCTACTTCGCTCGGTTCTTTCTAACTTAACACATTGAACCGCTTTGTCAGTCACAGGTAATCAAAACAGCAACAGGATAATTAGGTACACAACGCGCACTACTTGATCTGAAACGCGACCTCTATACCCGTCTGCGTGAATATGGCCCCTCTGAAAGCTTACCTTGGAAACAAGTGCCCGGAGGAATGGAATGTATATCATGAACAGACTTGAAAGCGGTCGTTTTGAGAGATACTAACCAGCCTTGTGTACCTTCTAGAAAGCCTTTGTGTGCTCCAAGGTTGAACTTGCATGCAAAATGTGGTAACTCAGAAATATTATGATTTATGCTGTGGAAGTGAATTTTAATATCCTCATTTGGTAGCGAACAAGTGTATTGTGTTGAGCACTTGGGCGACTGTAAACCTTTTTCTATGGACTTTGGATGTTTTTCTTCCGCGTATAATAACGCTATATGGAACATTTGTCCTTTTAGGAATCAAGCCCTTTGCTTGCCCTCATGAGTGCTGCGAGGCCAGATACACGATCCGTCCTGATCTGAAAGACCACATTCGCAAGGTGCACACCAGAGAGCGTCCTTTCAAGTGCAACGTCTGTGATAAGTGCTTCCTTACAGGATCTGTCTACTACCAACACCGATTGATCCACACCAATGACAGAAGATACGCATGTGATGTAATGACTGCTTGAAAAAGACACTTAAACATAAAAGAGCCCATAATCTATGCTGATCGAAAAAATTAAGAGGTCAAACACACAATGTAAATGTTTAATGATTCTTTGAAGTGCTGCATGTCAGTAGAAAATCGTCGTACTGAGGTTATAAAGGAAGCAATTTAAAGCTTCAAAAGGCTGTTTTTTATCTTTTCCCAAGTAGCTCAGGGCATTGGCTAAACATTGATTTTATATTGAAATAAATTTTAATATATTGGCACTAGCATTCCAAACAAACACCAATTTCTGGCCTATATTGGCTAAACTTTGAAAAATACATTAGGTTTTCTGTTTTCTTGTACAATAAAGAGAAATTTAAATATATATGTGATTTGGTTCTGCCAGACAATGGAGTCCTGCAATATTTTTTTAATTGGTTGTACGTCTTGCAAGCAACATTGGATTTCAATATTGAGTCAATAAAGAATAGATGTTTAGTAATGTAAATAATCGTTGAAGCAATATTTCCATATTTGATTGGGATAATAAGACCAATGTATCCAAATGTCCATATTTTTTCTTGCACCAATATTGGAAAATTAGTTAGGATCAATGAGTCGGTAGTATTGTTTCTATATTGGGACAATATCCGTGTGCTACTTGAGTTGGCCAAAGAATTTTCAAAGCTGCAGGTTCTAGACAATTCTGGGGAAAAGTGTGAAATCTTTTTTATCTTTAATCAGGTCGATTGACTTGGAAAAATGTGTTATCACTAAACCATTATATGGACTCAATAGCCTGTTTATTTATCTTCGATTTGTTTTTTCAAAACCTCGATACGACCATTTCTTGCTAAGATATCGGATTTTTAATGAAAAGGAATTATCGGTATCTCAAGAACCAATCCTCGTACAGAAAATCAAAGGAGATTTCTAAAGCTGGAATGATCATTTATGGAAAAATATTTTTTTCATCCTTTATATGGGCTGGAATGGAAAAAATGGGTAATTTATGTTTTTTGATTAAATTGCAGGTATTAATAAAATTACAAAATGATGAATGTGACTTTTACAGCTCCATTATCCACAATATATAAAATATATATACAGGGTGACTTTGAAGTTGAGTCATTAATTTTCAGATAATGATTGTAGAAGGAAGATAAACCAAAATATGTGTGTAAAAATAAAAAAAAAATTTACCTTGTTTTATAAAGTATCCTCCCGACAAGTATTTCAGTGCGGACCTGTATTTGATCGTGAGGTCTTGGAGCACCGGCATGCCGTCACCTGATTCACGAGCCCGTTGTACTACATTAACAAAGGCACGAGGGGTTGGTTGCACTCGATTGGGAAACCGATCCGCATAAACATGTGCCATTTTTTATTTCGTTTGAGCCACGCAACAGACACCACTATTCACTGACACTGACTGTATACAAATGAATAAAATAATTGTAAAAACATCGTTCCAAATTCTTTCGCTTTTTTGTTTCCGATGCGATGAACCGATACGGCGGATTATATCCGTTGTCGCCAAACACGAGCACATAATATTATTATTGAGACAGGGCGGTACTCAAACTTCCAAAGGGCTATAACTTTGTTACTTTAATTTTACCAGAAAAATGGTAAAGGAAAAAAACATTCCTTTTGATCAGATCTACTCACTGTTAAAATAAATGACTCAACTTCGAAGTCACCCTGTATACATTATTTCATTCAGTTGTATACAGTCAGTGTCAGTCGGTAGTGAATAGTGGTGTCTGTTGCGTGGCTCAAACGAAATAAAAAATGGCACATGTTTATGCGGATCGGTTTCCCAATCGAGTGCAACCAACCCCTCGTGCCTTTGTTAATGTAGTACAACGGGTTCGTGAATCAGGTGACTTAAGACCTCACATATGGACGGCATGCCGGTGCTCCAAGACCTCACGATCAAATACAGGTCCGCACTGAAATACTTGTCGGGAGGATATTTTATAAAACAAGGTAACATTTTTTTTAATTTTTTTTTATTTTTACACACATATTTTGGTTTATCTTCCTTCTACAATAATTATCTGAAAATTAATGACTCAACTTCAAAGTCACCCTGTATAGTGTTATTAGCACTAGATACGAGTACTTTGGATAGTGTATTCAGATCTGATTGGCCAGCTGGTCATAAATGCCTGGGCAGTCAGCGAACTGCGAACAGCAGCGGCGATCAAGGCCTCATGGCTGTTTTGACGCGGAGTAAATCAGGTTTGAAAAGACTGTATGTCTTAACTTTTAATCAGTAAAAAAACAGCCAGTTTTTATGTTTTGCATTAGAAAGATTATTTTTTTATAGTCTGCATTAAACATGGGCTCTTTTGTGTTCGAAAGGTTTTAAAAAGGTTTTACGTTAAGGCTTCTATCTATAATAACATGTAACTTGTACAATTTTAGCTGTGCGCGAAGAGATTTTTCAGGGCTGATGCTTTAAATAACCACAGAAGAATTCACACGGACGAAAGGCCTTACCCTTGCTACATCTGCGGCAGAGAATTCAGACAGAAAGGGGACAGGAATAAGCACATTCGTACTCAGCATCCTGATGCTATTTTCGTTTGATTATATACGTAGAGCAGCCAGTTATGATTAAGTTTATAGTCACTAGATTTGTCTCGCACTTATGACCAAATAAAGCTTCAATGCGCAGAATATGATAAAATAGAGCAGTATCTTCAAATATAAAACTGTATATGAAGATATGCGTTTCTTACACGCCTTGGCACAAAAACTGCTGGTTTATTCCCGAATGATATGAAATGTTTTATTAGTATCATAGACTTTTTTTCTAGTAATTCCCATAACCAGTATTAATTCTAAGATTTGTTCAGTTTATTATCTATCGTTTCATTCTTTTCCACTCATCTAGTGTTTTTATGTAATTGTTTGTGTAAACTACCTTGCCTCTTTAATGTCAGCATGAACCTATATTTTGTAGCTTTTTATTCCAAAATCTAACACACGTCGAAGTTTTAATCTAAAGCTATTTTATCTAAATTTTAATCTAATGCCAGATAATATCATGTATAGTATACAATAACTTGTTAATGGTTAGTTAGTAGCTTTTAAATGTTTCACACTAAAAATACCTATTATGAAATATATTCATTTCCATTATAGTTTAGGAATAGATAGTATTATAGCATAGTCAAACAATATACAGGGTATTTTCAAAGTTGAGTCATTTATTTTAACTGCTAGTAGTACTCGACAAAAGGAGTTGATATATCAAAAATCACCTATATAACAGTTGCATAATAAAATAAATAGTAAAAGATTGAAAATGTTAAAATATAAAAATGTTATAATACAGGGTGTTCCTTAATGATATGCGAATATTTAAGAGTGTGAATCTACATGAAAAATTAATGTTAGTTTGCTTTATAAACTATGGTCCAAAAATGTTTCCTTACAAAAACTCGGGGTGTTGAAGTTTTAGGGAAAAAGTAGAAGGGTTTATCTCTGCTTACAAATTGACACTGTGACTCAAGAGCTAGGGTCCCACGGACCGGTCTGACAACCAACAATGATTTGACTTGACCATAGCATGGAATTAAACCATCTTCAGTGTATATGTTTTGTGTAGAGGTGGTTAAACCTAATTCGAGAAGACACACGTTCCTATGAAGCAAATGCTGGATGGCGTGGCTTTCTGAAATGTAGAGCGCGTGTGAACTCATGGACGTGCTTAGAATCTGAAATACGTTTCCGACACAGTGGCTATTGAAACATATAACCCGCTTTCGTTCTTGACACTTTTGGTTTCAGGCTCACTCTGTAAGCTTGCCTTTTAGTCATAAAGGATCATGGATACGCCACTGATTGAGAAATGTCATTTCATTTGACGTAGTGAATACTACGTCGATAGTGGTGATGGGACAAATCGAATACTTCAGTCGAAAACTTGACGTTTCGCCTTTTGACTATTATTATTGTCTATTGTTTTGACTTGCATCTTGCATCTTCTCGCTATGATCAGTGTGATTTCCCGTTGTAGTGTTTGATGTTTTGTAAAAGAGAACGGGAAATCAAACTCAGGGAGTAGGGTCAAGGACACCATTTAAAAGAACACTCCATTTACGTTGAACAGTTTGATTCCTGTTTTCGAGAAATGTTACCATATCGTTAACTTTTCCGCCTTTATAACAGAACGTAAGTATATCCTGAACACTTGTTTTCACTCACCTTATTGCAGCAACTCTGTTCCTTTGTTATTTTGCCAAAAAAGCAAGTCGCAAGTCATCATACTTTAACCTTTTTTCAGTTTTCACAACGACTGATTCTGAAGACTGGTACTAATAGTGGAAAATAGCTGTAAAATGACGATAAGTGCAGAAGCCCAAGTTAGGTACCTGGTGCAATGGTTCCAGGAGTGGAGCGAACTACAAAGATCTGATTTCCTGCCCATTATGGCTGAGAAGTATGCAAATAGGGCATATGTTAATGGGATCATCAACAGCATTGCAAATGTTGAATGTAGGGAGAAGCCAATGTCTTTATTTGAGTGCAGGGTAAGATCCTTTCATTTTTTTTATTTAGATAAAAAATAGATAACATTAAACTGCTCATAATTATGCATTAGCCTTGCTGTATTTATCATTATCCATATCAGTTTTAAATATTTTCAAACTGAAGTGTATTTATAATTTCAACATTTGTAATAACATTATAATGTTATTTCTGCAAACAGGCTTGAGTATGCAATAATTGTATATTTTATATAATGGAGTCTTTCGATGGGAAATATCTGACTTCTGGCTATATATCTTGGATATAACAGCTATATCTAAACCATATCTCTGAACTGATCAGAATTTCTCATCAAAATGACGACAAAATTAGTCGAACTAACAAAATTGTACATATTACACCATCTTACAATGCATTAACAAGGGATTCCAATAATTTGGCAAATCTATAAGTAATACATGAAAATAGTTAAGAAAAGTCAACAAATAAAGCTAGACTAGAAAAATATTTCCTGATTTAAGCTTCATAATAGTACACACAGTAGGTGATTGGAAATTCTTTCTAGAAGGCTACCTTAACAGTCTCTTACACTTAATGATTGGGTCCTTTTTGAAAAAACACTCATAACTGAACAACTGTTAATATAATTCATGTGAAATTTTGATTTTCCTTCTTCCCAACTTCATCAAAAAACCTAGGCAACCTGACCTGACAGATTTACTCTCTTTACTACTTTACTACTTTAGCCAAAAATCCTGTAATCCACTGTTACAGACATGTCAAATAGCAGGAGTCAACTCTCGTTGATTTCAAAGAGTGTTTTCTATCAATATTCTTTCAAAATATTTAAATACAATATGAAAACAAGTTTACACTCTCAGGTTTGGTCATCATTTTGTATTTGCCTAAAACTGTTAATATCTTTCAACATGTATCTTGTGCAAAACATCATTTTCCAACATTATACTTTTCCATTTTGTGCTTTGTTAAAGCACCCAATGTGCCAATTGTTGTTTTTATTGGTTTTTACTTCTTTTATTGAATACATTCCTCAATGTAAATGGTTATCAGTCAAAAAATTACGTCGGACTTTCACACACAAGTGCACCCATTACAACAAATTAAATTTTTGACTTTCCATTCCACCTTTTAAAGTTTCTATGCCTTATAATTTTTGGATATTATTTAATATTCTGTCACTTCTTAAAAAATACTGTCTAAAAATGCCAGAAACTTGAGAAACACATGAATATTTTTTTTTGTTTAACTTCCAAACCACTTCTGACCCTGAATAATATGGTTTCCTACAGTTCACAGTAATGGTGCAACTGTTTTTAAAATTAGATAAATGCCAACAAACCAGCAGAAAAATGTCAGAAAGAGTAATAGACAAAAGTGTATACACAAATTAATATTGTGCTGTATTTCTTTTTTAACTTGTTTTATTAATACACCAACCTGTAACATAATAGGTTATAGCATAATACTCACTTATACATAAATAAATTCATTAGACTCCCTTCAATAAAAAATTAATTGAAAAAAACTGGAACTATGAAGGGCAAAAATATAAAGACAAAACAAAACAATCATAGAAAAAAGAAGCAAAGTTCATTGAATTATATTTTGTAGCATAACCATTATTATCAATCACTGCCTGGCATCATCTTGGCATAGATTGTAGAAGTTTCTTGATATAAGATTCATCAATCTGTCTCCACTTTTGCTCTGAAGCAGCAAAAAGTTCATCCTTGTTAGAATAATTTTTATCTTGTATTTGCTTATCTAAGTATTCCCCATAGATTTTCAATGGGGTTTATATCAGGAGACTGTGAAGGCCATTTGAGAACTGGTATTTTTTCATCCAGACAGAATGTCTTTGCGAGATTTGAATTGTGCTTCGGGTCATTATCTTGCTGGAAGATTGATCTTAAGGGCATATTGTCTTCCATATAGGGTAACATGACATGCTTTAGTATGTCTGTGTATACAAAGTTTATCCATATTCTAGGTAAAGGTCCCTTCCCAAACACCGAAAAGCACCCCCAAACCATAACAGACCCGCCTCCATGTTTGACAGTGGGCAAAGTGTACTTGGGATTCAATCTTTGTCCACTAGGACATCTAACGTAATGAACACCACCTGATCCAAACATATTGAACTAGGATTGGTCACTGAAACATACGCTCTTCCAGTCACAGATGCTCCCATCAAGATGCAACTGTGCAAATTGTAATTGGTCCTTACGGTTTTTCCTCGAGATTAGCGGCTTCTTACTTGGGCGACGTGCAAATAACTTCAAATCATTTAATCTTCTACTTACAGTTTTCGTAGAAACACTGGCAGTTCATTTTGTCTCGATTTCGGCTTTTATTTGTCTTGGGGTTTTAAACGGATCTTTGGACGAAATTACTTTTATTAATCTAACTGATCTAGTAATTAGTTTTCTAGGCCGACCACTTCTCTTAGAGGCTTTCAAGATACCCTTTTGTTTATATTTGTTCAATATTGCCCGAACTGCTTTACGCTTCAACTTCAAATTTTTGGCAATGTCGACTTGATGTTGACCATCCGTGTATAACTCAATGATCTTAGTTTTCATATCGAAAGAAATTTCTGGACCACGCGGCATGGTCTTAAAATCACTCAACTTATTCCACAATACTTGATGAACACAAACTAATCCTGTTCTGACACGAAACTGTACTGAACTAATGTTGAAAAGAATTTGTCTTCTTATTTTTGTCCCTCATAAAAAAGTGCTTATATTCAGACTTGTATTGTGTTCATTGAGATAATGTAAAAACAAGGAATTTAGTTTTTCTACTAATAATGCATTTGTTTATGGAGGAATGAAGTATGAAATCGTTTTCTAAAGGTATTTAGGTAAATATTCATATTTGTCTATATACTTTTGTCCATTACTGTATATGGCTTGAATAAAAAACGTGTCGCATAAAATTCGACAATTTTCACAAATACATACTTATGGGTGGAAAGTCAAAATAAGACCAAGATTAAGATTATTGTTACTGCTAATTTCCATTGTCATACTCGTGTCAAGTATACAATATGCAACTTATGCAACAGAAGCATCATAGGGTTTGTAAATGGCAATACTGGATAGGTGTTGCACATCTTGCAGCAGTATACAACATGGAACGTGACCTCCCTGTCCCCTGATTTACCAAAGCTTCACAGAGCCAATATAGCCATTTAGTCTGATGTATACTTTGATTGTTGCGTATTAGTGGTAATGTATTGTATAGCACGTCAAAACATTAGGCAAATGTCACATGATCAGTATTTACTGTAGTTCATACCATCACTATTTACTGATCATTTCATCAGTGTCAGTGGATTTCTGTGTAACCTTATACATCAATAATGCAGAGAGCATCAGGAAACCTCAGTGCATCTGCTGTATCACTGTGAAGGCCTGTTAAGGTTGTGGTTTTAGATAGTGGGAATCACAAATATAACAGCAGACAGCTTCCTGCAAAGCCCTGTGTCAAGGCTATAGAGTCTGATTAAAGGATCAAGGTTGGCGACAATGCTTTAGAAAATGTATAGGGGGTCACACTAGATCCATTTGGGTTGCCATGGTGTTAAGGCTAACAAGCCAACCCCTTTTTGTAATCTGTCAACTTTAAATCTGTATTCATTCTAAGGCAATAAATATCACATTCCAGGATAAATACTGACAGATCACAGTGAATACTGATCATGTGACATTCGCGTTATAGGCTGTCCAAGTGAGTATAATCGGGTATCGGTTTTACTTTCAAGTTGAAGAGTGGTTTCAGCTAATTTCACTGAATTTCTAATATGTCATGTGCCTCGGCGTCCTGAACAAAAAAACATCTGTTCCATCTTATTGCAGGTGAAACTGTTTAGAGAGTGGTTTCCAGCATGGACAGCTGAACAAAAACAAAACTTTCTGACGCAGATCACCAATATTGATACGTCGTTTGCCGAGAAATTGAATGGAGAATTAGAAAATGGTGTAGCCCTCGTGAATGGCGATAGCACTTTAGAAGAGGAATAACTACATTTATAGATTAATGATAATGCATTTTTTTATCTAGGAAAATTGTGTGTCCGTTTTTGTACTTGAAGGAACCAGTTATACATATAGACAGATTTATTATAACTTACTACTCGAATAATAATGGTAGGTTTTGTGGTTGATAGGGGGCAATTTAAAATAGGAATGTTGGATTATATTAACATGTATCTATTGTGATATTTCGTAGATCTATTATTTTTGATTATAGGTAATGCATAGCATATTAGAGCAGTTATGTTAAGTTTAAGCAGATATGTAATTTCTTTGCTACCTGAATTCTTATTAATTATTTATGATAAATACCATATTTTTATCTTCATTTGTGAAAAGGGTAATCTTATTGTCAAGTTTCATACACATATATAAATACAAACTACTGTTACTAAGGCATTTCTTTCTGATAACCTTTGTTTAGAAACAATGAAGATTTTGACTCTGGCGTTATTAATTCACCTTCCATTTTATTTATGTGTCTATAACTTTGTAAATGATTTTTTCTATCATAACAGTGTTACTTTAACTCTTGGAACATGCCAGAAGAAAGGTATGATATCAGTTATAGCACACAGTATTATTCTTGCTTATAGAAAAAATTATAGGTATACAAAAACAGTACTTCAAAAACCTTGTTAATCAAACAACAACTTTGAAAGTTTTTGGGATGCATCAGGATTCTGAAAAGGAAAATATGAAGTACTTCAAATCCTTATCTTATAATAACTGGTTTATTCTTGACTTTGTCTTCTGCGAACGATTTTTTGAGGTTTTAAATGCTGTAAGTTTGACTAAGAATATTCTTGATAGATGTATGATATCATATGCTTCAATCTTTACAGATAAGTGACCAACATTTGTTTGAATCTCCCGCAAAATATCTTATTTTGGTAGATGCAGGAAGTCATGATAAATTGCTTAAAATGATGGAAAGGCTTGAGATACTTCCCATGAGTGAAATTGTCATTGCTACTTTTCTCAGTGACTCACTTGCTCATTTATACAAACCATATAAAATCAGTAAAGACACCTCTTTAAGTAAGTAGTATAAAATATGGACATATTTGAAATATTTTGCTATTTTTGTTTTTATTATAGAAATTTTTACTTATTTTTTACGTAAAATTTAACTGAACATGCATTTCTGTAAACTAATAAAATTGTGAAGGTTTTGTCACGAGCATCTTATGTTTGATAAAAAAATTACCTGGCAAAATATATTTGTTTGCGTAAAGTCGGTTTGATATATCTCTAATGCACAGTAAAGTTTTTGTTGTCAATATTTTCATTTATAATTCATGTATCAAAGTAAACAAAGCGCTTTGTTCTATAGCATAATTTATTTTAGTCTTGGAAGCATGTGGGAAATGGTCTAAAAATGATGGGATGCGCAACCTTTGTAACGAACTTAAAATAGAACGGCGACACAATTTTGGGAAATACAACATAAAAATCAGCGTCGTTGTTAAGAAGAATGAAAGCATCAATATAAAAAATTTCGACGACTTACTGTATGTTTCTATTTTTACGCATATATTTATATGTGTTCTTTGTTTAGATAGACTTAATTACTGCAATAATATTAATGATAAACACATGTGGACAGTAAACCAAAGAGGGTAGTGCTATTAAACCCTCAAAGGTTAATAAAATCAACGTTCCAAAAATAGACGTTAAGGCTTTAGAGCTCATTTGATATTTTACACATTTTTTTTTAAGTTTTTTGATTTCGCAACGCATCAGTCACAAATATTTATTTGTTCTATTTCAAATAGTATATTAAAATATTGTACCAAAATAAAGTAACAACACTCGATTTTAGGGAAGTCTCCGGTGACGAGCCATATTTTTTCAACGATTTTACGAACATATATAACCTCATGCAGTATATCAATGCGACGTTTACCCTGAGACCATTTCAGTCATATGGATATTTAGATGATTCTACTGGAAAGTTCAGTGGCATGGTTGGTGATATAATCGAGGGAAACAGCGACATCACTGGTACCAAAAATATTAGTTATACTCAATTTCACGAGTATCCATCACGCTTTGACGTCTACTGACGTAAACAGCTCATCAGCAAGTGACATTTTTGTGTTAGTCTGCAACGTTGGCAATAATGGATCGGGTATAAATCTAGTAAAACTTGTTTGTGGCGTTTTGTTTTTTGTATGCAAATGAACATTTCTAAATAAAAGAGCTGTAGCAAGTACAAAATTAATCTGTAGCGTACATAAAACCAAAACAAAATTTGGCACAGTCTACCTGGCGTTGACGGATCCGTTAAAATTATGTTTGCTGTGCCGATATGAGGAATTTTGAGATATTACTGGATAATCAGTCATTCACCTGTGATAGAGACTCGTGAAGTTGGGTATACAGTCGTTGACTTTGGATATGGTATAGGTATACAGAATTTGAGGTTAAACAAAATTTGTATTTCAAGTATACCATCTATTTTGTTACTAAACTAAATGGTGTAATATTCCGCATAAGGCCCGAAAAGTTAAGTTGCTATGGGATGAGATACAGGTTTTGAGAATAACTTCTATTTTCATGAAGTTATTGATTGCACTTTTCGCAGGTGCTACATCGGAGTAATATTAACTTTAACTGCTGCAACGAAGAGCACTCGCGTAGACTGTAAATTATAACTTGAAGGAAATGGCATTTATTCTCAAAACTTGTAAGATATCCCATAACTATTTAACTTTTAGAGCCCTACGCGAAATATTCCACCATTCAGTTCAGTAACAAAAGAAAAAGGAATGTATGAAATTAAAATTTTTTCTTACCTCAAATTGCCTATTTAACCAATCAGCGCCGTCAGTCGTATCTACACTGGGAATCAAGTTTGTCTGACGGCTTGAGTTTAATATGTACGAGAGGCAAGTTCGCCTAGCAATGCTGACGGGGCAACCTGCCGCCTTGCCAATATGTTACACCACTTCCTTGAATCAAGATGTATGTTGAAAAAATGCGTTAGTTCATTCTCTACGCCCAAATAATGGTTTTATTTTGAGCGTACACATTTGTGAATCATGTCGAATCTGTTTAGGATTGATTCGGGATCGGAATTTTCTGGTGTAACATGATGGGAACGCGGCAGATTGCACGACCTTCTGCGTCACCCTTGCTAGGCAATGTGGTGATGACCTTCGCTTTTCATGCGGCTTCTATCTTTGTAACATGTGTTGATACACACTTCTCGCGCTTCTCTCTCGTACACATTGAACTCAAGCCGTCAGACAAATTTGTTTTCCCTGTATAGGAACTACTACTAAAAAATTATATCTTGAAAATATGGAAATTTTCTTGTAGGATCACCATTCATACCGACCGATACTCGTTGTAAATATCTGGACATTATAAAAACATTTGAACAATATGGTACAAGATTCATATTGAAACGCCCTTCCTTATCTTTCATCGAAAACATTTTTTTGATGACATTTACAAAAAAGGTATGGATTGCTTCTACGCTGGTGCTGATACTCTTTGGAACCGTCCTGTACTTTCTGTTGAACTGGGAGGCCAAACATAAAAAGGTATAACGGCTATGTTTATCAAGTTGCATTTTTGAAACTCTGTAAACCAAACGGAGCGGAACGCACTCGAACCATACATTTTCTATTTGCCAGACATACTTTCTGTGTATTGAGCTACGTGGGAATGTCTCAAATTTGTTTTGCAGTTCACGTTAAAACGCTAACCAAAGACTGCGTCTCTAGAGATGAATGTTGAAATTCTGAACATGGAAGACCATTGTCGTCCAGGAAAATGTACGTAAACATTAAGGACAAATAAAAGAACGTCCCCACGTAGCCCACTTTATAGGGAGACACATACTTTGTCATGGCTTGAGAGAGATACAGGGTGCTTCACAAAATTCTGAGAATAATGATGTTACGGGTCCTCAAATGCCGCTTACCAATATATAGGGTGTTGAAAATATAATTCCGAAATAAATTATATCTTTAGAGTGGACTAAGCTACTAGCTTAAAAAAAATGTTTGTGTCTGAGACTATACCGGTGACTGAGGAGGGGGAGGAGTAAAATCGGAACATTTTGACTTAAATAATTTTTTGCGTCGCTGACTTTTTTGGAACATTTTTGAATAACGTATTCAATTTTGCATGATTCGGCTCTTGATAAACTTCTCTCATACTAGTCCTTTGGGAGAAAAATTGGTTTGAATGTTTGAGGTAAAATCCACATAAATAACTTCAAGCCGTTCTACTCTGGAGATATGCTGAACTTGAAAGTTGCATACCATAATAGTGTATTATATCTCCCCATAGCATTATTTGAGCAATGTTCATATTTTTTCCTCATTCAGCACCATCAGTGGCATAGACATTTACAACACTCTGTGTCTTGGTAATGGGGTATTGTAAGACCTATGTTTATAAGAACGTTTTTGTTAGTTTTGGGTGCACTTTCTATCCTTGAAATATTCTCGCGTTTTTCTGAAACACACTATAAAGGCAAATTGTTTTCAGTGTTTACGGACAAAACATAAATATACCATTGGTGACATTACACTGATTTCTTTGGAAGCTGTCTGCCAACAAGGTATCTTTAATAAATCATAAATATCGTAATAAAATGGATAAGGTACATTTTCGTTTTTCATCTATTTTGTTTCACAAATAAAAACTTTCAGGGACATTCGCTGATTCTTCGACCTACTCAGGAAGGCTAATAATTCTGCTTCTTTTTACCGCATTTATGTTTCTATATGTTGCGTATTCGGCATATATTCTGGTACTTTTGCAATCCACTACACCGATCAGATCTATCCACGAGTTGGTAAATAGCAGAATTCAATGTGGAGGATTGAACATTTCTTTCTATGAAGCTTACTATAAGGTCTGTAAGAGTTTGAACCTCTATTTGGTCACATTTATGTACGTGATTTGTGACTCGCGACTGTCTAGTTTCTTTAAATGGGGTCACCTGTAAAATAAACCTGCTTTCGTCAGTCCGATCAGAGACAGCCAACCATGGTCCGCTGTTTCGTGCTTTTTGGCTACTCCTCAGCATGGTCCAGGCTTGGGTCTCTCGGACGACGAACGAAATCATAGCAACTTTACACTATACAAAGCGTGTGATCTATCAAAATACGACAGCGCGAAGCGCCACCTACCACCTACCGTAGATTCGACCACTACGACGATCTAAGCTAAGCATGCTTATTTTGCCCAATGGCAATGACCAGATCTACTATTCAGCTAGAATCTAGTAGACAGATCTATACAGTCCCAACGATGCACTGTTCGCAGTGGCTGATTCTAGTGGTAGATGGCGATTCGTCTGTTTTATTTCGAGAGAGGTCACCCATGTCGAACACTATCGAATGACACTGTTTGAAACTATCATTTGGTTTTCATGCTGATACGGCTCTGTGATTGTCTGCTTAATGAAACCACCGTGGTGGCCGAAACGTTAGTAAAAAAGTATGTGGACAATCTTGGAGTCCTACACTGTCGGGCGACACAAATCGGATGCACAAATGGGACTTCTTAATCGGTGATACAATTTTTGAATAGTCCACCAAGGATAATGACCTGAGAAGCTTATACCAGAAGAAATTGGCGGGACGATATTTCTCAATGGAAAAAGGCTTGGACGCTGTTAGAGAAGGAAATTTTGCATTCCATGTAGGCCTTGGAGCTGCATATAATTACATTTTGAAACAGTTCAATAATTATGACATTTGCAAGTTACAGGAACTTCCTGGGTATATGAATGTTAGTTGCGTTTTATTTTTTGTTAATTCAATAAACAATGAGTCTACGTTTTCAGGATAAATTGTATGTAGGGGTTCTGAAATCATCCCAATACAAGAAAATATTCAAAATAGGGTAATTATGTTTGTTTTCAACCTTTTACAAAAAACTTTAATTTCATAATTATCAGGTTATTGAAGGTACATGAAAGTGGCCTGGAAATAAGGACAAAAGATCGTTTGACAAGGAAACCAAAGTGTTATAATGAAGCTGGAAACTTTCAGTCAGTACGAATTTACGATTGTCTATCTATTTTTATCTTATACTGGATAGGGGTACTGTTATCTCTTATAGTTTTGGTGATTGAGAAAATTATTGCAAAGTATTACAGTAAGAAATAATGGCTAAAATCATAACAGTTGTGTGAACTATGTAGATCTTAGGAGTTTCAATAAAGTACCAAGTGGCTAATAGACTTTCACTTTTAGTACATCTACTGGAGTCAAACCTGTCGTCTGACGTGTTTTTTATTTCACAAGATATTGCCCACAGCTAGTGAAAGGTTATTATGCAGACGAATTGCAAATCAAAAAATGGCGTCAAGTAGGTTGACCCCGCACTTCCTACGCAACGCTGTCATCAATTCATAAGGGATTATATTCGGTACAAATTAGTCCCTCTTAGACATTGGCTACGAAACATGTATAACAGAGGAATTAAATCGATCATACAATATACGAGTATGATCCAACAACGCGATTCAGCCCACCGCCCGACCAACACAAAAACACGCATGATGGCTCAGGCATCTCTAGCCATCCAAAGCAGAGAGGTGCGCGCTCGTTGAGTTTTTTTTGAAAGGGGAAATCGTTGATTTATGAAATTTGTCTAATAGGTGCTTACAATTACCTAGGTTGGTAACGTGTAAATTGCTAGCACCAACAACCCCCAATATATATTTTTTTAATTTTATCCGAAGCCTCTGAAACGTCAAAAAACGAGTTTGAGCGATTTTTATTTTCGTGTTTCTGCTCCTAGCTCTGCCGCCACTGGACCAATTTTCAAAACCTACAAAGCGTTTACGTTGGCATAGTAATAGCCTTGTGTGAAATTTTCATTCAAATCCGAGCAATACTTTCCAAGGTCCAAAGATTAGCGGACAGACAAACCGATGGAAATGAGTGACATGGTTTTTCGTGATGTGCATGTCATATAACATCCAAAAAACACAATATTTCATTCTCGGAACGTTTCACGATTGCAAATCTTCCTCGCCTAGTTACGTAGGAAGTAAAAGAATGAGGCCTTGTATAAAAATATTTAATGAATGAAAAATAATACATTTAGTAGCCACCGAAAAGACAATAACCATTTAAAAACAAGTTTGTATACATCAAAAATATTCATATTTAAATTAACGTCTTAAAACAAATTATTTGTATAAAACAGTATGTATGTATACAGTATCATTTCTTTTCTGATATCTATATTAATATAACCTTATGTAAAATTATGTATATCAGTACGTTTATAAAGCTTCCACCATAAGAGCAATACCTTGACCACCTCCAATACATGCTGAACCAACGCCAAGTTTTGCTCCTCTCCTCCTACATACAAAAAAAGTAATCAACAAAAAGTTGCGTTCATTATAATAGGTATATCTATATCTATGTTCTTAGCCGTAATCGTTGAAATGTAAGTGCTCACAAAGTAAGAAGAATAAATACTCACCTCAATTCGTGGACCAAATGTGTTGTGATCCTAGCTCCTGAAGCCCCAAGAGGATGTCCCAGAGCTATGGCACCTCCATCAACGTTCAACTTATTGATGTCTAGTTGCAAGTCTTTCACACATGCCAATGTTTGTGCTGCAAATGCTTCATTGATCTGAAAATTTAAATCAATTTCAAACACACATTATGCAGTAGTTATGAATGGCCTATTGGATGAACATATTGAATAAATCACAAAGAAACTTTGATTTCTGTTATGTAAGTTCAGGTATTACAGACAGATTCTAAATGAAACTCAATTAAAAATCTTATATCAAACACTAGTGGAATACCACATAACCTATGGAATTATCTGGGTACCCACAAATAACAAGCACTTTAATTCTTTAGATCTGTAAAAAATAACAAAAACAATGCATAACAAACATTTATCATATCTCTCCAAATCGCTGTTTGTGGAATAAAAACTTGAATATAAAAAAATTATTTAGGTATATAACGTTTTATCAGAATTTCATAAAAAAAACATTCAACTATTAAAAAGGTATAAAACATTATAGATAGAATTTGGTATTTGGACAGTAGGTATATCAAATAATTAGTAATGGTAGTATCGTCATTTTTTTGAGCAGACCGGCGAAACAGTTACCTCAACCAAATCGATATCGTTCAAGGTCTTCCCAGTGACTTCCAACAGCTTTTTGATAGCTGGTGAAGGTCCAATTCCCATGATGGAAGGCTCTACCCCCACAACTGACCATGCAACTAACCGTGCGAGGGGTTTCAGATTGTGCTTTGATGCAGCCTCTTCACTCGCCAATACTACAGCACCTGCGCCATCACATATACCCTATGGAGAAAGTTGGTTCAGGTATCTCAACTCCACATTTACTACAGGCGTATAAGGTGAAAAAAAAACACATTTTTTTAGTCTTTCAATTTGAATTGTGAGACTACCTATCTCGTTCATGAAATACGCGAAAATTATGAATTTCTTAACTTTTTATACTGGTAACACGGGGGGGTGTTACCATGGGAGGAGGTCCCATCGCAGTGAATGAATCCTGCTAATGTGCCTTGAACATTTTGCAAAAAAGCGCTGATATGTTGACTTTCAGCTTTGTAGCATCGACAGCACAAAGTGTCATCTATGCAGCACGCAGCAAGGGGGTGTAAGTAGGGTGTCAAGGGGGAAAGTTCACTTTTTGATTTAAGAAAAAAAATACAAACTTGATAAAAAGAAAATATTTATTACTATCAACATATTCGTAAATTTGGAGGGTTTTATTTCTTAAATATCATTCCGTCCAAATGTATGCCGTCCCTTCGAACGCACCCTTCTAATCGCGCGAGCAAATTCTGAAACACACTTGCAGAGTTCCGGAGTGAGGTTTATATCTCGTCGAATGTTGTCTTTAAGCTCCTCCAGTGTTCGTGGATTATTGGAATATACTTTTGACTTTTAATAACCCCACAAAAAATAATCGCATGGCGTGAGGTCGGGTGACCTAGGAGGCCAGTGAATGTCTCCAAACTTCGATATAACGTTTTAATGAAAAGTGCTTTCACCGTGTCCATCGATTCTCTGGAGGTATGGGCAGTTTTTGTTAAATCGACGTTCTGTTCTTTCAATAGGAGCAAAAAAAATGTCAATCATGTTGTATCGCTCGAAATTGACTGTCAATGCACGACCTTATCACTGAAAACAATGTTCTCGAGTCTGCGCTGCGTAGGAAAAAGATTCAACATCCGCCCAGCACAAGATTTCCGTAATACATAACAACTGTCCTTTGCAGCATGGACTGAATGGATTTTATAAGGATGAAAACCCATTTTTTTCTTCATTATGCCATGCAGTGTTGACCTAGAGATTCCCAAAGCAGCGGAATTCCGTACAGAACGCCGAGAATTTGCAATGACCGAATCACTTACGTGACGCACATTTTCCTCGGTTGATATAGTAGGTGTGGGGCCAGGAATGGGTTGACTAAGAGTAGAGCCTGTTTCACGGAACCTCTCAATCCACTTTTTCAATAGGTTCTTACTTGACCATCTCTTGGTCGGCGAATGTTCAACGTTCTATTGTGACTATTTAACCCGCACGTCGAACGCGTCGATCAAGATCCCTCCCCACTTCCTCGCTTATATGGTAGCAGCGTAATTCAAATTTGAAATGAGAACTTTCCCACTGGACACCCTGTAGTATACATGACTTTGCACCCTACTTTGAGCACCATCTGAAGAAATCGTTCTCTACTAACTAGTAAAAATAGATAGTGGTATCACTGTTTGGAATATAAAGAACATTATTGTTAATTGTAAATGATCAAATGTTTCAAAAAATACCAAAACTGCTTGCAAAAACAGAAATGTCACGGTTATATAGTTGTTTATTATCTAAAAATGGTGGAACAGTTCGGACTTGTGTAAGAAATCAAGAGGTGATGGTGTTTTATCGTAAATGGAAGAATTTTGTGGACTGGAGGAGAGTACAGTTTCAAAACACTAAAAGGTATTTTTTGATTGTGTGAATAGCTAATTCAACAGTAGAAGAGGCAGGAGGGGCCTTGAAAGTAGCAGTTACTAACGCCTGCAGCAGGAATCGATGTTGATAACGTCTGATACTGACAGTTGAGCAATATTCAAGTAAGAACATTGAAAAATTATAATTACAAATTTGTATAGTTTAATAGCAGGAAATTAAATTTTAATAGAAAACTAGCATTTTTGACGTCTTATCCCGGCAACAATATCTTTTTGAATTCTGATCTGAAGTTTTTCCTCCCTCTCAAAATCAAAGGCTAATAAAACATTCCCTGTATTTAGAGATTTGAGAATAGCAGCACAAACTTCTGTTAAAAATTCAGAAGAAATAAGAATATAAAAAGGTGGTGTATAATAAATACATCGCACTGATAATAGAGAGTGAGTGATTGAATAGTGTTGTTTCCTTTAAACAAATTATTGCTTATGGTGGCTTAGTTGGAATCGCTCTCTTCAGATAGCGTTGCCACCGGTAGTACTTGAAAGTAGTAAAGTTCATATTATCTGAAGTGTACTAATAATCTGTGCGGGTTGTGACATCAGCTTAAAAAAGTAATTGAATACATCTCTGGACTATTAGGAGATCTTAAAAACATCAAAGATATGTCCATACTTGCCAAGACTTTCACGTATTTTAATAATAAGTAAAGCTTACAGATGCGGAACCAGCTGTCACCAGTCCGTCTTTCTTGAACAGAGTTGGCAATTTCTTCAACCCATCAAGGGTCGTTTCTGGCCTTGCATGTTCATCTACATCCATGTTAACTGTGTCTCTCTTAACTTTCACTGGAACTGGAGCCATTTCTTCCTTAAACCTGCCTGCATCTTGAGCTACAACAAATCATATTATTTTGCTGCTTTGCAGGACTTCAAAAGAACTACGAAAGCATTAAACGGAAGCTGTCTAGATAATTGGCAACAGGTTCAAATATACCGACGATTGGTCAAATACGCAATTAGAGGTTAAAAAAGTTTGTTATTTTAAAGCATACCTTTCTCGGTTACTAAACTGAAAAAGTTCAAAGGGAAATTGAAAAAATATCTCATGGAAAACCAGAATTCATAGTATTGAAATTTTGTATAAAAATATGTAGTCTTGAAGTCATAATATATTTTGTGATATACTGTGTAATATGGATATTATGGATATTGTAGCATTAATACTAAATAAATCTGAATCAAACAAACAAACTAATTCGTGAAATATTCCGCGTAAAGTGCTAAAACGTAAATAGCTATGGGACAACTTACAGGTTTTGAGAATAACTTCTGTTTTCATAGTTATAAATCACACTTTGTGGGTGCTGTCCCTTTTATAAAAGCGGGAGTTATTGTTGAAACCTGTAAGTTGTAACAGAGCAATTTAACTTTTAGAATCCCAGTGATAAGAGTAATGCCTCCTTGAAATTTAAATTTTTCTAACTTCAAATTGCGTATTTGACCAATCTTTGGTGTTTGAGATGATTGCCAGTTATCTAGACAGGCTCCCCTTAAGATCTCGCTAACAAGAAATATTGCAACTTGGAGGTATATCAAGAATAATTTGACACTATTTCTCTTCATTATTTCAATATGGGGCTACCTGCTTTCCACAGCTGTTGAGATCTTAAAGAATACTGATCCACTTCATCTCTGGTGATTTTGAACTGCTCTCCCAATTTCTCAGCTGTTAGAGCCATTGGCAGTTTACAGTAAGAATCTGTTAGACCAACCCAAAGTGAATCCTCCAGGGTGGGACTAGTTCCTAATGGTACACCAAATCTGATGTTTCTTACTGTGTGAGGTGTAGCTGACATGTTGTCAACTCCACCTGTTAGTACTATGCTAGCAGAGCCTGTCATTATATCCTAAAAACAAAGATGTCAAAACGATTGATTCAGTGCTTCTAAGAGGTATTTTTAATTATTTACTTATGGCCCGATTGTCTAAGAAGGAGGGTTATATTTTGTAAGGGTACGTGAGTATAGGTGTTTTCACGGTTTTTGGCCGTTACTTCATCAATGTCATACGAAATAAGTTGACTATGTCTACATGTAGTCTAATCATATTAGACGAAAATACCCCTGGTTTGCGAAATAATTTTAAAGTCAGGTTTTATTACTGCAAGTTGTTCAAGGGGGGTATGCAAAACATGGACGCATAAAATGGGCACACCAATTTTTGTGGAAAGTGTTGGCAGGAACCAAAAAGCTCTTCATATAAGATTTTTAGGTATACACGTAAAAAGATCCGACTAATATCAACAAAGTTATGGCCGAAAAAACGAGGCAAACTGCAGGTTTTGGCACTTGTTGGTAATGCGACGATGGTTTCTCGCAGATGCTTGAAATTCTTCAAATTCGTAGCATTCGTACTTCTAAATAACCGCAACAAAATTGGAGTAGATTGGTCAAGCAGTTTTTGAGAACTTCTAATTGTTTATCCCAAAACACCTATGTTCCAGCCATCACTACTAGTTTATGGAGCAATATACAGGGATAGTTCAAAGGGCATTTTATAGCGAAATATACTAGTTCACCTTGCCGATATGAATCGCAAACCATTCCAGAAGATAAATGTTATTTTTATGCAAAAAAGGATGGGTTACGTTTTATCTTCTAAACAACTGCACACATTTCGTATTTGTGAGTAATTCGCAACAAAAGATGATAGATACATCCGATTTGTTTTAAAATGTGTATAGTAACGTATGTTTTTCGAATAATTTTTGTTCAATTACTCACAAATACGAAATGTTTGAATTTGTTTAGAAGAAAAAACGTAACCTTTGTTTTTCGCATAAAAATAACATTTATCTTTCGGAATGGTTTGTGATGCATATCAGCAAGGTAAACACTTGTATTTTGCTATTAAATGATTTTTGAACGAACCCTGTATATTGCTCAATAAACTAGTAGTGTTGGCCGGAAAACAGGTGTTTTGGGATAAACAATTGGGAATTCTCAAAAACTACTTGACCAATCTACTCCAATTTTGTTGTGGTTGTTTAGAAGTACAAATCCTATGGATTTGAAGAATTTCAAGTAGTTGCGTGAAGTGATCGTCGCATTACCAACAAGTGCCAAAATCTGCATTTTGCCTGGTTTTCCGGCCATAACATTTTTGCTATTAGTCGGATCTTTTCACGTGTTGTCTCATTTAGAAAGTTTTTTCGTTCCTGTCAACACTTTCGATTGAATCACAAAAAGACTAGTGTGAGTTGAACTTTCATAAGGGAAATTGCGCACTGTGCAACTAGAACACGCCTGCTCTTGTCAGATGAGATGGGTAATAAGGGGTCATTGCTTTTATTCTCTTTCTGAAGATAATCAATTGAATTTAGCAAAAACTGTTGATATTGTCCACTAATTGTATTAAGATAAACTCAAAGAGCACGTCCATCGCAAGTGGGTTGTCACACTGACAGTGACGAGCTTAGATGAGGAATATTCATATGTTGGCGAGAAAATGTTTCAGGGGGAAACGAATCTAAAGAACTGTGAGCTTACACAAACGAACGTCCCCACTCAGAGGAAGACTGCACCTGTATATATGTATGAGAAAGGAGGGTATATAAAAGTGACTCCAGCAGTTTTACTGTGACCCGCCAAAAACCGTATGTGTGTATGTGAAAAAGAATAATTGTATTTCACGGGCTACAGTCCAGACGCCTCGACCAATTTTGACATATGAGTTGTTATATTCAACTTAGAGGCATTAGTAAAAATTCATATATACTAGAATATTTAATAAAATCAAAATGGCGGATTTTTAACGCAAATTTTTACTTTGAAATTTCGTTTTCACAAGCTACATCCCAAATGGCTTGATTGATTGACATTTGATATTACTGTATATCCGTTTTGATAGCATAATTAAAACTAAATTCTTTTCAGTTACTGCAGTTGGGTTAGTTATTTTTTTTAATGTACTTGTTTTTATTATATTTTTGGTAAATTTACCTGTGCTCCATTGACAACTGACTGAAATCCTGATCCACAAAGCTTATTCACTAGAAATGCTGGTTTTTCAATTGGAATGTCACATTTAAGTGACACATGCCTTGGTAAAAATGTACCATCTGATGCAGCTGACTGAAAAAATGGATCATTGTGTTTCAGTATCTCTTGGAAGCCATACTGTAGCATCTGTTTTGCTCACATTTAGCATAATGTATCTGACAGTGCCAACCATGATTAAATGAGAGACATAATTTGAAGAGTGAGTTTTAACAAACTAAAAAATTTTATAGCATTTTAAAAAAAATGGCATGCCCTGAAGCGAGCAAACCAAGAAATGAACAAATACAAACACTCAAATTGCTAAAAATTTCGCTGCAAGTAAAACACTTTTAGGGTGCAGTCAATGACTAAACACCAAAACATATTTTTGATATCTCAATAAAAAGAGACCAATTCACCATTATATCTTTCACAAAATTTCAATAACATAATAAGATGGTATTACTCTTGGATGTTTTCTCATGATTTGATAATGGGCGAGTTATTTTTTGTTGAATATTCTACAACAAATCTGTCCAGTAAACACAATTCAATGTGTTATGATATCAGAATTTTCATTATCTATAACCTCTAGGTACATAAATTATATTGGTGTATCACTTATAAGTTTGAATTTTACAATTGTAATAGCTTTCCCTATTCTCTATTACTAATTATTACATTATTGCTTCAACATGCTAGTCTGGGAAGATTATTTTCCTAAAAATATTTGGATTAGAACAAACTATAATTATTATTCTAGATTATTCTACTGCTCTGTAGTTGACTGTTCATAACTTGGACATGTTTTACATTTCCTTAGTAATTCCCATATTCAATTCATAATGTTGTTCTCATTTTGCTCGAATATATATATATATATATATATATATATATATATATATATATATATATATCTACAAAGCTCTACAAGCCTAAAAGGACCAAGGCTGCTTTATTTGTCATTTCTTTCCATTTCATCTTCTTTTGACACATGAATTTTCAGTTTTGTACACCTAAGATTTTTAGATCTGCTTCGCTCTTCCATCTTTCCTTCAGTCTCCCTCTCCTCTTCTTGCCTCCTATGCTTCTGCTAACAATCATTTTTGGAATCCTATTTTCTGGCATCCTTTCTACATGCCCTAACCATTTCAACCTTTGTGCTCTTATATATCCTGTGATACTTGATTCTTTATACATATCTGCAAGCTCTTGGTTTGCTCTTCTTTCCCATGCCCCATTATTCTGTTTCCCTCCAAAAACGTCCCGTAATACCTTTCTTTCCCATACCTCTAAGGTATTTATAGCTGAATTCCTCAAGATCCATGTTTCACAAGCAAATGTCACTGATGGTCTTATTACTGTTTTATATAGGGTTGTCCAATAGGGACGCAGGAAAGTAAACGTCAATTTGACATAGACGCCATCTTTGTTTTCTGTCACCGACATGTCATTTTGTTAGTTGAATGTTTACCACTGATCGCTATGGAGTCGTATTCGATTGAAGACCGCATTAAAGTTATTCAAGAGCACTACAAAAATGGTGCAAAAATAAAAAACACGTTTCGCGCGCTTCGTGAACATTTCGGTCGCAACAACCGCCCAAACGAAACAACCATCGGTCGTCTGGTGCGTAAATTCGAGGCAAATCTGCCAGGCTCTGGCCGGCCAAGGAGCGTTCGCACACCGGAAAATATTGCTGTTGTGAAGGAGAGTGTGAGAGACGATCCGAAACAATCAACAACGCGTCGATCCCAAGAATTTGGCACTTCGAGAACCAGTTTGCTCCGCATTCTCCACAAGGATTTGAATGTACACGCCTACAAGATCCAATTGACGCAAGAGCTGCGTCGGGCCGACCATTTTTCGCGCCGAACGTTCTCAGATTGGCTCCTTGAACACCGCCAAATTGATGCCAATTTTTCATCAAAAATCATGTTCAGCGACGAAGCGCATTTCACTTTGAATGGGACGGTAAACAAGCAAAACTGCCGCATCTGGGCGAACGAAAATCGCCGTGAGTATCAAGAGCAGCCGATGCATCCTCAAAAAGTGACTGTGTGGTGTGCATTGTGGTCAAAAGGCATCATCGGACCTTAATTTTTCGAAAATGCGGCCGGGGACGCCGTTACCGTCAATTCTGAGCGATACCACGTGATGATAGAGGAATATTTTTTGCCGCAACTTGAAGGAATGGATATGGACGATGTTTATTTCCCACAAGACGGTGCAACATGCCACACAACCAACGTCAATATCCATCGATTGCAGTCCTTCTTCGGTGATCGCGTGATTTCGCGCAGAGGAAATGTGCCATGGCCACCAAGATCGTGCGATTTGACTCCCTTGGACTTCTTTTTATCGGGATATTTGAAAAGCAAAGTCTACGTCAACAAACCAGCCACCCTCCAACTCAAAAACAACATCATTGCCGAGATAAATGCCATAGAACCGACCATGTTGCAAAATGTCATTGAAAATTTCGACCATCGCGTGGACGTCTGTAAATCCAGTCGTGGTGAACATTTGAGCGACATTATTTTTCTTACATACATGGTATAAATGAACCTTCAAAATAAAGTACCCAACTTGATTTGAATGTCAATCTTTCTTGTTTTAATATGCGTTTACTTTCCTGCGTCCGTTTTGGACAACCCCATATATTCTAATTTTTAATTTGTTACTTATCAGCTTGCTTTTCAGGAGATGGTTTAGGCTATATAAACATCCCAGTCTTGCTTTGATCTCTTCCCTTGTGTCAGGTTTTCTTGTGAATGTTGATCCCAAATAGACAAATTAATAGATCTCTTCAGTATTATATATTTTGCCGCTATCCGTTTTTACCTTTAGGCTTTCTCCTGTCATAAAATCATCATCTTCTCATCTCATTATATAATAGAAGCACCAATTAGGCAGCAGCGGTGGCCGCAGTAGTAGACTCTTCGGTCTCCTGATCAGTCACCGTGCGCTGTGCGGGTTCGAATCCCAAGAGAAATTTTTCACTTGGCTATGGATGTTGTGATTGTCCGTAGGTGGTAGACGGTCTCTGACTGTCGCACGCAGAGGTACAACCCGGCGGATCCCGTAGGCGGGGTCAGAATGTGTGCATGTTGCATGCACATGTGTTCCCTAACCAGAGTCCGTGTGGCGTTCCCCCTTCCCCCAATAGCCCCACGGTACCCCATGGGTGTTTAGGCCTTAGGCCTTCGTGGTGGTTGGAGTATACAAAAAATTCCTATTTAAATTTGCTGCTCTGATTACGGATCCCCTTGCCGCAACCCCACTTTTACCTTGAACTTTTCAGAACATTTTCGTTTAACTTTTATTCTATTTTCCGTTTCCTAGTCCACTTAGTGCTTGGTATACTGCCGATCTTCGGATTGTATAATATGTTTTTTTGAAGTCTATAAACACTACATATGTACCTTTTTGATACTGATAACTCTCAGCCTGGATCTCTCTAAGCGTAAAAATTTGGTCCACCACTCCCCATCCTGCTCTAAACCCACATGGTATTCTCCTACTCTTCCTAAATTTTCGCTGAAAGTCTACTCTTAATACAGGTTGCTAGCACTTTATATCCAAGATTCAGTTGGGCTATCCCTCTATAGTTTTCGCAGATTTTTTTACCCCCTTTTTTTAAACGCGGCATCTTCCCCCTATCAAACTGTGCATTACCTCAATAACTTTGTCACCTCCGAAGTTTAGCATTTCGCCTGTGACTTCATCTATACCAGCACTTTTATTTGATTCTATGTTTCCTAGAATCTTTTGTATATCATCTAGGTCTGGTTTATCATCCAACACCCTTTCCTGTTCCTTAAAATTGTTTATTCCGTGATCGAAGTCTTCCCGAAAATTTTCATTCAGCAGTTCCTCGAAATAGTCTTTCCATCTTGCTAACATTTCTTCTTCATCTATGAGTTGTCCATCCTTACTCTTTATAAACTATGACTTTGCTTCGAAACCGGTTTTCTGCCTTTTTACACCTTGATTTCGAATCTCCCCATTTTTATAGAGTTCTTCTATTCCACATAGCTGTCTTTCTTTATACTTCCTCTTCTTTTCCCCAAGCAGTTTCTTACATGCTTTCCGTTGTTTGGTATACTATACAGGGTGACTTTGAAGTTGAGTCATTAATTTTCAGATAATGATTGTAGAAGGAAGATAAACCAAAATATGTGTGTAAAAATAAAAAAAATAAAAAAAAAATTTTACTTTGTTTTATAAAGTATCCTCCCGACAAATATTTCAGTGCAGACCTCTATTTGATCGTGAGGTCTTGGAGCACCGGCATGCCCTCCCCCGTGAGGTCTTAAGTCACCTGATTCACGAGCCCGTTGTACTACATCAACAAAGGCACGAGGGGTTGGTTGCACTCGATTGGGAAACCGATCCGCATAAACATGTGCCATTTTTTATTTCGTTTGAGCCACGCAGCAAACACCACTATTCACTCACGCGTTACCGACTGACACATTGACTGAATAAAAACTTCGTGATCAGCGTTTCAAATTCTTTCGCTTTTTTGTTTCCGATGCGATGAACCGATAAGGCGAATTATATCCGTTGTTGCCAAACACGAGCACATAATATTATTATTGAGACAGGGCGGTACTCAAACTTCTAAAGGGCTATAACTTTGTTACTTTAATTTTACCACAAAAATGTTAAAGGAAAAAAACATTTCTTTTGATCAGATCTACTCACTGTTAAAATAAATGACTCAACTTCGAAGTCACCCTGTAGTTTATTTGCTTCTGTCGCCTGACTTATGGCTAACAAACGCAACTTATTCCACTCTTTTAATTCCCTTTCGCATTCCTCGTCTAACCCAGTGGCGACGCGTGAGTTTTCCTAAACTGTTACCAAAAAAAAGTTTATTTTGAACCTCCCAAATATAAGTTTTTGCTTATTTTAGGTATTTTATTTAAACTATTTTTAAATTAAGGTAAACATTCCTGGAGTGAGCGTCTGGGGCACTTGATATACCTCATCGTCTTATGTTATGACTAATCCAAGCCGTCCGAAAAACAGTCGACGTTTATAGATGTTGGCAATAAATGTTAACAATTCCTTGTAATTTCCTC